AAAAAAAAACAAACGAGAGAAAAAAATGATAAAGAAAAAGGCCCATTCTCAACGATTATTCCATGATCGCATCATAATTCCACGTCCCTCCCCCGCAATTCTTTCTGGATATTTCACGGGCACCGGGACCCACGCGAATCGAAATCGAATTAAGGCCCCAACCCCAACCCCCACCCCCGCGCACACGACTTTTTTCAATGGGGCCGCCCACCGCGTGCACCGTGGCATTGTCTGGATAGCGCCGCGGGATTTGTTCCATCCGTGTTCCGTTCAAGCTGATTCTTTGTTCCTGACAGAACATGAGGTCGGTAGGTTCTACACGAGATTATTCCCACGTTCTTGCAATAGCGCCATTATGTTCACGTTCGAGTTCCTTCCACCTGTTAATTATTCCAAATTTATCTGTTCGACACCCTTTTTCTGCCCCCTACTGATGATGGACGTGATGATTCTTTTTTTGTGCTGTCGCATACTATTTTCAAATGAATCTTAAACAGCGATCTACGTTTCAAGACAATGCGTTGCGATCTTGCAAATCTAAATCGAATCGGTTGCCTAAAAGATCTCGATCACTGATTGATATTTTATGCTCGATTTCTTGGGTCTCCCAAAAAATACAAACTAACCGAATCGCGTGCCGAGCGGGTGCAGAGCAAGTGCCTCTATCTAACCATCTCCTCTAAATAGATATACGGTCGTAAATTTTCATTTTGGACCGTGTCAAATTTGGGTACTGCTTGGGAGTTAGATGGGTCGCGAGAATTTTTATTTGTGGCTCGGCAAATGTTTGGATGAAAATACGGACATTTGAGTGACACTGTGGAATGCTGTGGTGGTTGGTCCGATCACGATCCTAAAAGCACTTTTCCCACGAACAGCGTTGATTCAATGAACATAAACGAAAACGAGTGAACATAGAAGCTACCATCTTCAGCAATGAGGTAGACGGGACTATCGGTGTTGTTCGAATTAGGCAAAGTGGTTTGTCTCCATCTAGGGTTTTGCTCTGGTCCCCCCATCACCTTCCTTAATCCAACATTAATCAAAACCATTAAAGATTAATCCCAAAAAATAACCCAACTGACTATAGAAAGGCCCCGGGGCCCCACTAATCAACTAGAGAGAAGTGCCTGTCGGATCACCTGGACATTATTGCGATAAATACGAGAAAACACGGCATAACATATGTGAGTTCCTACTATAAAAAGCCTTAGTAAAAAAGTCTTTGGATAAGTGTCATTAGAAATCTTAAAATTTATTACGAAAGTACAATTGAATTCAAAAATTTATCAAATTGGTGCAATCGAATCATTTCATTAATTCTGTTCAATCTGGCTAACAGAAAATGTAAACGTGATTTTTTTTATTATTTCTCTCTCCTACGTGGCATTGGCGTGACTAAATCATGAAGGATAAAGCTAAAATAACGTAATTTTAGTCCAAATATGGTTTTTTATGCTAGATATTATTTACATTAAATTAAAAAAAGGAAGGAAGAAGGCAAGGCTCTCACCATCACGGCCCCACCATCGCCGGAAAGCGCTGGCGATGGTTGGGGATGGCCGACTAGTGGTCGGTAAAGGTTATCGGGCCCCCGGCTAGTGCACTATCTATTTCCACAAAAATACGATGAATTTTACACATTTGATATCTATCTATAGAACATGCGAATGATTTTCCTAATCGATGGACACACGCAATTATTGGGTGATATCTCTTTTCATAACACGTGAAAGGTAGCTATCCATATAGATATAATGATAATACTTTATTTATTTGGGAAATTGTTTGCCACGAGAGGTTGCCACCTTTTCGGGAAGCAAAAACTAATTCTACTTCTGTTGATAAGATAGAGAACATTTCCAAATTTTAAAAAATCATAAAAAGTAACGCATGACTCCGAACGTTAGTATTTAGATAATTCGAGATGTTTCAAGCGTGTTTTGTGTTAAACTAATGCCAAAATGTCAACACCACGCAATATATTAAAAAAATGTAAAAGTTAAAAATAAAATTCAGTCCAAACAAATCCAACTCGTAAATATCCCACGCAAACATATCATTTCTTATTAATTTCTAAAAAATTTTCCCGTGTTAATTTTATCATTCTAACATTTTTTAAATATATTAACTTGTTAATTTTGACTTACAAATTAGAAAAAGTGAAGAGTGCTTAATAAACATCAATGAAGTCACGGGAGTGCGTATCTCCCACCTGTTAATCAAGATTTGATCTTTTTGGGGTGATCTTATCTTGTTGTCATTTTCAGCTTTATAGCTAAAATCGTACTTTCTTTTTCTTTCTTTCTTTTTGGCGATTTTTGTCTCTTCCAATGGAGGATTTGAGGTCTAAATTGAATGGCCGACCTCAATTTTGTCTTTGCCCCGACTTTTACGTGCGGCGACCCCATTTTCTTTGTCTCGACTCCTTCCAAATCGCTCCATCTTATCGTGGAAATTCTCCTCTTAAATCATTCTTTTGCGTGAAAACAATGCGACTTAGATTCTCGAAAAGAACTTAGATTTCACAAAATCGCATAGTTATTATGTAATCGAATTATTGGTGAAAAGAACTTAGTTACGCCCGTGAATGTGAATATATGTACACCCATGTGAAAAGAGAAAAACCTTTCGAAATTTTTAACTTTTTTTTTCACGTTGTTTGTAAGATAAATTAGATATACTATGGGAAAATACAAAAAAAATGGCCGAGTTTTCACCGATGACAATAGACGTATTTCTATTTTCTAAACTATAAGTTACAATCCTCAACTCGGCAATATTGTGCTCTTGTTTACAAGATTGACATTTCTTCTTCCAAATATGTCCCTACAATTTTTCTCACACCCACCCACATTCCAACCTAGCCAAGAAGGCACAAGATCAAAACGCTAGCTTAGCCGCCATAGCCCACCATCAAGGTCTCCGACCACTCTCCCGGCCTCCTCCTACACCACGGTGACTCCACCCGACCGTAAAATCGTTGTGGGCCCCATTACCCTCCACGATCCTCTCTCTCTTGCTAGAATTGTGCCGCCACGCCTCGAGGCCTCAATCCAAAGTCGTGACGGTTAATGGGGACATTGATTCGAGGTTGCGACCCTTGGGAGCAGGATGAATTTGTAGAGAGAGAGATATGAGTCGCATGGGAAGGGAGAGATTGAAACAAAATTTGAGCTCAGTTTGGAGAGAGAGAGAGAGAGAGTTACGACGCCAATGGGCGGCAACGGTTGAGAGCTTTGAGGCGGGAAAGGTGCTGGCCACAGTTGTGGGGAAAGGTGGCGGCAGACTTGGTTGAGAGCTTGGGCGTAAGGCCAGGGTATTTGAGACTTTTTAGACAATATCGGTATTTAGGTCATTTTAATTGGACCGAGGTAGCAAACTTGTAGTTTCGAAAAAAGGAGGCATGTTTTTGGTTTCCGGGTGAAAACTCGTTTATATTTTCGGTACTTTCCTATTTGAAACACGTGAAAGATAAAAGATAATTGTTTGTGTACACATTTATCAATCGATAGAGTATCTGTAAGTTAATTAAATGAGGTTCCGGATAGAAGTAATAATCATAACTTCCTAAAAGTTGGAGGTCTTCTTTACTATATATGTATGTATGTATTCATTATAGATATTTAATCTTTGGACAAAAATCTGCACATCTTTGGCAATATGATATAATTGGACAGGTGCCAATTGATTCATAACGCGCGTGCCAACTAATCACACCAATTTCTTTAACTACATACGCATCATCAACTCGACAAATATTCGTAGAAATCAATGGTTTTTCACTCCATCATCGCTTATGTCATTAGAAGAAACACAAATTCTAGGGATAAAACCCCCTAATTCGAGCCACCTTTTGAGACCCCCCCATCTTCATTAAATTTCATAACAATGTTTGAAAGTCTAGGCGTGGCCTTTGGTAGGTAGACAACAACCAAGGTCCGTGGCATTTGAGCGGAGGCACTATTGAATTGAATGTAGCCACCAACTAAGGATTTGGTACAGATATTGAGCATTAATCAAATGCCTAAAAATGCTTAGAGAACCATCAATTGACACATTCTAGAGGAAGAAATGGACAAATGAAGAGTCACATTGGAAAGAAAACAAAGTGAGAGATTCAATTGAAAACTAATGCCAAGGCCTTGAGTTGTAAATACCCATCAAGATATCTGTATTCATTGATGAGTCAAAGCTGTTAAAATACAAATATATTCACACATCAAGTGCAATTCCCCTCTTCAGATAAAGTTCGAATCAATAGACTTTTTTAACCATGCCCAATCAAGATTAAGGACAAACGTGGCAATGAAAAGAGCATAAAGTAGAAATATAAATATAAAAACAAAACAAACGAATTTGTGGACATGCCTTGTTTTTCTAAACTTGGGAGATTGATATCTTTCCATTTCTCCAGGGAAGGGATACCATTCCTTTCATGCCGAGAACTCATAAAAACAAGACTGGTTCATACCTCGCAATCTTTTCATTAAACCCGATACTTAGTTTAAGCTCGATTGATCGGGCTTGATCTCGATTTGCGGAGCACTTGAAGGGTTTATACTTGAATTGACTTATAAAAAACATGAAATGCATTGGCCCGCCACATAAAGTGTCCACTAAATCAAATTGGTTCTTCAAAAGTCGATCATATCTAAAATTCGGACCACTCGAATTCGATTAAGTTCCTTCAAATAATTAACATAAATTTAACAATTCGGAAGCTGAGTAGCTCAAACAGCTTCACTTATGTAGACTCTTTCGCGTTGCACGATGGATTTCCTATTATTCTTTTTGGGTCGGAACAGTTCACGTGAGAATGATGGCTAAGTTTTTATAGTGAATCGCACCTAAGATTGACTTACCAATGCATAAACCATAGCCACCGCTCTCTCAAAATCTCTGATTTTTTCCATTTTTTTTTTCACCTAACTTCTACTTTGGCACACAACAAATAACGCCAAAAAAAGAAAAGAAGAAAAAGCCACGTCATTGGCGCATTTCTCTCTCTCTCGCTAGTCTCTGCGCGTGAAAAGCTCTCTCTTTTTTGGGTTTGGGTACACTCCAAAACGCTGCCATGGTTTCTGTGCCGTCAGTTTAGAAAGTGGAGAGCGAATGGGTTCGTGCGTCTCAGCTCACAGCAAGTCCAGCTCCTCCGCCGCGGCGATCCCGCCTTCGCCCGTCAAGGAGAGGGCCGCCGCCGGCGAAGCTCCGGTCGGCATCGGCGGCCTGCTCAAGTCTCAGTGGTCGCCCGGTCCTCGGTCAACGGCGAGCTTCAGAGAGTACGGTGCGATCTCGACGTCCATCTCTTTAACCTTTGATGTACTTTTGGGAGGAGTTGGTTGATGGGATCAATGGCAACGGGGGAAATGAAGTGGGGCTTTTGCTTCCGGCTTTTCCATTCGGTCGTGTAAAGGAACGCCTTTTATTGCTTTTTCTTTGAATTGTTTTTTTTTTTGTATGATCTTCCGGTGTGTGTTTGAAGTAACGGTGTTTTCGACCCTTTATGGCTTTGATTATGAAATGATTGCTTGTTGTCGAAGCACGAACGAGGACAATCCATGAGCTTCGCTTTTTGGTATGATCATGACGAAATGGTTTCTTTTTGTGCTTTATTTTATTGCTGTAGTTCAATTTCTTAAGCAATCTGCTTTTGGTGAAGCTTTTAGTTCGCAGGTGTGTTGGCCCTTTTCCCCTCTTTTTAATGGGAATGTTTTTGAGTCCTTATTTCGCAATCTTTCCCGGGTCAAGGAGTTTTTCCGGGCATTTTGATGATTAATTTGTGTATTTATTATCGTTTATGATGATCTAGACTAGTTAATTTTTGTGATGATTGGAAAATTTTCTATTGAATCTGCACAGTTTGTTGCTGGCTGAGGCTTCAATGATTTCACATCATACCACCATCCTTGTTTGAGGGAGCAGTCACCCGTCAGAGAGAGAGGACCTATCTTGTATCTTTTGGCTGCTTGGTCTTCTCTGTATTAAGAAAGCTTAATTGTAAGCAATGTGTATATTTAAGCCGTATAAGTGGCGAGTGATAATGGGATTTCCCTGTATGGAGCAGTAATCTATATGATACTGAACTCGGGCGAGTTCGCAGATGAAAGAGTTATTCTGTTGCTCATAGGGAAGACTAGTTGTGGTGGAGGGACTTTTAGAGGGCATGTTTCGATCGGGGCTTCACTCAAATCTGCACTTTGTCCTGTGAGACCGAGAGGCAAAGAAGAATGTAGTTATATGACTAAATAGGACAGCTGGGGTAATTAACTTGATAAGGACAATTGATATTTTACTTCGTATCTACTGAAAATTTAGCAGGGAAATTTCTAACATTTCGGGTTGCAGTTGTTCTTGACTTTGTTTCAAGTTGCCTTCAGCTATATCAGATGAGAGGTCAATGATGGACCTTAAATTTGATTAAAGTAGGATGTTGATTGTTGATAGATCATTTGGAGTTTGGGCAGAATAGGCCGAACCTAGCCTTTTCCTATTAAGCACGTATCTTTAACATCAAACTATCTTCTTTAATTGTCATATCTGTTCCAAGTGTCTCCATTTCAAGGAGACTATTTTCTTTACTTGTTATACTTTTGCCCTTACTTCTGTTCAGCAAGTAGCGTGCCTAGGCCAGGTGGCACTCAACCATCCTCTCTTCTATTAGAGAGCGGTGATGATGTTTGCAGCACTAGTTTTTCTGCTTTATTGTCTTTATAATTAGCTGACTAAAGGAATAAACTATCATGTAATTACTGGTTTTGATCTTTGAGCTGAGTGAGTCAATGCGCTTTGCTTCTCTTGATGCTTAAATCTGAATGCGTGCTTTGTGTTTTTCCTAGGCGTGGTTTAATTTTCTTATATTGTCAATGCTTGAACTTGAACTATATATCTTTGTCAAATGCAGGCAGTAAAGAGGATGTTTTCTTCGATTCGAAGCCCTGGTTAGAGTCCGACTGTGAAGATGATTTTTTCAGTGTCAATGGTGGTAAGAAACATGTGTGGTGGTTCGTGGTTTGTTTAATGTTTCTTTAGTTGCCTGCTTCATTTATCAATTTAAGTTGCTCTTGGTTAAGGAGGACGCTTTTAAGCTACCGCCACTCCTTTGATTTCCCCTCTAAAAAATGGCAGGTTTTAGACAACAATCTTAGCACTCTCACCTAATTAGTATGCACCACTCACAAATTCCTCTCTCTCTCTCTCTCTCTCTCTCTCTCTCTCTCTCTCTCTGGGTAGGGGGCGATGAATTGGGTTTTCAGTCTTCTATTGAGCGAATTGATGGAAATCAATTGAAGTCTCTTCAAAAATGTACCTGAGACCATCTTGACATTAAGAACAGGGGCTGCAACTAGCACTGATCTCTAATCGATTGATAATTGTCCAGCCAAAGTGCAGTTGTCCAACTCCATACCTGATATAGCATCATGAACTTACCTGAAGTCTCTCATCATCTTTAAGAGTTTGCTTTTAATCATCATATGCCTTAAAGTTAACAACTGCATGACAAATTCTGTCATTGAGGTCGTGGCACTTATTTTAGCCATGCAGATTTTCCTGACTCTTATATTTGTTCAATCCTAAGGAAGAAAAATAACAAGAGAAAGAGCAAGATTTGGCTTTACTCACGAGATATGCTGTTTATTGTGTCATCATTTTCTTTCCTGGCTTATATCATTCTATAATACTTCTTTTTATTATTTGTGTGCTCATTCTTGTTTCTACTGCAGATTTCACTCCTTCTCGTGGGAGTACTCCTTCCCGTGGAAACACTCCTATCCACCCATCCTTATTCAGGGGAACACAATTGGTTAAGAATGCCCCTCAGGACAAAGCACCTGTCCTTGTTCCCGAGCCTTCCCCAACAAGTAAGAAAAAGAAACTCGCTGAACTTTTCCGAGATAGCCTCAGGGAGCAAGAAGATGTTGCCGATCACGATGCTTCGGCTCACAAAGCTATGGCAGAAGCAAAGGCTGAAGCCAAGCCAACTATACTCGATGTTCTTCCGATCTCTGATCAAGGAACGCCTTCCATCTCTAAGCCCACTTTCATGTGTAGCGGCGAAAGGACTCCTAATGGAGACCATGTGATGGAGGAGCAGAAACCAGTTAGAACCGTGACTTGTTGCCTCCCCAGATTGTCTTCATACGGCGGTTTTACTGAGAGGAATAAGAAGATGAGCTCTGCAATAACCGTGCATGATTAAAATGTTCATCAGTTTGAGCTTTATATGGCGGAAGTCGGGATCTCTTGTGCTGAGAGACTGTGTATAGTCTATAGAGGTCTTAAATCTTGTGTGCATGCTGCTATCTTATGCGAAAGCATGTATATTGCAAACTGAGGCAACTGACTCGAGTATTTGACTTATAGCAAATTTTCTTTTCACTTGTTCATGTCTACCTCGATCTGTTCCTGGATTATATTTCTGAAACTTCTGTGGTATTCTACATGTAATGAGCAAAAAAGTGCTCCTTCGATAGTCGATTATCAGGAACAGAGAAAATTGAATCAGGAAGTAACTTGTCTCTGACCTTGGTGAAGACCAAAAACTCCTCGGAAGTGAGATCCACTCGGATAGTAGCAGAAAAGCCATAGTCCTATTTATAGATTGTGGAATCTCCTTCACAAATTGCCACAAAATAAAAAGGAAAAAGAAAAGGCAAGCTTCGACGTAATGCAGAAGTGTGGGAGTGAGAACTACAGATGGATGAATCACAGTTGATAGCTTTGTTTCAAAGACAAGCTTTAGACCTTTGTAACCAACATATCCTTTGCTTTGCGGGAAATGCAAACACTGAACACCCTCAATTGCCATCTGAGTAAATTAAGCATGCCTTGATACGTTATCATTAGCCAGTGACCCCTTCTTTTCTTTTCAGTGATTACCACCACGTACGGATGTGATTAAAGTTCTTGAACATTAATTTCTTCACCAAACATCAAGTGACGAGGGGCTGTCTTAGAAAGCGAAGTATTTCTTGGAAGGCATACCATGCATAGTATCGTGACCCATTGATGTCGAAATCGAAATCCAACTCCGCTTGCAAGAAAAGTAATAGCAAATCCAATGATTGCGATCCGGATGGAAGCTTGTGAATGAAAAAATCTGTGCAAGATGTACATATAAAAGCGGACAGAGATTCCCAAGAGGTAAGAAGAAAGAAGAGAGTGTAAGATAAGGCAGTGAATGAAAATGGAGGGTGTTCGAAGAGCTGTGCTGGTACTGCTTGTGGGGTGTTGGGTATCCTTGGTGATCACTCGACAAGCTTTGGCTGCAAAACATGTGGTTGGAGGAAGCCAAGGCTGGGACGAATCCACCAACTTCGACTCCTGGACGTCTGCTCAGACATTCAAAGTCGGCGATCAGCTCGGTAATGTCTCCATTTTCTACTTCTTTTAGGCGCGGCCTCTTTGTCGCAAAAGCATCAACTTGCTTCGACAGATCAGGAAATGACGCTGAATCGCATTAGAAATTTCGAGAATTTGACTTAAAGATTGTGTTAGGCGACGCTCGCTTGCGCTATATTCTTTGCTGAACAGGACATGGGTAGCCATACATGGCCAGGGAATTGGCATTTTCATGGTGCCATGGCCTGTAAGCATTCAAATTTTGTCTGAACAATGGTTCTTCTCATTGCACGTAAAGCTTGGATCTTTTTCTGTTTTTTTGGTGGCAATGCAATTGGATGATGGCAGAAACACCATATCATTGCGAGATTGTAGCAATTAATCTGTTCGTCCAGATATGACATGAGATTGACATAATTTGGCATATATAAGTTTTCGGAGATTGCAATGTTTCATGTAGAAATCACTAGAAAAGCTCTCTGTATCCACCAACTTTGACTCCTGGACGTCTGCTCAGACATTCAAAGTTGGCGATCAGCTCGGTAATGTCCCCATTTTCTACTTCTTTTAGGCGCGGCCTCTTTGTCGCAAAAGCATCAACTTGCTTCGACAGATCAGGAAATGACGCTGAATCGCGTTAGAAATTTCGAGAATTTGACTTAAAGATCGTGTTAGGCGATGCTCGCTTGCGCTATATTCTTTGCTGAACAGGACATGGGTAGCCATACATGGCCAGGGAATTGGCATTTTCATGGTGCCATGGCCTGTAAGCATTCAAATTTTGTCTGAACAATGGTTCTTCTCATTGCACGTAAAGCTTGGATCTTTTTCTGTTTTTTTGGTGGCAATGCAATTGGATGATGGCAGAAATACCATATCATTGCGAGACTGTAGCAATTAATCTGTTCGTCCAACCGGATATGACATGAGATTGACATAATTTGGCATATATAAGTTTTCGGAGACTGCGATGTTTCACGTAGAAATCAAGAGAAAAGCTCTCTGTATCTGGGACTTTCCCTTTGGAAGTTTCTTCCCGTTAGGAAAAATTACAGAAAGTTCATATATATGATTTTTAGGTGTCTAGGTTCGAATTGTAAGAACAACCCATTTGCCAAAAATGGAAATTTCACCCAAGTACTGACTCCATCACTGAACAGTGTTCAAGTACACGCAAGGCCTGCACAGCGTGGTCGAGCTCGCTGGTGAAGCCGCCTTCAAGAACTGCGACATAGGCACGAGCATCAAGTCCCTTGGCACCGGCAACGACATCGTCAAGCTCGACAAGCCCGGCACCCGCTACTTCGCCTGCGGGACCCTCGGCCACTGCGGCCAGGGCATGAAACTCAAGGTCACCACCATCGCCGGCAGCGCCCCGTCCACTCCGGCGTCATCCTCTTCGTCTTCATCCTCTGCGGCTTCGGCGTCTGCTGCCAGTCCTGGTTTTCCAGGCTCGGCATCTCTCGTGTCCCCGATGGTCCTGGTGATCCTCTGTGTGTTCTGGGTCTTTTGAATGTGTTTTTTGGTGATGATAGTGGTAATGATACAGAGCATACTGGAAGAGGAACTGTTTGGTAGATGCGTAAATTGTTTTGATTGGATATCTATTTATGATGTTTGTTGTTGTAGAAGTTGGGAGCGAGAGGTTCTTGTAATTAGTGAAGCGAATTCAATTTGTCATTCGTTGCTACTTGATAGACGACTACATTGTATGACGTTCTGGGCCTTTAGAGTGTATGTTTCTGGAGAGAAACCATGAATTTGCCGTTTGTTTTAACTAAACTTTGTGTTTGAATCCCGCATCAGGCAATTCGATTCTTGATTATCACAACAATAGCGTCAGATCAGATTCATGGTTTCGAATTGATAACTGAAGAAAGTCGAGAAGGTGGAAATAATCCTTCATGAGCACACAGAAAAGCATCTGCTTCTACTGTTTAAGTCTCAACCGCTGTCTATTTCGGAGTTGGAAAGTTGGGTTCTGCATTTTTTATGGCGATTTCTTCTTTTTCTCGCGTCTTTGAAATATTGAGTATCCAAAAGGAAGGCAATTCGACTTGAGGACTCGCAGCCTAGGAAGCGTGCATGAACAGGTAACTAGGGAAGAAGGACCGGGTGCAGAGTCTAGTGGAAACTCTGATGGAAGCTGTGAGGTTTGTTTAGGTCTAGTTCTACTTGCATTCGGAAAGAAAGACACTTTATTAGACATTCATAAAGCAGAATCGGAGGATTGAGAAATCAGGTGAATAACATATGAGGGAAAAGGAGTGGTGGAAGAAAAATTATACATCGATTGAAAAATTTACATCATAACTCTATCTCTCTCCACCTTCTATCAAGCCTGACTAAAGAATACAAAATTGGAAAAATCGGTATTATGAAGATCATTGCATAGAGAATATTGATCTTCTGAAATCTCTTCCTAATGGGAAATGAATCAATCTGGATACAGACTCAATGCCCGCCTTCCCCGCCGTTGGATTTCGCCAGGTGAGGGAAGGCGGCTAGAATGTTGCAGGCCCTCAAATCCTGCCTTGTCAAGATCCCAACCACCGGCGACACCTACAAGTCGGTGCATTCTGTCAGGTCAGTGAAATAGTCCTTTTAAAACTTTATCTGGTGAAACTATACCAACTTTAACGTCTCACTTTTTACAACTGACATCGAGATTTCCTGATGATTATGCCTAATGCGTGGAGAGAAAACAGCAGAAGACGGAAAAAAAGCCCGTCTTGGCTGGCTTATAACTGCACCTAGAGTATCAGCACATGGAGATAATGGGATCAATAAGCACGGATGACTCACCCCAGCTGCTTGATACTTGGGTACGATCAACATGTGTCGCAGCCCCACTTGTCTGAAGAGCACCATGGCTTTTGCTACGGACATGCTCTCCACCACTGTGTAAGGAGTCGTGTTCGAGAAGGGATGCAAATCGACATACATCTCCATCTCGTCCCTCGTCACTGCTACCTCTTCTATCTTCCCTTCCCGCTCCGCCAAATCGATCCAGGAAAACATCTCTCTCACTTCCCAATCCTCGGTTCTCCTCCTCTCTGGCAGGAACCACTTCTTCTTGATCACTTGGAGCAAATGCGCTCTGAGGATCATTCCATGAAGTTCCGTCGCCCTGGTGGCGAGTCCTGCTGGAGGCACCACTCCTTCGTCAACTACAAGAAAGCCATTGTGCGTCGTGTTTTTCAGAACTTCCACTATGCGCGACAACTTCTCCACCCCACAGAGGGTGACTAATGCCGGTTTCGCATCGGCAAGCTCACCAACAGTGAGATTCCTCATCCACGGTTCAGGATTGGCATCCAGAAAAGGTAAGCCTTTTAATTCTAGTATGATCTCGTAGATGCTCGGGTTGAAACCGTCTCCTACTGTTTTGGATATGAGAAGGACGATCATAGTTATTGGTAATAAGAGAAGATTGTTTGTCAGCTCAAGGAATATCACGCAAAGCGAGACGGTCATCCTCATCGAGCCAGACATGAGAGAGGCTGCGCCGAGGACAGCGTAAAGACCCTCATCGATGTTTGTATAGGAGCCCATGGCCATGCCAAGCAAACGGCCGTAGGCAGAGCCCATAAGGATGATGGGGAGGAAGAGACCTGATGGGACGGCAATTCCAAAGGTAAAGAGGCCTAAAATGCAATACAGCACAAAGAAGATGAGGAGAGAGGTCGTGTGGTATTCGCTCGGAGTGTTTGTGGAAAAGATGTTCCGAACGGCATCATCGTTGGTTGTGAGGAGCAGAGTGGCTAGGTCATTGTAGTACCCATCGGGGCAGTTAAATTGCTTGAAGTTGCCCGAACGTCCAGTGCTGGGACAGACGGAATCCGTGAGGGTGGGGTCGCACTTCATGCATTTGGCTAGGAAAGGCAGGCCATACAGACAGATCGAGGTGAACAAAGAGACCGTCAGGCTCAGCAGAAGTTTGTGTATTTTTCCCTTCCTGCAAGAAAGAAAGCCTCAGTTACCCCCATGACTTACAGACGACTATGTTCAGGATGCAATACTCAGCACATCAAATGGTTATTGGTTGATGCTTTTTCAGGTTCAATAAATCTGGAAAGAGAAACATTAGCAAGTATGTTCATAACCCAATCACATTTTTGGGGAGCTCATTGTTTTTAACCTCTTCCATTCATAAACTTGTCTAATACCAGTGGAATCTTAGAATCTATTTTGGTCCTTATCTAGTCTATTTTTTCTGACTCAATATGGAACAGGTTAGAGGTTCTCACTGATTGATCATACTGTAGAGCCTGAGAACTTTGTGGAGGAAATAGTTGTAGAGGCTTCCTAGAACTCCCCCTATGATGCCGATCACGGTCACAGGGATAATGTCCATCACATGGTACCTCACAGTAACATTGCTCACGTCGAACATGATGAGTCCTCCCTGTCCGAACAGACCACAATTACCACTGCTGCAGTACTCAATGAAAGCCCTAAGAACGAGCGCCACGATGGCGGTGCTGAAGAAAGTCCTCCACAGAAGAGCACTCCTCCACCACGTGGCCACCTCTTCGAGAGAGAAGAGCACCCCGCCCACTGGAGCCCTGAATGCCGCGCAAACACCTGAGGACGCACCGCAGGTGATAAGATCCCTCCTGTCCCGATCGTTGTTGAAGTAGCGAAGCCAGCGCCACCTGAGACGGTAATTATCAGGGCCGCCTTGTCCGAGCAAGGACGCGATGCAGCACCCAATGTGCACCAGAGGTCCTTCTTTGCCTAGATCAAGGCCTGCAGATACTGCTCCGATGCTTCCAACGATCTAACACAGTGGCATTAGTTTTCGTTAATTCTCACGACAAATGCTTCAAGCTTGCATAGATTAAAATATCCGTAGTCCTGCATCATATAGTCCTGCTTCTTTTCCGGAAAAAATTTTAATCTAAGATCACTGCAACTTGCAAGTCTCGTCGTAGTTGATGTCATAAATGAAAGAGGATGGGTTCGTTAATCGGTATACCCTGATTCTCATATAAGTAGAAGTGAATTTCAGTGATGAGATCGTTGAATTTTCCTTGTTTTTAAGACTTTCACCATTAAAAGCTGCTTGCGTTTTGACACCACCTTTCAACTGACCTGCAAGTAACTGGACCACTCTTCGAGTGTCTGAACATACTATCGAGCTAGGACCTCTACTATATCCCCTAAAGCTGAGATGATGCTCTTCCGACAAAATCTATGATCGTACTTAGAATTTAAATTCCCTGCAAGTTCCAACATAGATGCCATTTTCCATTGACAACAAAAAGCCCCCTGTGAATCGTGACCCACCTTGACAATCAGTGTCGAGGCACCGTACATGTTGGGAGTGTCGACGCCATTGAGATAAGCTTTAATCTCAGGTATACCCGGCCCTGCTGCCGTTGGAGCAAAACACACGCACAGAACAGCAGCGGACAGAGTCAATATGAAATTGGTCCCGGTGAAGATAAAGAACCCGGTAAAGTATCTGCATCAAAACCATTCCCGAAAAGCATGAAAATTTCCGTGAGTCTTCTTGCTTAAGCAAACAATTTCTCTCATGAAGAACGATATCACGAAGTGGAGGTAGTCATCACTGATCAAACCTTTCCTTCTCTATGAAATGAACCACCGCGAGAAGTTTGTATCCGGCAATGTTCTCCACAGCAAGGTTGATGAGCGTAGCGATGATTCCAGTGAGGAGACCAACTAGAAAAGCCAATGTCCACTTCAAGAAGATGTACTGCAACACTTGCACTTTGGATCTGCTTCTCCAATCATGCTTGAACAGATCATTCTCATTGATCCTGCAAAACAGAACCGACCAAGCACCAATCCGCAGATGAAAATCTTGCAAGAAAAGATAGTCATCAACAAAACGGAGAAAGTCTCTCCAAAAAAAAGAAAAATGAAGACAACGGATATAATCGGATCCGCTCTAAAAAATTACTCATAGTCCAAGCTCTCTATATGTGCAACTTTAGCTCCAACCATGGCAAGAGGATTTGAAGAGAGTGTCCCGTGTCTCTTGAGCAGTGGCTGGTTCAATGAATTGCTTTCAGGGTCTCTCTCTTCTTCATCTGCTTCTCCGGCCATGCTGTTTGGCGACGATTCTTCCACAACACGATTCGGGTCTTCCTCCATCATGAAGAACAAAAAATAAAAAAACTCTGGACTGAAGAGAAAATGCTCTTCAGCTGTTGTAATAATGCACTCTGTCCGCGCTCATTTTGTCTCGCTGAAGTATATATACAGTCTCCTTCGCTGGGTGTCAATGTATGACAACAATTGTTTCATATAAATGCACCAGAAAAAGAGTTTCATGTGGGCAGTAAAAGAGTAGAAACCAGAATGCATTCACACGAAGATTTTGGTACTTTGTTTTTGAAGTAATCTGATGAAAATAGCTTCTCTCTTACATTACTTGCAAGTCTGGCAATAAAGATCACGCCTTGTTTGCTATCCATTAATTTTCTTCATCATAGTTTCTCTAATGATACTCGTGAATCATTAATGGGTCCAGTAACTAGTGATCTAGCCAGTGATATGCAGCTTTCTCCTGTTTCTTTTTACTTCTGTTTTTTCCCTTTGTGGGTCAAGGGAAAAACCATCCAGTTCAAATGAAAAGGACTTTTTGCATCATGCACAGAAACGCTTCCAATTATGGACTTGTTTAATACAATTTGACTTGACATGAATAAAGAAAAAACTATGATCGAATGTTATTCTGGCACGTTGAGATGGATATCCAATCCACGTGATTTTCGCCTCAGACGAGAAAGAAATATGCTGTGGTATCAAGTTTGAATCTCTCCCTGTTTTCTGGTTAAGAAACAGAGCACACGCAAAGAGACTTTCTAATCATGAATCATTAACATGATAATTAACATCATAATTAGCGTTTAGAGTCATCATTAGAATAGCAAAATCGATCATTTACTGTCCATAACTTGTACTCCGAAAATGGACTTTAGATCTTCTCTTTTCTCAGTTAATACTTTTCATTATCTACGGCTCTGGGGCCACCGGTGCTTACGCAGGGGGACAAGTGGAGACCATCGAGTTGGGGGGTCGAGACTAGATGAACGGCTCGCATTCAAACGACCCTTGATGCCATCGAAACGCCACCTTATCTGGACATCCGCGTATCATATGAACAAACCGGCAATCATGCTCTTTTTTAAGGAGTTATTCCAAAATCGTAGGGCATCAAACATGGGCGTCGGACCCCACAACGTCTCCGGTCCATCAGATTAGGTGACACAGCCACGGACAGAAACCACAATAGCAAAATACATTGACCATAATAATAAATAGAAGAGAGCGCAATACGGGTGCATGTGATTGCACAGATAAACTGAAAGTGCTAGTTGATTGCTCTGCTCTGCACCCAAAGGAAGATCCAAATGCCCGACATGAATTTCCCCGCATGCTGCAGAACTTGATCTGGGCACTCAGCTTTTTCGACCTTGACAACATGAGAATCCATCGGTTTGAAACGATTGCATTTGAGTCCTGGAGGAAAACATCCGGCATCACCATCGTGAAGCATCAGTCTATTCTTGAAAACGTGTATAGCATAGAGTTGGGAATCGGGTTTGATTGAATTAGGGGCGTCAAGCACATAGAATAAAAGCGCCGATCGCTGCCGACTGCTTTATTACAAGCTCGTGTGGCACAAGAGTGATGGGTCCACTGTTCCACTTTATACCAAAAACAAAGGAAGAGTTTCCAGATCCGTAATCTCTTATGAGAGAATCAAAAGGACAGATGCACAGAGAAAGAAAGGCAAAATTAACCCTTTTTTCTAATGTTTCGTTACATAATAAACCTGCCATATATGCATGGAATAATGAAATACAAGGGGCTATATAATTTGCCTCCTCACCCTTGTCCATTCGAGTATGTATTTCATCCGTCCACGAACCGCACAGCTACTAGAGAGAGTCCTATTCTAATACTATTTATAGTGACTTGACTATTTCATATGGACTAAACCCCAAAAGGAGTACTCTGAGTAAGCACACAATGTAGTGATCGGTTGGGGACCGGTGTTGGCTTATAAACCACTAAACAGGGGCTCTCCCGTTCGATATGAGACTTGGGATGTCACAAATCAAGTCATGGCAGTTCCATTAAATGAATTTGGGACGTTGATTTGTGCGGACGATGGAGTATTAGTGTGACACTTTTGGATTGATCTCACTCGAGGTCTTATCTGCTTTGATCCATCTCGTGCGGTACTTCACGCTTTATCTTTTCGCGCATTGGTAGATCACTTATCGCGGCAATGTTCTCATCTGAGCACGCTTAGCATTAGAGTTTTAATGCCAAACAATACCTACTTGTTGTGAAGTAATTCCGGTTTTACATGTATAACCAACGCTTCCCCCCCCCCTTTACGATATATGCAATTCGATTCATTTCTATCCCATTTGCCAACGTAGAAGTCTGCAAGGAGCCATACCTTGTTCGAATCATTTCGCTCCGATGATCACTCTATGGCCTTGTCGAACCGGGGCGTTATGATCAAAGCGCCTGATCGCCGATAGAATTTGCGCCGGGACTTCGTAATGATGGGTAGCTGGAGCTATTATAGGCAAAAGTCACTGTACCAGAGTAGCATTTAACCTTTTCCTATGACTTTGTAGTGGGGATTAACTCACCTGCATCTGCTTTCGGACGTTTAGTGGGGCGGAAATCAAACTTAATGGGGAAAATACAATCATTTGAGGCTTGCCGTCTTGCACATAATGAACCTTGATTGCGTGATGCAACGACACGACGTGGACAGAGAACCGGTCATTTTCGGGATGTCGTTTTGGGTTGGGGATTTGGTATATCAAAATCTTCTTTGAGCCAGCTCAGCATGAGAGTGATTTGGCAGATTGGCCCTAGGGGCGTCGGTCCCTTCCGTTGCACCCTTATCCAATCCTCAAGTGATGTGTTAACTCTGATATAATCCAAAGGAAAACGTATGGGACGTCGTATGGGTTTCTCTACCGTATGTCGTATGGGTTTCTTTACCGTTCTTTGACTTTTGATCGAGTAAACACCGCGTCGCTACAAAGACAATTGACTTAATCTGATGCGTGAAAACAGATTATTTTGAGATTGAATCGAATCAATTCATTTGGATTCAATACATGTGCTCGACAGTAAATTTACAAAAATTTATTTTGTCCGCAAGAATTCGAGTTTCGCGAGTGTGATTGTGATGGTGGAACGCGAGAAGCTGCCCTAGCCTCAATCTCTTTTGATTTTAGTTCATATAGCCGGATCCGACCAGCTGTCCTTAAAATGATGTTTTGTTTCATCACCCAGGTTAACCTTGGTTTTCATTCATACGAATGAGGCGTGCCGTCTGCAAATGCAGCAACGCCTGTTCGAACTGAATTAAAATGCTTAAATACTAAATCACGCCTCGAGTTGGAACAAAATTCTCAGATTCTTCTGGAGGACGGCCAATCGTATATGCACCGTGAGCCCATTCGTCCTTGTTGCCTCCATCGCTAAGCCCAGATATGAAGCTCCTCTTGACATCATTAGATCGGTTCGCAGCTGGATTTGAAAGCAACAGAATCATGCAACAAGGTGCTTGGGCCCGATTACAACGTTCTCTGCAGTGCAAGTACCTTAGTCCTAATGATGGTCCAAACGGTGTGGCTGGGGGAAATTTCAAAGCAACAGAGTCATGCAACAAGGTGCTTGGGCCGGATTACTCTACACTGCAAGTACCTTAGTCCTAATGATGGTCCGAACGGCGTGCTGGCTGGCACGTATAAAAGCGGACCAAAGATTGATACTTTGCTCATCTGGTCAGGCCGAGGTTGTTCGGAGAGCGGAACCGGGTTGGCTTTGTTAATCGGCACTCCTTTCGGGAGCAACTACCCCGATCCCAATATGTTAATGCCATCTTTTGGTTTCTCTCTGTGAAGTATCCATCGCTGTGGAAAAATCTCACTATAGCCCATCTCCAGCCCCAACCCGACCACCTGGATTATAAATTGTCGACGATGACTCCAGCTCAACCCATCACCAATTTTGTTGACTCTTGAATCAATTCAATCTTGTGGATGTAAGCTTACCTTCTCTTATGCAGGAGGTCAATGCTGTGTGGTTCCGGAATCCATCCCGAGCTTTGATGTGCTCACTGAAATGACAATTGCCCTCAGTACCAGTGCACAAAAATGCCACATCCATTGAGCTCTTCAAGTACTGGAACATAGCAAGAAGATCACATCCCGGTTTTCGTATTCATCTCTTGGAGAATATGCTGCAGGAAGGGCGATTCGACCTCCTTGGGTTGCATACCCAATGCTTGGACACAGCCTAATTTGATGGATTCTTTTCGTTAAGCAACCAAACGAGCGAAATATATACAAGCAATCCTGTTCAGCACTTCAAACATAAGAGACTTTACAAAATTAAGATAAACAACATAATACAAGGTGTAACAAATATATTTTCTGAGGAAACAATGAACCCACACCACCATTGCTGCAGCATTTCTTTTAGGGGGTCAACTCTACCGGCTCTTCAAAGACAAAATAAGGTAGATACCAGTTTTCTGAGGAAGCATCCAGCAATCATTAAGCCAAACTATCCTGCTTCGTAAAATGTGTACCACCTTACTAGACATCAGTCAAAACGGGACAAAAGAAACTTGTGGAATGACTTCACATCTTTTCTGCAATTATGGTATCGCTGGGAGAAACTTCATAAAAACAGCTTTGACAAGCTCGATAACATAGTTCAACCTATAGAGCATACGAAGGTAAACTCTATCTGTTGGCAAATCTTGTTGTTCCACTCGCAAAATCATCATGCCACCCATGACGGAGTTGAATGATATGAATATGAATCCGATAGCTTAGACGAGCTGTATCATGATCAGAAATGCAAAGGACACCGATGAGGGACGACAGGATACGTTATACAGAGGCACGCACGGAAGAAACCAAACCAACAATCATGTAGTCAATATGGCCAATGCCAGCATCAGCTCAACATGTGTGCTATAACTTTGATAAATTACTGTAAACATTGTTCAAAAATAGCTTCATCAAGTGCAATCTGAGAGTGAAAAGAATGTTGTCAATGAGAATGGTGGAGTCTAATGATCACCCATCAAGATCGATTTCTCACGACTTCTGTGGAATTTTCAAGATTACCTTTTAATGAATTTCATCAGTTCTCCCAGTAAACAAAGATCTCATAGTCTATGTACAAGCAGAATGGAAATGATTTAACTGAAGAGACTTTGTGACAATACTGGATGCATTTACCATATATACTGCAAAAAAGTATAATATACTCGATACTTTGAGAACCGGTGTTACTGCAACATAGAAAAAGGAAAAAAGCTCCTGAAATCAAAGGGAAGAAGTCTTCAAACAAAGAGTGGGAGTAAATCAATAGGGAATAGCCTCTTCTGGAATATCCCAGTTATCTCCTTCGTCGTCATTCTTCTTACTTGTAGCGGTCTCATCCTTGTTCTGTGGAGGAGCTCTTGAGAAGGGGCGCCTGCTTATGCATCAACACGGAAGACATAGGTTACAGATAGTAAAGACAACAGAATCATGACCAAAACGAACACGCCAAGATATTTTTCATCGAGCGAGACGCAAGACATATCAATAGATCATACAAAAATGCTAAGTGAAAGCAGAACCGGTTGAGGAGAAAACTACCTGGCTGATAAAAAAAACCAGCTTAATACTATCTGCTTCCTTGTGACAGGAGGCACGCGCCATTTTATCATATAGAACCTTCCACTCAGTCACAGATACAACTGACAGCATTAGCCAGCACATCAAATATTCAGCAGCAATTCGGAAAGACATGTTTGTCAAAGTGACCAATACTATCATCCGTGGTGAAACTTTTCATGATGAATCGTCTTCAACCCCTCCAATTCAGAGGAACGCAAAAGACAGCTATGGCAGTTAACTTCCTTCGGGAGGCCAGAAAGTGTCATCATCAGACTAGAACATTAACCTTCCTAATTTCATGTGACAAACTGCGCCGAAGCCAGACACTGTACCAGCTAACTATGACTTTCGTGCAGCAAAGATCCCTCATGCAAGAATTAAGGAACAATCTATAGCCTCCCACAACTCAGAACTCAAACTACAGGGCCATCTCGACGAACTAAGTTAGCTCAAACGATTACGAACGGATCAGCGAATCATTAAGCTGACAGAAAAGGTGCGATTGGGATCAGGAACCTCTTGCGATTGCGCTTCGCGGCCTCGCGAGTTTTGCGCTTCTTCTCGTCCTGCGCGTTCTCGAAGAACCTGCGCCGCTTGCACTCCTGGATGACGCCGGCCCTCATGACCTCCCGGCGGAACCGGTTGAGGAGCCGCTCCTCGGGCTCGTTGTCGGCCACGACCACCTGGACGTTGTACGCCGACCGGAAGAAGAGCGTGCTGGCGTACGCCAGGGAGGGGCACATGACGGAGGACAGCTCGGAGGCCGGAGGCTCCCGGCCTTGGGGCGCGGGGGCAGGGGCGGATTCGCCGCGCAGCTTCCGGCCGGCCTGCGGAGGAGCCGGCGGCGCCGAGGTGGAGAGTGAGAGGACCGGCGGCGGCGGCAGCGGCGGCGGTTTGGAGGGTAATAGGAAGGAGAGGAAGCCGGGGAGAGAGGAAGCCATTGATGAGTGAGGAGTGAGGAGTGAGGAGGGAGTGATGATGTGTTGGGTTGTGCGGATAGGATGAGCTCGGAATCGGACGCTAAACCCGGGGTCGAGTGGGTCCGGGCAGATGGATCGAGATCCGTGCCCGTGGCCCGTGGATTTGAACCGTTCGTTTTCCGTTTCTATTTTTTTTAATTAAAATAAGCATCGCGCTTTTTTCACTCCTCTTTCGATATGGGCATTTTTTTATTTTTTGTATTTTGACGGTACCAACCCTTATACAATTCACCAAATTTATTACAACTCTACAAAAGTTATCCCTTTTTTATTTGATCAACTCTTTTTATTTTATTTCTTCTTCTTTAATTGCGGGTCCCACTTTTTTTTTTTCTTCTTTTGTTTCACTTTTTGACATCTCAGTTCTCAACTCTTGCAGATTATTTTTCTGTTTTCTTTATTGCATGCCATTTTATTCTTTTTGGAGTTACCTATGATTTCACAAATTTAAGTGCTAAGAACACCAATGGAACTCTAATCTTCCGAGTGAGAAGCTTTCAAGGTTTACCTATGAAATCCTCCATGTTCAGTCCGCCATTATAAGCATCCTCCTAGTCTTCTTACCAATGTGCATTCCTAATTCCACGCTTCCTTTGCTTTTGAGCTGCCACCGCATGGGGTTGAAGTCCCCAGTTTGGCTCATTAAGAGCATCGACTTATTGTTGAACTTCATTAGGGAAAAATCGTGGTCCATCTTCACCCCGGCTTCCCACAATCACCCCTGTCACTCGACCGCTGCGTTTTGGAGCCGAACCGGGTCGATTTTTACCCCCTCAAAGCATCCCGTTTGGAGTCCAAGGATGTGCTTGGCACTATCGGCTCTACCATCGGCCATGTTGTTGGTATAATCGTTTTGACATGAAAACTCGCCAGACATGTCCAACTCGTCGTCTCGGGACAAGCCGACGATGCGGTGGTTGGACATCCGTGTCAAGAACTTGACAGCCCGAGGCAATCGATCTGCAGCCAACAACAATATAAAGGATGATCTTTTTGTCAGGATTGTTGGGTTGTTAATGTATGTTTACCTTGACTTTGTGATTTAGATTTTTATTAGTGCGAATGCACCTTGTCTCAAGGCCCTGAGACTTGAGGAGTAAGGAGGCGTAGAAAGAAGAGAATAGCTTGCAAGAGATAAAAAGGGCAGACCAATTTACAAAAGCCGAGAACTGAAACCTTAAAGTCGTGGAAATAATAAACAAGAAGGAAAGTGAGACCCACAAGGAATAAAAGAAGAAACAAAGTTAAAAGAGTTTTTTTAGCAGTTTTTTAGATTTGTAATAAAATCCGTAAGCCACACAAGGGATTATATGATCAAAACACAAAAAAAAAAAGAGTGCCTAAACCAAAGAGCGAGTGAAAAAAGCGCCACTCTTAAAACAATCATCTTGTCCAAGAAATTCTTGTCAAAATTCTCCGTCGCCATTTGACCCGTACGTGTAACCACGATCCAGAGCAGTTCATACGCTATGTTATGACTTGAATAGATGACTTCCGATTTCCCGATTTGAGATCTCTTGATGCCCTCGTCAATTATGCTACTATTGATTTAGATCTGTGCATGTTGTGTGCCATCGACTCGTTTGTGGAAATTTTTCATTCTCGCCGTCAAGGGAACTATAAATTGCTTAGAACTCAGCTTCCTTGTAATAATCACATCAGAGGTGCGATTTTTCGATTGCGGTTAGCAATTTCGTCAAACATTAATATTTGTTGGGCTTTATATATGACTTTGTTGTTCTCGTTCCCTATTTATTTTGTGTAGACTGTAGAATAAAGGATAAGATCTGTTGCATTTCGGAGAAGATAATCATTAGAGTACTGCGCACCGAGTTTCGTATTTCAAGGAGACAAATATCTTGTTCAAGACGGAGCTTTGCACGCCTTAAATATCTTGTTCTCACTTTCATCTTTTCGAGCGGATTTCTCCAGACAAGAAATGGACGTGCAATGATGCTTCCACGCATGCATGCATGTGTGATATTGACTCTGACTTGCTGCTTTGGATAAGCGGGGGTTAGGTTTCACTGTATTAGTCGTGGTTTTTCATCATCGAAGCACACCAAAAACTATTCATAGAAATCGATCTCCCAAAAGTCCACGGAACAACATAGATTCTCAGCCCAAGATCACGGCACATCGACTCTATAAAGTTGACCTAATAGCTAAAAAAGGGGTCTCGAATTCATTAAGAGACTGGACACGTTCGATCCATACATCGTCGAATGATAAATAATTTCCTGTTCGGGCTACTTGTCCCGACCGTATCTTATGCCTCTCATCTTGTCCATATGAGCTTGGCAAAGTTTTTTATGGTCTATAAAACTCTCCAATGAAACTGGGTGTTTTCCCCTTTTAAAAAGAAAAAACGGAACATGTCCATTTCTAGTATTTCACGCCATGCATAACCATTACGCGAGACATAAGTACGAAACAGAACGATCCTTGGACATGCTTTCCACGATATTATACGCGAAAGGGTAAATCTCAAATTTGTTCACACGTCTTTTGCTTCGCCAGCTAAAAGATCGGGATGTTGCTTCGAATGAACAAACTCGGCTGGAGCGACAAATCTTCACGGGATGTAATTCATAGCGATTGAACAATTCGGACGAAAGTTCAAGATGCATAGGATTCTGAATGTCTCCCCGCATTTGGTTTTGTGTCATCTGGATCACATTCGCCATGTGCTATCACCCTTTCTTTATTTTAATCATCATCACCAATTTGAGCCGCAATGGGCAAACCTAACTTTTGGCCAGAACATCAGGGAAAGTGCCAAAGAACTTTGGCGAAAAAAGTGATCTTCATCACAGCAATCGGCCCCTTAACTCCTGATATATACTAACAGAAAAAATTGACAACATTCTTGTGTCGACCCCCCCAAAAGATCACATTCTCAGAGCCATTGGCTCGTGGCCGGAGCCGCGATCGGGCGCTCTCTCTTGCGGATCTGAACCGGTAGCCCGCCGGCCATGTGGGCCGTCAAGAGAGGCACGAAGACCCGGTCGCCCCTATCGACCGGTCTGATCTCGAACCGGCGCATCACCGAGGCCACCACGTACTTCATCTGCATAAACGCCATCTCCTTCCCGATGCAGTCCCTCGGGCCGGCCTGGAAGACCGGGAACCTGTATGGGCACACCTTCTTCAGCTCCCCTCTGGGCTTCCCATCCGGCGGTCCCTCGAACCACCGGCCCGGCTTGAACTCGAACCGATCGGTCCCCCAGATCGCCTCCATCCTCCCCATCCCGTAGGGGAAGTACGTCACCCTGTCCCCGGCCCGGACCGGAGTCCCGTCCGGCAAGACGTCGTCGCCGACGGCGTGCTTGGAGTCCCACGCGACCGGCGGGTACAGCCTCATCACCTCGCACAGGCACGCGGTCAGGAACTTGAGCTCCTTCAGCGAGTCGTAGTCCAGCTCCGCCGCGGCGCTGTCGACTTCTCTGATCAGCTCCCGCTCCGCCTCCTGGCTCCGGGAGAGCATCCAGAAGAGCCACGTCATCGCCGCCGAGGTCGTGTCTCGCCCGGCCATTATGAAGCTGATCACCGTGTCTCGGATCACTTCCTCGCCGTAGCCCGCCGTCGCCAGGCGCGACAAGAGATCCGATTGACTGCTCGAGCAGCGATCCCCAGTTTCGAAGATTCGCTCCGCTCGATCACGAATCAACCGACCAATGCTCGCGTGCACCTCGTCGACTGCCCGCTTCAGCTCGCGCTCCGATCCGACTCCGAGCCGCCTCTTGATCCTCCATATTGCTGATACAGGCGCCGCTCCGCGGCGCGCGCAGATCGCCGACGAAATGTCGAACGCTCTGGCAAGCGGAGAGCCAGGCTGGGAAGGTTCGAGAGAGCAAACCTCGGTCCCGAGCGAAACTCTGCAAATCATGTTGAACGAGAGCCGTTTCAGCAGCTCCTGCAAGTCGACCGTCCTCCCCTCCACCGACAGCGACTCAAGGACCGGCATTAGCCTGCCGTCGACCACCTCCTTCAGGGTCATCGCCGCGTAGTCTCGCAGCGACCTGACGCTGAACTCGTGACTCGCGAGCTTCCGCTGGCTCCGCCAAAGCTCGCCGTCGACGTTGAAGATGCCGCGGCCGAGGAAGTCGCCGAGGATCTCCGTGAACGGCTTCCCTTTGGGGAAGTTGTGGAAGTTCGTCCGGAGGATGTGCTCCACGTTCTCGGGGCTCGCCGTCACGACGGTGCGGCGTGCGCCGAGCCGCCGGACGACGATGGTCTGCGTCGGCGACCGGGCGAGGAGCTCCGTGTACCATCCCAGGAGGCGGCGGCGGTTCCGGTAGAAGGACACCAAGCACCCGATGACGGGGTAGCTCGGGGGGCCGCGGCAGCCGGGGGCCTCCGCCGCTCGCCGGAGATCGGCGGCGAGCCCGCGGAGGAGGACGAGGAGGAGGAGAGCGAGGAGGAGGAAGAGGAGTTGCAGAGGTAGAAATGGCGGAAGTGCTGCTTCTTGTTCCATGGTCTGGTTTCAAAGCATGTGCCTGAATTCGAAACGAACAACTGTGCGACGTAGGATTTATTAGCGAAGTGGGCTCACCTCACCTCACTTTGTGAGATTTTACCTCCTTCTTATTTATTTTTATTTTCATTTTTTCCCATTCTATTATTTTTTTTGTTTGACTTCGAGAGAGGGTAAAAAAAGAAAAGAGAAATTAAGAAGATTTCGGATAAACGTAATCATAAAGGATTGGTCGAACAATCTTTATGGGTATAATTATAATTATTCAGATGAACTTTACTAGTTACGTAAATTAATATTTCATATAGGGATATTAGTAAAAAGAAAAAGAAAAAAAGGGAAAATTTATCTTGGAATTGACTTTATGGAGGAGGTAAAAGTCGCGTGCATCATTGCCCAAATTTTTATCCCCACGTGGTGGATTCCGTCCTATCCCCGGGCGACGATTCCTATGTACGGCAGTGTCGGACTCTGGCCCTTGATCGAAGATCACACGGTCCTAAAAGAGGCAAGAACATGAAAGACATCGATTTGATCGGTTGCGTGCTCCCGACTGGTTGGTTGGTTTCCCCCAAGCAACAATCTCTTGTGCTTTTTATTTTTTTTGTTTTTCAAAATTTTTTCTGGTCGGAATTTTTTTTATTTTTTTTAAACGATTGGAAGAGGGAAAAATGGGGGGGGGGAGTTTGGTTTTGGTGTCTTACCTTCTATTTTCTCCGTTTGTCCTTCCTTTGTGGAAATTTGTGGAGAGCGGCCGCTAGGCTTAATGTAAATCGAGGTTGACACTCCACTTCCGGTCTCCCTAGTTATATACTATTTCTTTAATTCTTCCTTCTATACCTTCCACACGCCCAATCAAATTCCTAAGTCTACCTACTACCCCTTTTGCCGCTCAATTCCTTTCGATTCCAAAATCTCGTCCGATCAAGTCCATTCGACCTCCGGATCAAATTAACCGTAGTAGCAGCCGACGAAAGCCTGAGCAGAATTCACGAACGGGGGGAGGGGGGGGGGGGGTTTCATGTTTTGAAAATTTCATGACCTTAAAAGTAGGAATTCGTCGGCTCTAATCAATCGGGGCGATGTGATTATAGGAGTTAGGTAAAATTAAGGTTAACACGTACTTACCAAAAAAGAAAAGAAAAAAGGTTGATGGTGCGACGCGCCCAAAAAAAAGGGAGGCACGTGAGAGAAAAGGTCGCGATCGGGAGCGCTTACTGACAGTCTTAAGAGAAGTAACAAAGTACAGTTTTGCGTGTCAAAGCCATTGAACGCGACAGCCTGGCCCCATCCGCCACTCCCCTCACGGCCACCAACCATTCTCTCAGTCTGACCAAAACATAGACCGTCCATTTACAAAAATTATTCACCATATTGATAATAATATATAATATTAATATCACGAAAAATTTTAAACTTATAATTTATTCCTAATTAATTTTTTGAACATAAAAAATTTCAAACTGGTACACCCGTGATAAATTTATCCCATATTGATATATTTGCGACAAATTTACCGTCCGTTAGTTTCCGTTAAATTGGATTAATACTATGAAAAATTACAAATCGGTACACCTGTGACAAATAAAGGGTAAAACCCCAAACAGATACACCTGTTAACTGGCTCGTGTCATTCAACTCGGTAATTTGATAGTAAAATTTAACGAAAACTAATAAATGGCAAAATTATCACGGTTATACCGGTTTTGGATAAATTTATCACAAGTATACCAGTTAGGGGTTTTTCGCAATATTAACCCGAATATGTGTATAGATATATAAATATACCTTTTCTAATATAAATTCATTGTCTTTTCTATCTTAAGCCCGCGAAAAATCATCTTTGTCAAATGTATTTCTACAAGCTTTCTTGAGAGAAAAGTTACTGCTCGACATAAAGGTATTCGCCACCTGCGCTCCCGGATTGTCTTATTTATGGACTTTTCTCGGTGTGCGCAATGGAAAAGGGCACGAAAAAGTTAAATGCATTTCGCAGTCGGTGTTTTATTCAGCAAATTGATTGGCCATCGATGCATCCACCCTAAAAAAAAATGCACGACATACACATTACACGGAGCACCATAGCCCATCATTGTTTTGTCACACATATGCCATTGCCCCATCTTGGTATTTTAATACTTATTTTTGGTTTGGTCTTTTGCCTTTATAATAAGAAACCCACTTTAAACAAATGAAGCATGGACTAACGAAAACGTTCCATCAATCTGGCGGAACACGAATGGACCAACAAACAATAGTTTTCCCTTCGCCACTTGAAAATCATAAGAAGATACGAATTCCATCGATCGGTGATTTGCCGGGGGAGGCGAAACTTCGCTGAAAGTGGGAGGGTGCTGGTTTTGCCGGTGCGTGTCGTTTTGGACTTTTACATGGCCTACACACCGCGCACAGTAGTCGAACCCGACAATTCTCAGCCTGGGAAGTTCACGAGGCCGAAACGAAAAGTACGATTCATGACAAAAGTGCTGACGACCGAAACGTGGGAAATTGAATCGGGGCTCGGTTGGTTCCGATGACGACGACAGACGGTCTGTCTGGTCAACTGCTCCTCCATGGTCAATGTACTCATCTCAGACCCCAAAAACAAGAAAGAACACTCATCGGTCGTGTCGAGTTCTGACCCCAAAAAGAAGAAGAAGTCGTGTCGAGTCACGTGCTTTGAATGCTCTGTTGGCCTTTTGAACAAATGGGCCGGCTTAACATGGCGTTAAGACCCGGTGTCGCTGGCCTTGGAGTCTGTTTCGCCTGAAAAGTATCGACAAAATTTTTTTCGTGGAAAGTTGATTTTTCGGGTTTTATAAAGTGAAGATGGTGCTGGGGTGATTTCGAATGGAAGTCTTTATATCGAATCACAAAAGAACAGATACGTTTCGTCGGAATTTCATCGACGATGAAAATATGTGAAACTACAACTAGAGAACGGGAATTGAAAAATATTTAAATTGCGGAAAAGATGAATTGCGAGAAGTAAAAATAAAAATGAAGAATGTCAAGCGCTATGATTGATTGAGAGGCTTTATAAATGGTACACTTATGGTATTTATAATCTTTACGGACAGCGTTTATACATGGCGGTTATTAAATTTGGAAATAAAAAACTCCCTTTCGGTGATTACTGGAAGTTAGTTCACGAACGGATGTGACATGACCAACCAACGGTTATCTTCGTGTCAATTGCTCGCCGTCAGTATCGATGGCTTTGTCGAGAAACTTCAAGACTCTCACCCATAACTTCACGTTATGTTGTCCATGACTCTACTAGTAAGTTGTCGATTCTTTTCGGATTATCGATCATTCTATTCATAAATAACCAAACCATGCTTTCATCGATTAAATCTATCACTTGTCGATAATAACAAAAAGTTGGTTCGCAACCTTGTTCACCTCGAGCCGCGCCGATAATCCTGTATCCTTCTCTGTCAGAGTACATGTAAACGATCATGTTGACTTCGTCTCCCAACATATTGTAGGGCGTTCTAGTTGTATACACATCCTATGCATATAATTGATTGTTTCTTATGAAGTTTGTGTAAAGCATTAAAATATTATCCCACGTCGCTTGATTATTAGGATTTGATTATGCCTTGTGGGTATGTCGTCTCTCTTAATATAATAGCTTATACTTTTAAGTTTGACCTCAAGAAGATATGAGAGCTAGACTTCCAAATCATTTTTATAACCCATGTGTTTCGTGCGCATGTTGTGCCATATTCTTCAATTTAAGTTTTTTGATTGGACTATTTAACACAAAGTGTATATGACCAGTCTACTATTCATGTCGCTAGCGAACCTTTGCACGGTCATATTATGTTGCCTAAACGTGGCATATCTCATATAGAGAGACTTTCTAGATGCTATGATTTCGATAGAGGCTGCAAAAAGGGCTTGCCATTAAGATTCTCCTGGTTGTGGGTGGTGCGAAGCAATTACGACTTAAACCAACGATTTCATAGCAAGTTTGGGACATTATGATAGCGCCCAGATGGGTAGTTAGCAGCGGTCGTCTCTTCTCATCTTTTTACTTATAAAAAAAAAGGGTTAATACCACGAAAAACCCTAAACTGGTACACTTGTGACACATTTACTCCAAACTATTTTTTTGACCATAAAAAACCCCAAACTGGTACACCTGTGACAATTTTACCTTGAACTATTTTTTTGACCACAAAAAACCCCAAACTGGTATACCTGTGACAATTTTACCCTGAACTTACTACAAAAACCCCAAACCGGTATATATGTGACAATTTTACCCGAATTAAAATTTTAATATTATTTTTTATTTTTTCGAATATTTATTTATTTTTTATTCTTTTCTTTTCTTTTTTTTCATCTTCAAACCCTGGCCGGTCCGTCGCGCCGCAGAGCGAGCGCGAGGTCGCCGCGAGGGCCGGCCCTCGCCGACGCCGGCGAGGGCGGCCTCGCGACACGGCGAGGGTCGCCCTCGCCGGATATCGGCGAGGGCGGCCCTGCCGATCCGGCCGCGCTCTGCTGCCGCCCGGCACGGACCGACCGGCCGAGGTTGAAAGTGAAGGAAAAAAAGAAAAGAAAGAAAAAAAAAGAAAAATTCAAAAAATAATATTAAAAATTAGTTCGGGTAAAATTGTCACAGTTACGCTTAGGTTTTGTGGTATGTTTGGGTAAAATTGTCACATGTGTACTGGCTTAGTTTTTTGAGTTAAAATTGCACAAATGGTCAAAAAATAGTTTGGGGTAAATGTGTCGTAAGTGTACCAGTTTAGGGTTTTTCGTGGTATTAATCCTAAAAAAAACTACTAAAATTCAAAAAGGAAAACTAAATTTCCAATTAAGAAATAGTATTTCTCGTACACCACAAACAAACAGAGCACATGTGAAAAAAAAGACACACCTAGAAAGAAAAATAAACTTTTGTCTGGTGGTAGGACTGACCCAAGTATGGAAACGAACACTTGTCACAATTCCGTTTACATATGGACAAAGATTATCTGTCCAAGCACTAATCCCTTCCTTTTGCTTACTTTTCTTATTTTTATTTTTGTGTATTCTATTTCGAGGTTGACACCCCAAAAAAAAAAAAAAATCTATTTCGTGAATGTCGTGAACTGACAACCAGTTCGAACATTAACCATGAATGGTTAAACAATGTAATTAGAACATACTCGTATGCAATTTTACTACAATCACGTAAGAATTTTCCGATATATATAAGCTAGTTCATTCTTGTTCGTGTATGTTTAGCGATCTAGATGAAATCCAGCCGGAGCTAATCAAATTTAATCAAGAGCCCATCTGATCGGTCGATGCTTGACAAATTGAACTAGCCTGCCTTAGTTCTGGTCCGTTGATTGGTTGGCCCTCTATAAGGGAAATCTACTTGTGCTTCTCTCCTTCATCGCTCTATGTTTTTTCTTTCCACTCCTGGTGTTGTTGACGTGGCAGTTTTGCAATGCCACGTCAGCACCTCGTGTCGATTTTATGTCGGGTCGAGTCACCTGATGGTGTTGATGAAGGCGAAGGTGAAAAGGTTGTATTTGCCAAGGGAAAAAGGTAGATATAATTATGCAGATTTTGCAAATATGTTTACCCGAATTAAGTTGTGTCTACCTAAATGTCTTAGTGGCTATGAACGAGCCGAGTTAAGTTGGTACAATGCCAAGTCCGAGTTTGGCTCGATCTGCAATCTCAACGCTTGAAACTTGATTCGATTTTAATCGGGGTTTAAAGTTTATGTTTGAGCCTCGAGTTGAATAGAAAAATCGAGGTAGTCGGGCCCCGACTCGATTTCAATCCACCTGTAAAGACACTTGAACTTGATATTGAATAAATCGGATAATGTGGATAAATTGTGTGATTTTGGGTATTCTCGTGTTTGTTCTATAAGTATTAAATGGTTTTAAAATGCTAATGGAAACTCAAATTGACCTTGATCAGACTCTCGATCGAGCTTGTTGAGATGAGGATCAATGAGCTCAAGCTCGACTTGAGTAGATACATATAAAAATAGCTTGAGCTCGAATCGAAATCAGAAGAATCGATCTCGGGTAAATCCCGGAGGAGTGCCCGAGCTAAGCACGATTAGCTTGACACAATTTCACTACTAAATGTTATCAAGACCTATGCAAAAGGTTCATAAAATCTCACTTACGAGTTTCGGTTTCCTTTAAACAATGCTAGATTTCAAGCACGCGCAGCGTGCCTGCTCAATTAAATGTCCCTAATGCATTGACAAAATGAACTTTCTTTCTAATTATGCCCTCACCTTTTGATTTGTTGTTATTAATGTAGGGATAATAAGAAAAATCCCTAGAGGGCAATAAGGTAAAAGACACTTTCCTTAGTAGAAGGCGAAAATACGTACGGAGAGAGTCGGAAGAACCTCCATGGAAGGAAGACGCCGCCAGGGAACGCGGTGGCAGACGACGAGCCGAAACCACCACCGCGCGCTCCCCGCGCACGTGAAACTGGACTGCCACCGTCGCCCTCCTCGTCCGGTGGCGTCGGCGCGTGGACGCCACCCGAATCTGGAGCCGCGTCGCCAGTGCAAGTCAAGCAGTCATCCGCGCGAATGGTGGGAGGAAGTCAACGCTTCCTAACACGGACCGTAGATCATTACACGAGCCTGACCCAAGAAGCATCGATGCGTCAATGAATTCGCTATAAAAAATTTCAGCCGCTGAACATTCCGCGTGATTCACGAATTGGGTTTCTCTTTTTTCCTTAAAAAAGTGTTTTTTTTTTTTGGGCGAAAGACATACGCAAACCGGCGACGAGAAGTCAGCAGCTTGATGACGATGTTCATGTTCATGGGCTTGCGTTGCTGCTGCAGGATCACGATGAAGAAGGCATCGGCACTCGTCCTCCAGTTTCTTCTGGTGGGATTTGCATCTGCAGGTTACGCATTTCATCTTCGCATCATCGAAAAGGCAGAAGAAGAAGATTTTAGAATTGTTCTTTTGCGGTCTTCGGCTGATTTTCCGTGTCTGTGTCGAACTGTCTCCAGCTGATCTTCTCCAGAACGCCGACTTCGAATCGCCGCCGCCCGGCTTCCCGGCGAACTCCACCGCGCCGTTCCTGCTCGGGCAAAACGACACGCTCCCCGGCTGGTCGTTCGGCGGCGAGGTCTACTACCTGACGGCGAGCGGCGGCGGGCACGCCGTCCAGCTGGGCCAGGACGGCACGATCAACCAGACTTTCGCGGCCTCTGCCGACTTCGCGGACTACTTGGTCACCTTCGCGGTCGCCTCGTCCGGCGGCGCGAACTGCTCGAGCAATGGCAGCGTCGTGATTTCGGCGCCGGACAGTCAGGGGGTGTTTCCGGTGGGGGAGCAGCGGGCCGTGTACGGGCTGTTCCTGGGGAGTTGGGGAGATGGGGAGGCGATCGATCTGGTGATCGCGAGCGAAACGACGGAGTCCGACACCAATGCGACGTGCTGGCCGGCCGTTGACTCGATCGTCCTGAAGAGCATCGCCAGTCTAGTCAAAGCCAATGGTACGTACAGAAGAATTTGTGCGCTAATACCGAACTAATCTTCATTTTTGGAGGTTTCACTGAGTTCTTTGTTTTCTTACATGCTGATGTTTCCGCAGATAATGAATTGGTAAACGGGGGATTCGAGTTCGGGCCGGATTTCTTGCCGGACTCTACGGAGGGAGTTCTGCTACAGCCGGCGCAGAGCCCTGTTCAATCGCCATTAATACAATGGGCTATCCTCGGAACCGTCAAGTATATTGACTCCAAGCACTACTTCGTTCCTCAAGGAAATGCCGCCATAGAATTAGTGTCGGGAAATTCAACCGGCATACAAACGGCCGCTCAGCTAACGAAGGATTCTTCGTACACATTGGAATTTATGCTCGGGGACGGGAACAACTCCTGCATCGGCGATTTGGAAGTCAGGGCGCAAGCAGGATCGGTCCTTCAAAACTATACAATTCAGAGCAAGGGGACAGGCTCGGCTCAGAAGTTCTCTTTCAAGTTCAAGGCCGATTCTGATACCGGCACAACACCAATCAGCTTTGTAAGCTATACGAGTAGCCAGACCAAAGATGGCGTGCTTTGTGGTCCGGTGGTCGACGATGTTGTTTTGCGAGCTTCTCTTGGCCTCAGATTGGCAATCCAGTGGAGGTTTCTGCTATCTCCGCTTTTGCTTGTGGCTCACGTGATGAATAAATGAGTCATGAAGCGATGGATCTGACCTTGAATGTGGTCTTCGGAAAATGACATGATTTTATTGCAGGCATTGAAATTTTGTTTCTTCGAGAAGTTTTCAGGGGATTTTGTTTTTTCGATTGAAGAAATGCTGCGAGAAATTTCCTCCCTCTTTAATGGTCGATATCGATATTTTACCACCTGATGAGTACGTTTTACCACCATTTGCTTGTATAGGATGAAATTTACTCAGCTTGGCTGTATGCTATAAGAGCTATAAAACTGGAGAGACATCGAAATTGTTTGGTGACATCAAGGTATATATATTGCGAATAACTGAGGAACGTTCAGTATAGATCATCAGTCAATTTAACTATGATGAGACAATCTGTGTTTGACAAAGAAAAAGGAAAAATTATGGCCGACGTCCACAATTTATATACACATCAAGCACCCATTGGAAAATTTTGTATAAACAGTGCATTATTGAAGATGTACTGTGTCCAACCAAATATACCACAAGATTTCTTTAACAGACGTTCATTCTTTTACAATTGTATATTCTATATCCTCTTGCAGTTTGTACAAGATTTCATGCAGGCTTCCGTGTATTCTACACTAAGTTTTCCAGATGACACCTGAAGCTATAGCAGATGTTGAATCCCGAGGCAGCAGAGAGCTTCTCTAGACACCTTCTCTTCTGTCATCTTCCATCTGCCACATTCAATTAATAAAACTTCTTTTCCAGATAATATGAATAAATACGCGGATCCTGAGAATACTTTACAGTCTTTGATTAACAGTTGTTATACAGCTTTAGCCCACAACCGGGGGGGGGGGGGGGGGGTTGGGGTGTGGGGGGTGGTGTGGTAGAGAGAGCCCCGACTCAAGCTTTTGTAGCAAGTGAAACCATCTCGCTGTTCCATTTGCAAATGGAAATTGCAGAGAACCTAAAAGCCTAATGAAACTGTGGAAACTGGAGATAGGAGATGATTTTGTAAGAAATTAAGAATTTGTGCATGCAGAGGTTTCAGAAGATAAGGAGCAAGTCATGAGCTAACCTGCTCAAGCTACTTACTGATAATTTTCCAGTAGCACCGGAGACTACTATACTTTCTGCAATGAATTGATCTGTGCAGCACGTCTCAGAAGGGTTTGGTAATCCTGACTTCTGGACCATTCATCAATCTCGCGGGCACGTAGAACCGGCAGAGGATGTGAAAGTTGCCTTGTTTGAGCATTTCTAGACAGAAAGACTACAGCATATATCACAAGTTCTTAATTCATAAGTGGGCAAAAATTAGCCTACACCATTACTCACCTTATGTACCACCCCACAGGGCTTGAAGATGCTTTTTCATAAGAACGAGCTTGCTCTAAAAAGGCATCCACGTTTAATTGATCAGCCAAAGATGGGATTCCACCGGCTAGTTTCATCAGAACAGAAATGACAACCTCTTGTACAAACGTCAATTAGTGTCATTAAAATTTATCCTTGTGCAGGTTATTAATAATATGTGAGCTCTGAGGAATTGAGACCTGTACCTTGGGGTCTTGGGCAACGAGAAGCGCAGCACGGTCGCAAGTTAGCTCTGCTGCTCGAAGCCATCTAAATAACTGTTCTTCTAGCCTTTGAGCTATTAATCCACCGAGTCCTGCCAAAAATGATTCATGAGGATGCCTGAATGGTCACCATGAGAATCATGTCAAGTAACAGCAGAATTGCAATGCCTTTAGAATTATTAGACCTCTAAATTTCCAGAAGATGGCTATGTAAAGGAGAATTACTACGAGCTGAATTTTATACAGCATTATAAGGGTAAGTCTTTTATTTATTTATTTTATTTTTCTTATCTGCCTGTAGTGTAGAATAATCACCATGACATATTACACAAAACTAAGACTATTTCAAGACAGTGCCGCAGGCTATTAAGTAATTCTAGCCAGTTCCTGAAGTTACCAACTATACATTGCTTAGCCATCAAACATTTGATAGCTTCTATACAACCGATCAGAATTTGAAGAAAAACCTGACATCCTTACATATAGTATCTGAAGTTTATTTGGATCAAGGCAATTAAGTAACAGAAATGCTCAAGTACTGAAGTACCAAACACCTACCAGGTACAGAATAGGCTCCAAGGGTGAGAATATTTGCAAACGTGAGCCATACACCATGGTCGCATTTCAGATGACCCAACTCATGAGCCAAAACGGCCTATTCTTACAATAAATGGTGCCAGTTAATAAAATGCCATCAACTGAATCCAATCATGCTTAAACAACAAAAATTGGAGTGAAACTCTTGTTGAAATTTATGATCCACGTCTTTTCAACTGCATCATTAAGTGTCAGCAGAAACGATTCCATACAGTCAAAAGGTTAATGATTGAAGAAAACAAGGCATTATTGTGAATAATCCATTATCTGCCGACAGAAAGCACTGGACCTAAGTTACAAAAACATTTAGCAAGAATGCGGATCCTGATTGAGACAAGCAGATACCTGCAACTCTTTTCGTGTTAGAAGCTCCACAAGGCTGGTATGAACAACAACAAATGGCTTTTTGCCACTGATTGCCAAAGTATATGCATTTGGTACAGGACTTTGACGTACATAGAGATCCGGAGCTTCAATATTCAATATTTGCGCAGCCTCAATCATCAATTGATGGAGATCAGAAAGCTGTAACATAGAAACTTTTGAATAGTAGGATCAAGTCTTAGCCCTATATTCGTTAGACATATAACATTCGTTTTTATTAAACTAACCACCTGAGGGAGGATAAAGAATTCTGTGAAATACATGCATATTGCTACTACTTAACTCCTTGCAAGTTGAGTCATGAGGGCACCTAGAAGCATCCAAAAAAGGAACCGCTAAAACGTGGGAGTACATGACATTACAACCTATTGCGGACTCTTATTCAAGGGAAAGCTATTGTAAATTGGGTGATAGTCACATAGGAGTGACGATGACCGTGGAATACTAGTAATTATTCCCCAAATATACACTACTTCATTGTGACTGAAGTGCCTAATTGAAGAGCTCGAGATCCTTCATCGAAATTAAACTACATGAACGACACGGAGTGGTCCATAGGAAAATATTTGATGATTATTGAAATCAGACAAGCCAAAGGTCAACAGTAGCCCAGAAACAAAAGCTATTTTTTTTTGGGTGATGTGAATCGTTAAAATTCTTCTGTGCAGTGGCCCTGTCATGTATTGGCTTGGACTAAAGTTGCAAAGGGTAGACAAATATAAGTTCATTTCATAGGCAGATTCAAAAGGAGTTAAGCCAAACAATAAAAATAACAGATGATTATAATATGACCTGATTCTCAGAAACAAGAACTGATGTCCCGATATTCTCAAGAAGCATAACTTGCTCTGTTACAGTTCCTGCAATCGCAGAGTCGAGGAAAATTTCTTATAGTGACACATTGACAGGATGTTCGATACAAAATCAACCAACAGCGTGGAGCGTCGAGTAGAAGTACAGCATTCGAATGAAAAACAGGACCAACCAAGAAATTGACATGAACTGCCAAAATAAAACCAACAAAGTTGATGAGACTTGGCCTGGCTAATGCATACGAAGATGCAACTCACCTAGTAGAGCCCTCCCAAGATCGTTCAGTCCTGGAATTGCCCTCAATATCAGTGTGTTCTGCGTGCAAAATTGTTACGGAAGAAGGGTTCAGGCGGTGCCGCAAGTGCTATAGAAACCAATACACTACGACAAGTCTAACTTCGCATTGGTTCCTCAGGTAGTGCAATTCGCTCCATTTGCCATTTCCTTGATGGTTAAAGATGTTTCCTAAGTTTGACACAACGTAGGGAGAACTAGCAGTCACTACGAAGAAGGTAACATTCACGGACTACTTCATTTTCATGCAAACAAGAATCTTCGCTTTCCTGTCACAACAAACAAGAATGAATCCTCACTTTTTCAACTCAATTTCTGTTTCATCTCAGCTTAACCACAGTTGTTCGAGCAATATGATATCTCCATTGCGATCCTCTAAGAGGAGAGCTCAAAACTCTGCAACAACTCAGCAAACCAGAGACGATCACAACAAACTTTCGCCGCGGAGCAAAGTGAGAGCCTCCGAACGCACCTGCTTATCCAGAGGGTGCCTGAAATCGTCGGCATCGAGATCGCGGAACACGACCGCGGCGGCTGCTCTGTGAACAGAAAGCCTCCTAAATCCACGCCTCCTCCCGGCGGGATCCGACCCGATCGAGATCGAGCTCGGCCCGAGGAGGCTCGGGGGGCTCCGGAATCCGGAGCTCCGGGCGCGGGGCCTCCGTGGCAGAGGCGGAGCGAGGAAGGAGAGAGCGGCGGCGGCGGCGGCGGCGGCGGCCATGGAGGAAGGGGAAGGGGAGGGCGAGGAGGGCGGTTTCGGAGAGCGCGGAGTTCAGTGGCGGTGGAGACGGTCTTCTTCTTCGTGCTTCTGCGACGGATTCATCGATGCGTTTTTCTGTGAGTTTTGTGATTGTGGTGATGAAGCAGCGAGCGAGCTAAAGCTTGGCTTTTGTCGCTGATATTTTCGCTCCATTGCGAGTTCGGATTTCGTACGACGCTTCTCGTTTCTGTTTGGAGGCGTTTGCACGTTTCTGGCCACAGGCCGTACTCCTGGCGACCGATTGGCGCCATTTCGTTTTCACGGTTGACTTTCGGAGCTCGTGGCGTTTTTCGGGCTTGAGGCCCGGCCCGCCCAGTTCTCTTTCTAGGCCCCGCCCACCTTCTCTTTTCTGGGAAAATGGAACAATGAAGTCTTGAACTTTTGCCCGACGTGTAATGTGATTTCTGAACTTTTAATTTATACAATATAATCCCTGAACTTTACTCCAGTATGCAGTGTGATCTCTGAAATTTTAATTTGTTAAATGTCGTCCCAAAATTGTTGGTACATTTTCAATTTAGTCCCCGACTTGTATGAAAATGTCAAGAACTATATTATGTTCGATGTAGTCCCCGAACTATATAAAATTTTTTATATAGTTCGGGGACTACATCGAACATGTATCAAAGGTTCAAAGACCATGTTGAACAAATTAAATTTTCAAAAACCATATTGACTATATTGACTATTTCCAGAGGCTCACCCAATTATCTTTTTAGGCCCACCCTCCATTTCTTGTTTGGAAAAATGACACAAACAGTTCATGAACTTTGATCCAATGTACAATATGATCTATGAACTTTTAATTTATTCAATGCAATCCCTGAACTTTACCCTAATGTGCAATGTGATCACTGAACTTTTTATTTGTCCAATGTCGTTTACCAATTTTTTGTACATATTCAATTTAGTCCCCTAATTATATGAAAATGTCAATGATATTTTCAAATAGTTCAGGTACATGTTCAATGTAATCCCCGAACTATATGAAAATATCAATTTAGTTACTAAATGCCAATGATTATATTGAATATTTTTCATATAGTTCGGGGTTTATATTGAACATGTACGAAAAGTCCAAAGACCATATATTAAATAAATTAAATTTTCAGGAACTATATTGAACATTAAGCTAAGGTTATGGGATTATATTAAACAAATTGAAATTTCAGAGATCACATTATACATTAGGCCAAAGTTCAAGGACTATTTGCGTCGTTATCACTCAATTGCGAAAATATAATGGTAACTACGTCGTTTCGGGCGCACCCGAGCCTTCCCCCTTCGTCGTCTCATCCTCCTCCTCCTCCTCTTTCCTCGAGCGAAGAAAACTATCGGCGTTGTGTTCAATTTCAGTGCCGGCGAATTCCGTCGTCTGCGCCAACTTCGAAGATGTTAGTTCTGAGCAGATTTTGCTTTTCTCAGTTTTGAAGCGTTCTTAACATGAAATGTGTCTGATCTTTTCTTCCGATTAATCGCTCTCTCTCTCTCTCTCTCTCTCTGTCCGTGCTTTTTGAGAAAAATTAGGAGGCATTCGGTGAATCGCCCCCCAACACCAGATGCAGCAGAGGATCAGGAAAAGGAGCCTACCCTCCAAGAGATTATCAACATCAAGGTCCGTTCTTCAGCTCAATCAAACATCTTTTGTGTCCTCGATGCGGAATTCGATGGTAACCATGTAGGGCTGCTTGGTTTTATAGTTTCAATTTGTGAAGTCGATTGCTTTTTCTCGCGGTTCTTTAGTAGCTAGACTGGCCCAGGATCAAGAATTTTGAGTTGGGTCAGTTCACGCATCTCCAGTATAGTGTTGCTTTAGTTTGACTTTCTACATTGAACTCGCTCGTTAAGTTTAACTGCAGTTCTTTTCGTATTGTTCCTTTTGTATGTCGTTGGCTCTAGTTAATGAAGTCTGATGTGGGTTCGAATCCTTTGCCTTGTCTCGACTGAGAAAATGTGTTTGCACTTTGTGACAGCTGATAGAAAGTGGGGAGAAGGAACGGTTGATGGAGCTGTTGAGGGAAAGGCTTACTGAGTGCGGTTGGAAGGATGAAATGAAAGCTCTTTGCAGGTTGTTATGGTTACCCCGAATATATTCTCTCATGGCTCCCCCGTCTTGTGTAATTAATTTAACTGTTGGGTTTCGTGGAATCGTATCTCAAGTTCCAAGAACCGAGATGGCTACATGCAATGCTTGGGTTATCCCCCGTGTGCCGGAAGTGAGAGTGCCTAAATGATTCTTATGAGTTATGTTGCTCGCTCCTCGATAATGCTTTACCTACAAACTATTCTCCTGTCCTTTTCTAATGCACTGAATATTGAGGACCGAGTAATATTGGTAAAGAAAAACATGACATTGAGGTACATTATGAAGTTCTCATTGAATGAAATGTCTGAAGGATAGACACAGCAGTGGATTTATGACTTCTTGGCTGTAAATAAGTCATTCAAGCGAGAACATAGATCCTGATGGGTACCCTAAGGATTGAAAGTGGCAATACAATATGGAAACTATCAATAGAAACGAGTAGTATGAATGGGTGCACTGCTGCCTCACTTATCAGTCATCTTATGTTCTCTTGCGGTAACTTATTTCTCTGTTACTAACTGCTTCGATTGGTTAAGTGAAATATCTATCTGTGCACCATGGACATACATGTGTTCCATATATGTTTATCTTTCAGATTTCTTGTCATACTAATAATTTGGGGTATTATACCATGAGAAGCTTATTTTCTTTAACAGGGCTTTTATAAAGAAGAAAGGTAGAAACAATGTCACTGTGGATGATCTCGTACATGTCATTACCCCTAAGGGAAGAGGTAAGTGTTTCCTTTTTCTACTTTCTCGGTTCTTCTTATAGTGGCCCCGGAGAAAACATTACACGACTTCAAATTGCCACTACCCTTTGAACTCTGAGGTTCTGTTATAATATATCGGTTGCCTTATCACCGCAAAAACATTTATACTGTACGTAAATTTGCTCAGTGACAGACATTGGCCGTAGCATACTGTTCTTGAGTGTGCACTCCATTCTAGATTAGTGCCCTGGCAGTGGAGGCACTGTGCTTTTCTATGTGGTAGGCTTAGTTATTCCTGCACTCTCAATTGATGTTAGTCCCCGAGAGGAAAAACGTAGCCTTTTTCCACCGGGTGAATTTTATGTCTAAATTTGGTTCTTTTGGATGGGGTTCATCACAACTGCTGAAAGATGTTAGTCTACTAATTTTTGTATGTGATCCAACGATAGTGACGTCACCCAGTTCATTCAAAAGCCACTCTTTGCTATCGAACTTCTTTTGGATTTCATCCGAGCGATGTTTGGCATTTGCATGTATAATGCAGCCTCTGTACCTGATCATGTAAAGGCCGACCTGCTGCAAAGAATTCGCACATTCCTCGATTCAGCTGCTTTATAATGGGCCGGCATGTCACATTGTCCAAGTGTGGAACTCCAACCCAATTCGAAGCATCGAGCTGTTGAAGGGGCAGGATCAGGGGTCACTGCAGATCGGAAGCACACAGGGCAGTGAGGACGGGAGGAGCATTTCTTTCGACGGACAAAAACAACTTCGCTGTCTCGAATGTGCTTGTATTGTAGGTTACAATGACAGAGAAAGCATTGTGTTTTTTTGTATAATGTCAATGAGTTCTGGATGTGACTATATATATAGAGGGAACAAATGGAGACCTTGTGAACGAGCTCGGATATCAAGTGTCAGGATTTTATTCGGACTGACTTCTCCGCGTGCAGCGCGCGAACTCATCTTCTTTCTATTAGTTGCCTTCAACAGAAAACTTGCGAACGAAAGAGGTGAAGAAGTGAATCGAGTGCAGTCCACCGGTTTCCATCTAACCTTCAAGGAGCAGGAGTTGTTCCGGTTGAGGGAAACTTTGAAAGAGAAGTTCCAAGGTCATCGGCCATGTACATCTGGGGTCGGATGTGGCGAGCATTTCACCTCTCCGATGGTAAATTTCATTTATTCACCGAAATTTAGTGGGATTTACCTCAGGTCATCGAACTTTAGTTTCAATCATTTAATCCGTCGAACTTTTTATTTCTTATTTTTCGAGATCGATTTTGCTTTGACCGTAAGTTTTATCTAATTCTTGGCGAATTTCCGAAGTGGCAGAAAGGCGAATCGTTATTTTGGATGTCGAATCGGGGCCGTGTGGGTAGGTTTGTTAGCATTTTGCCAAGAAAGTTTGTCGGGGGGTCGATCAAAGTGTATCAATTGTACATTGGTCGATGGAAATTGGTGACTTCGATTGCAAATTCCATGGAACTTTAGTTGCTTCGCGGGCTTCTGTCATTTGCTCTATGTACTTGCACCATACGTACGGTCGCTCGGTTCTGAGTATACTTTTAGGGTAATGTCATTACCGGTCCTTTTATTTTTGCCCGAAATTCAAAATCACCCCTTTGATGCTTGCTTTTATCCGAAATTGTCCCTCTACTTTTTAAAATGTTCCACGATAGTCCTTAGGTTAGATTTTTTCTTTCGCCGGTTAATTTTTGCTGACATGAATTGTCGTATTATTGATATGGACATCTGGGAGTATACATGTGACGTTATGATTCGCTCAAAATTATTACATGGAGCTGATTCGGCGCCGTCGACATAAAATTATAAAAAATGATTAATTGAGAGAGAGAGAGAGAGAGGGGTAGGTGTGAAGAAGCCATATCGCAACAACGGCCACAAAATTTGTTGTGATAAGAGTGAAACTGATGAGTGACAAGTGTTTCATTATTGTCGCCATGCCCACTCAAGCTTAAATTCGCGATCGCCATAGACCATCTAGCTTGAGCTTGGAGCTCTCGACCGCTCCTGGTTACTTGAGCTTGGAAAATTGTCAAATCAGTCCTAAATTTATTGTACAACGATCAATTCAGTCCTAAACCTTTTAATTTTACCAATTCAGTCCTAAACCTTTTTAATTTTTGCCAATTCAGTCCTTCCGGTCAATTTTGGCCGGCCAGCGCTGACGTGGCCGCCAGCCGTCCGGCCAACGCTGACGTGGCAATTTTTTATTTTTATTTTCAATTTTTTAATCTTTTTTAATCTTTTTTTTTCTTTTTTTTTCTGATTTCTTCATCTGGCCGGTCCGACGACCGGCAGCCGGCCAGAGGGGAGGGCTGGGGAGGTCGACCTCGCTGGCCTCGCCGCTGCTGAGGCGAGGCCGATCTCGCCGTCGCCTGGTTCGCGACGGCGAGGTCGAGCCGCCAGATCGGCGAGGCTCGACCTCGCCGTCGCGACCCAAGCGACGGTGAGTCTCGCCTCGCCGCCGCTGGGCGAGGTGAGGCCCAAGATGACGAGGCCAACCTCGCCGACGCCCGGGTCGCGACGGCGAGGTCGAGCCTCGCCCGATCTCGACCTCGCCGTTGCGACCCAGGCGACGGCGAGGTCGGCCTCGCCGCTGCTGGGCCTCGCCTCGCCATCGCCTGGTTCGCAACGGCGAGGTCGAGCCTCGCCAGATGTGGGCGAGGCTCGACCTCGCCGTCGCGACCCAGGCGTCGGCGAGGTCGACCTCGCCGGCCCTCCCCTCTAGCCAGTCGTCGGACCGGCCAGAGGAAGAAATAAAAAAAAAAAGATTAAAAAAAAAAAAAATTGATACGTCAGCGTTGGCTGGACGGTCGTCGCCGGCCAGCGGCCACGTCAGCGTCGGCTGGCCAAAATTGGTCGGAATGACTGAATTGGCAAGAATTAGAAAGGTTTAGGACTGAATTGGCAAAATTAAAAGGTTTAGGACTGAATTGACCGCTGTACAATAGGTTTATGACTGATTTGACAATTTGCTCAAGCTTGAAACTCACGGCCATGACCGTTTGAGCTTGAAATTTATGGGCACCGTTTATTGTCGATTCCTGGAATTTCCTAAATTTAAATCTAATCGTTAGGACTTTCGCAAATTATTAAATCATTTTCATTTCGGAAATAAAAAGTTAAGGTTCAATTTTCCCAAATGGAGTAAAATTTAAATGATAAGTTAAACCCTCATATTTCAAGAAAGTAAAGTTTCGTTGTCCTGAATTATCAACTTTTTATACATATTTCCTCTAAAGTTATAAAATCTTGAGAAGTTTTCTGAAGGAAAAATTATCAAAAAAGTCATAAACTTATTGAACTTTTACCAATTTAGTCTTAAACCTTTTAATTTTGCCAATTCAGTCCTAAACCTTTTCACTTCCTGTCAATTCAGTCCATTCGGCCAATTTTGGCCAGCCAGAGCTGATGTGGCCGCCATTTGGAATCTTGTAATATTTTTTCTTCTTCTACACTCCTTCCTCCCTGGCCGGTTCGGCAACCAGCCAAAGGCGCTAGCCAGCGAGGTCGACCTCACCGGCCTCTAGCAAAGCTCGCTCTCATCAGCCACTAGCGAGGGCGAGCTCACCTGCCTCTACCTGGGCGAGATCGAGGCCGATCTCACCTAGCCAAGGCGAGGTCGGCTAGCGCCATCACAAGTCGGCCTTGCCATGGTTAGCCGAGGCCGACCTCGCCATCGCTGGGTGAGGGGGCGCCTAGCAACGGTGAGGTCAGCCTCGCCTTGACTGGGTGAGCAACGGCATGTGAGCTCACCCTCACCAGTGGCCGGCGGGGGCCGCCTTCGCCAAAAGCCGGCAAGGTGTCGACCTCATCGGTTAGAGAGGAAGAAGTGCAGAAGAAAAAAAAGAAAGAAAAGAAAAGGAAATTCGAAAAGAATATTTAAAAATTGCTATGTTAGCGTTGCCCGGATGACTGGCGGTCACGTCAGCACCGCCCGGTCAAAATTGACAAGAAGTAAAAAGGTTTAAGAGTAAATTGACAAAATTAAAAGGTTTATGACTGAATTGGCAAAAAATGTAATAAGTTTAAGACTTTTTGACAATTTTCCCGTTTTCCTAACGTCGATAAAAAATGAAGATCATGCTTTTTTGCGAACGATTATTCAGTGGGCCTAATGTATTTACTAAAATCGAATCCATATAATAAAAAGGGTGGGTCGGATCCTAGTAGATTATCAAGAATGCTCATTAGATCCAGCCAGATCCGACCGTCCCAGTTCATTTCGATATCTGCGTTACGGTAGGCCCTCGCCCATTTAGAACCCCCGATTTCTCTATATCTCTCTCTCTTTTTTTTTTGGTCGGTTCTCTTGAAATCCCTAATTTTGGGGGGACGTGGGCACGACTGGAACCGCTAAACCGCCAGGTGAGCCCGCGCGCACGACCCCCGAACCTATCCGAGTCGCGGTCGTGGTGGCGTCGCGGTCAATCATCCCATCCCCTCCCCTACAAACACCGCACGAGCCTCGGCCCACGCACGCACGGCCCAGACACCACGTCCCCGTCCCCGTCCACGTCCCATCTTTTTCCGAAAGAAAAGGAAAAAGAAAGCGCGAAATTACGAAAACGCACATCGCACCACAGGACCGCCTCGCGGCCGAAGTCTTCCCTCTCTCTCCTTCCTTCGTTTAGGGCTCATTAGCAAAGACCCGTGCAGAAAGTCACAGCCTCTCGCCACCTCCCCTCCACCTGAACCCGAGCGAGCGCGAGAGAGAGCGAGAGAGAGGGAGAGAGAGAGGGGGGAAAGCTAAAGTTTTTTGATCTCCGCCATGGATATGCAGAGCGACTTCGATCGCCTCCTCTTCTTCGAGCACGCCCGCAAGACCGCCGAGGCCACCTACGCCAAGAGCCCCCTCGATGCCGATGTCAGTAATCCTTACCTCATCGCTCGCTCTCGCCCCCGTCGTCTGTTCACCCCGCGAGCTGTTGTTGTTTTTCGGTTGTCGTTGCTCGATTGCTTATGGGGTTCAGTAGGTTCGATGCTTTTTGTGCGGGTCTTGATAATAATTTAATTCCTGGAGGGATGCTTCGACCGTGGGATTGGAGATTCCGAATTTGTTCTTCGTCCGGTGTTCGAATGATGTTTCTCTGTGGGTTAATTTGGATGCTTGTTTCTTCTTGTGTTTTATTGGTTCCCTCGTTGTGCAGAACTTGACTAGGTGGGGAGGAGCCTTGCTGGAGTTGTCTCAGTTCCAGAGCGTGCCGGATTCCAAAAAAATGATTCAAGGTCGCTCCTTTCTTCCACTTTTGCGTGTTGCCCCAATCCTCTGCTGCTAATTCTGAAGGGGAAATTAGCTTTTCTGATTATGTCTTTTTTGCCCCTGATAAGCATGGTACCATTTCATAGTATGTTGTCTGAAACTCTCATACTTGTAGTTGTCATTTTTCTCTTCACGCAAGCTCCTCCTAACTAGGACTGTCAGCTTGTTCCGCACGTTTATCGGAAGTAAATGAGAAGAAGAGGTACAAATTCGTGAGCACGTTCATAAAAACCTATAGAGTCGAAGGCGACATAAATTGACCCGAATTCATAGCTTGAACTTGAAATGTGAACACAGAACTGTTAAGGTCTATTCATTACGAAAACTTAGGGGTCTCCTTCGCACCCCTCATGATCATCTTCATTTCCTCGAGCAACGAAGTTTTTTGGTTTTTGCTTTTGTTCAAGCAATTTTGCAAGGCATTAATTGAAGCTATTTCCTCGATGAAAAAGAACAAATCTGCCACAATTGAGTCTATCCTCAGTGTCTGGACATGTGATGTGAGCCTATTGTCGCATCAACCATATTACCAATCCCCTAGTGCATTTGCATAGACTTTGAGATTATTCTGTTTATTGTAGTTATTTTTTTTCGGTTAACGCTGCGTGGTGTGTTTGTTATTGGAAATGATTGTTCCGCTTTGCATTCTTAGCTGATAGTTTGATCATTCAGATGCTATTTCAAAACTTGAGGAGGCGCTCCAGGTGAACTCCACCAAGCATGATACTCTTTGGTGTCTTGGGAATGCTCACACTTCCCATGCATTTTTGACTCCGGACCAAGATGAGGCTAAGGTTTACTTTGAGAAGGCAACTAGCTATTTTGAGCAAGCTGTCGCTGAGGTGATTAGAATTGAAGCCTCAACAAATTCTATGCCTGTTGTTCGATAGTCAGATGTAGATATATGACTATGCTGTTCTCATGCTTTTCAGGATCCTGGCAATGAGTTGTATGCTAAGTCTCTGGAAGTGGCTGCTAAGGTACGGTGAACGAATCTTTTTTGCGGTCACCTTACTTCTTGGGAAGCTTTTATAACCATGCGCATTTGCATGCATGGTGCTGGTGCTGGTGCTGGTGCATGGATTTACAAGCATGTGTGCCTGCACGCAATTTTTTTTCACATGCAGTGGAGCTTATAGCCTGTTGAGGATTTTATGAAATTGCCTTACTTTTTCTGTGACCTCAATACGGTTGGGGGAGAAACAATCTTTTAGTTTCTTGTTGTCAAGGATTTGTTCATTTTGATTGAAAGTAGGGTGTTCATGCAGTCAATTCTTCCCTAATGGAGATTTTTAGCTTTAAAGATTCTCGTCTGTTATTATGCTTAGGCCCCGGAGATACACAAGGAGATCCACAAGTCTGGATTAGCACAAGAGGCTGTAGCTGCTGGGCCTTCATCTTCTTCCGGTGGGATGAAGGTAATTCTTTCAATCTCTTATATTATGTATCGTTAGTCCTTTGCTTGTTTGTGCTTGAGCTTTTTTCATTTAAAAAAAAAAAATGTTATACTCCATCGTGCAATCAGAGATATAGTATTTATTTTTTGGGGAAAAGAAGAAAGGGTGGTGGGGGGGAGGGGGCTGTGTGTGTGTGTGTTGCGGCAGCGGCAATAGTTGCCTGTGATGTCCAACGACATGGTAAGCATATATACCGCAGGCGCACGCAAAACTGCATGTTTACATGGAGTCTGCTTGCTGTGTCTCTGTTGATAGACTATACATCTTCGTTGGGGATACATGACTGGTTTGTTTCGTCTTCTTTCAGAGTTCAAAGAAAAAGAAGACCAGTGATCTCAAGTATGACATATTTGGCTGGATCATCCTTGCTGTTGGCATTGTCGCCTGGGTCGGGTTTGCGAAAACTCACATGCCCCCACCGCCGCCTCCCCCGCGATGAGTGAAGCGCGTATCTGTCCTTGTTCAGAAGATTAAGCATCCATCAGAAGTTCGTGCTGATGTATGTGCGATGGCGCGACATTCTTCCCATCTAGCGCCTTGCTTCCTTTTGCAAGGAATTAATCTTGTCTCTGCAACTTTATTTAGTAGTGAGTTTTTTGGGCTTTTTGGGTTGATTCATGGTTGATAAGAGGAGAGCACATTGAGGTAGGTCTGCACTTACCATTGAGATTGTTCTTTTGGACTCGTTTTGGCCGCATCGTTTTATAAGGTAATTTATCATATTTTCACACCCTTTATCAATTGCTCGGCAATTTCTTCTTTTTGTTGAATCTGTGTTACTTTGGGATGACGTTTAACTGCTTTGAGGCATACGCTGACCATCGGTAGGAAAGACCCTCAACATCCCGCGTTTTTTAGGAAACTAATTATTGACTTAAAACAATTGCTTGTATCCCTTACGAAAAATATTTTCATTGTTCACGAAAATATTTAGACTAAATTGTTGTTGGTAATGAAAACTTTTTTCATTGAGTATTTATCTCAAGCAATACATTCAATTAATTTTAGGAAAATGTTATTTAAATCATTCATTTGTTCAAGGTTCTGTTTGTTTTGTATAAACCGAATGATTTGAATAACAATTTTAAAAAAATATTCACTTGTAGTGCTTAAAATAATTAGTCAATAAAAAATATTTTCATTATTAACAATAATTTCTGACAAAAATATTTTTTTTGACATTGAAAATATTTTTCATTCATTCTTTTCCATAAACAATATAATCTATCATATTTAAGAAGAATTTATTTTTTGCGAAACAAATAGGGACTATATCAAGGGATCTTTTTAAATGGTCCATTTGTTTCACAAAAAATGTAGTGTTTCTAGAAATTACTTTTAGAAAAATGACTTCATTTTCCGGTGTCTGGCTAAAATCTTAAAAAGACCTAGAAAGTATTTTTAGTCATTTGATAAGGAAAATCTAATAGGGGAAATTATAAAAAAAAATCATATTATTTTATTAATTTTCTTTTCTTCAGCGACTGGCCATAGGCGAGCTCTAGCGTCGCCTAAGGTCGATAAGGCTCAAGCTTGCCATATCCCGACAAGCTCGAGCCTCATAGGCCTCGAGTGAGCTTGAGCCTCATCACTAGAAATCGCAAGCTTGTCCGATTTGGCAAGGCTCGAGCCATGCTCGGCAACTAGCCGACTAAAAGAAAAGGAAACAAAAAAAAAGGAAAAGAAAAGAATTAAAAATTAAAAATAATTTGATTTTTAAAAATATTTTTATAAAAACAAATGTGTCATTAACTAAGGACCCAAGTTTGAGTGCCGAGAACTTGCGAATAGTCTTTGTGGACCCTGGCGTGAGGGTCGGGACTGGAGCTTGAGCGTTAGAGACCCAAGCATGGCGTTTATGGACCCAAGTTCAAGTGTCGCGGTATTGGGTACGGGTACCAAGGGTTTGGGCCCTGCCGTCAGAGACATGGTCCAAAATGCTGGGACTGAGAACTAATGTTGGGGTTTTCATGCCAAATGTAGAGGTTTGAGCTCAATCGTCAATAACTAGTCATATTTTGAAAAACGTCTTCCAATTCTTTTAAAGAGGAAATCATTTTCTTGAATTTAAGATTTGGCAAGAAAGTCTTTTTCTGTCGATACATTTTCCTAAGCAAATCAAACACCGAAAAACGAGGAAAATGTTTTCCGCGAAACAAACGGACCTAAATATTGCTTTCCATCGTGGAAGGTTAACGGAGGCCTTTTGAGTTCCAAAATCAAGTTGTGGTCCGTAAATCTTGTGCAATGAAATGTTACCGGAAACTTGAAATTGAATCAGAAGCACTCTTGCATGATTATGCCGGTAAGAGAGAGACAGAGTTGAAAATGAGATTCATATGGAGATGATCTCTCTGGTTGCTGTGTCGGTTTAGATTGCGATGGAACTCTTTATATACGATGAACTGAGGTTTTCTTTAATACGATTTTCAGATAAAGATTAATCCTAATTCTCGTTTGAAGTCTTAGAATAGATTAATTCAAAGATAGAGAAATCGAATTTCTTAAGGCCCGGGCCCATATGAGCCTCGCGAGACGGACCGCTGGCGACCGGCCCGTGGGCACCGAGAAACTTTCCCCGCCCGACCAACTCGCGCGGGGAAGCGCGGGAACCCTAGCCATCGCCCCACCGCCGCGCTCCAGCGCGACGCTCGCTTGTGGACAACGACCCGTCGTCATAGCTCCCTTCTCCCCACGAAAAGAGCGTGCCATCCCGAACTTCGAAGTCCCTCCCTCTACTTGCGCGACTGCAGAAGATCGCCCCCCCCGCCAACATTACAAAGATCAGTAGTTAATGATTTCAGGCCAAGAGAAGAAAGATACATCGTCACTAAAAATTTCGGATTCCGTAAGAAATCTAATTCTAATTTCCCTCATTTCTCCCCCAAATCCCTCCAAAAAGGGGCTAAAAAGAGAATCACGTCCCTGGATCATTCGAGTCCATCCATACACCCTAACATAATCATCGCCACGGCGTACAATCCCACAGATTAATAAGAGAGCCCAAAACAACAACCGCGGCGCCACCCACATTCGACTCCTCGAGAAGATTCTCCCGCAAGCCTCTTTTCAATTTCGAAACAACGCTCAAAAAACGTCAAAATTCTCGCGCAAGCTTTCCCCCAAAATTTTCAAAAATCACCCGCCCTTCCTCTCCTCCCTTTAAAATCCCACCCCCCCATAACCCCCAAAATCCATCAAGAAATCCGCCCCCCCGAAATCCTCTCCCTCTTCTCCTCTCCCCTCGACCCGACGAACCAGACGAGAACCCTAGACGCGGCGCGACACGACGATGCCGTCGATCGTCCAGGAGGAGGAGCCCCTGCTGGCCCCGAACCCGGACCGCTTCTGCATGTTCCCCATCCAGTACCCGCAGATCTGGGAGATGTACAAGAAGGCGGAGGCCTCCTTCTGGACCGCTGAGGAGGTCGACCTCTCCCAGGACCTCCGCCACTGGGACGCCCTGACCGGCGACGAGCGCCACTTCGTCACCCACGTCCTCGCCTTCTTCGCCGCCTCCGACGGCATCGTCCTCGAGAACCTCGCCGTCCGCTTCATGAAGGAGGTCCAGCTCTCCGAGGCCCGCGCCTTCTACGGCTTCCAGATCGCCATCGAGAACATCCACTCCGAGATGTACAGCCTCCTCCTGGAGACCTACGTCCGGGACCCCGCCGAGAAGGCCCGCCTCTTCCGTGCCGTCGACACCGTCCCCGCCGTCGCCCGCAAGGCGGAGTGGGCCCTCCGCTGGATCGACGGCGCCGAGTCCTTCGCCGAGCGCCTCCTCGCCTTCGCCTGCGTCGAGGGGATCTTCTTCTCCGGCAGCTTCTGCGCCATCTTCTGGCTCAAGAAGCGTGGGCTCATGCCCGGGCTCACCTTCTCGAACGAGCTCATCTCCCGGGACGAGGGCCTCCACTGCGACTTTGCCTGCCTCCTCTACTCGCTGCTGCGGAAGAGGCCGAGCGAGGAGCGGGTGCGGGGGATCCTGCGGGAGGCCGTGGACATCGAGCGGGAGTTCGTCTGCGACGCACTGCCGTGCGCCCTGGTGGGGATGAACCGGGACCTGATGGCCCAGTACATCGAGTTCGTCGCCGACCGCCTCCTCGGCGCGCTCGGCTGCGGGAAGATGTACGGCGCCGCCAACCCGTTCGACTGGATGGAGCTCATCTCGCTGCAGGGGAAGACCAACTTCTTCGAGAAGCGGGTCGGGGAGTACCAGAAGGCCTCGGTCATGTCCAGCATCAACGGCGACGGCGGCAGCCACGTGTTCAAGATGGACGAGGACTTTTAGATGTCTTGCGCTGGGGCGCGTTGTACCAAATACTGTCTTTAATTTTTTTTTTTTTCCATTCTCTTTTTCGGGTTGTTTTGGTTTGGGAAATGATAATATGATAAAAGCCGGTTCGTTGTGAATGGTCCCCCTCTTTATTTTTTATTTTTATATTTATTTTCCGAAGGAAATTGTGGGTATGAGAAATGGGGAGGTGAGAGCGAAACAAAATTGGAGGAAATTGCATTTTAGAAAAGACTGTCTGACCAGATAATTCGCCTGAAATTAATCGCATTTTAAGAAAAGTATCAAATGTTTCTTGCAAAAAATTGATTTTTAATTTCGGAAAATAGGAACTTTATCTGAGAAACTATTCTTCGTGTGGTAAAACTGTTGAAGGAGGACAGAGATTAATGCGAAAATCGACATTTTTTGGAGGAGCAACGCTGTCCTCTCCTTGGCCCTGTGCTTACGAGACCAATGGGATAAAATCTTCAAGGATGGGGGCTTCATAAAATAAATTTTAATGCATATTAAAGAATATTGAATAGTGAATATATATGTTATTTGTTCAGCATTTCATAAATGGAATCGCAAATTATAATGCGGATTAATATTTTCTCGTCAAGTTCTCTGGGGGTATTTATTAATAAAGTTTTAATATCAATTGTCCTCGGAGAGTATTGGGTTCCTTTGGAATCGTAATTAGGAGAAATGGCACCAAATTCTCTTGAATTTTAAGGTGGTTTACATATAAACTTCGAAAGGTTAGATCACCCCATGTATTTTCATTTTATTATGATCGTTGAATTATCCGTGAGAAATCTCACTTTAACGGGCAAGTGTAGTACTCAAAATTCATTTTTTTCATATGAATTTCTCTATTCCTCATGATTTTCTTTAAAAAAATGAAAATGATAAAGAAAATGAATTGGCTAAAGCATTAATATAAGAAAAGATAAATCTCAACAACGATTTCGACAATCAAAATCGTTAAAAAAAATGGATAAAAATATTAATAAAACCGATAAGATATTTTAGGAAAAGAACATAAGTAAAAACAAGTAAAAAGCAAAAATTGCCTCGATAATAGAAACCCATTGAAAAACTAATAAGAAGGCAAAAGCCGCGCTTGCTTTCGAATTTTCCCCTCTTTTATTCGAAGTGAATTCAGAGGTTTTTCGCGGCCTCGTCACTCAAAAAAACCCCAATGCGCGTCATCATGACATCACCACCACCATTTCACCAGCACCAGGGGGCGGTGTGGCTCTTCCCACCCAGCCGTGTGCTTTACGCCACAAATTTTGAAACTTCTGATCGAGGAAGAAGGTCGTGCAGGGAAACGGCAATGGCGTCGTCGGGCAGTCAAGGGATGCTGTCCGAGGACCAGCTCCTCCATCTCTTCGACCGCTTCTCCTTCCTCGCTTCTCTGCCCGGTATCATCTCACTCCAGCTTCTTCTTCTCTCTCCCCCTCCGCTTTTCTTTTGCTTTTCCTCCACAGTTCGGTCTTCCCGTTTTCATGAGCCCTCTCTCTCTCTCTCTGTCTCTCTCTCTCGTGCTTGCAGATGTTAAGCAGCGGATTTCGGATGCTGTGCAGGACAAACAGGTAACTCTCTCTCTCTCTCTCTCTCTCTGGGCGCTGGGCGATTTGTGCGTTCCTGTCGGTCTGTCCTCGCATTTGCCTAGATTTAGTATGATGGAGACTGCTTGTTCGAATGGCTTGTTTGCTGTGAGCCTTGAGTTGCTTCCTGGGTGCTGATCTACTTGTCCACATTATCTGGATTTCTCGGCAAGGCCCGAGAGGAATGGGGGCGTGCTTTCAGCCCTTTGCAGCTTGGTTCCCGTGCAATGTGTTCGATATCATAGGCTGATGTTCTCATTTGTGCTTGATGTGACCAATTTGCTCAATCTTTCAATGTGAGATGTGAATTAGTTGTGGACCTTGCGCCGAGTTACAGATTCTCTCTGTTTCGGCTGGTGATTGGAGTCTTATTTTTGTCCATAGAATGGAGAAATTATCTCCTGGTTGGACATCTAGTAGACTGGTGTTATTCCAACCTCGGGAGGATATTCTAGTTTCTGTTCATAGTGAAATGTGGGTATCTGTCGTTGTGTGATATTTTTGTTGTCTTAAGGACATCTCTTCAAAGTTAACCTCCCCTGTTCCTGTTACTAACCGTGAAAGCTTCAGACTGACCGCTATTATGTTTCTCTTGTAAAATGAACACGTCCAAAGCATCTGAAGGTTCAACTGTTAAATCATTTGGCTCTTCTTGCTAAGTACAGTTGTTCTCGTTTTCTCCTTCTAATTTGTCATTCTATACAAGTGGGATTTTACTCTCACAAATGTATCATCATGACGTACTTTTACGAAATGAATGTAGAAAGATCCTCATGAAATTTTTGGCTAGAAGGTTGCGGTGCAATTGTAGATGCTTTAATTAGCTCAAGGTGTTATTGCATGTGGGCTCCATTGTAGAACTCGACAAATTGCTTGAGAAGATTCTTGTTGGTACCTAGACCATGTTATGGATTTGATTTACTAACAAAATCAGGTTGTCTACAGAGGCTATTTTGGATGTGATTTGTTGAGAAGTGATGGCACTAAGTTTGTGTATAACCTAACGTAAGTTGCAATCTGCAGGAAGCTGTTGCTGTGACTACAGAAATCCAAGAAGAAATATTTCAGGAGATGGGTATTGGTGAGTTTTCTTACTGGAAACACAACTCTTTAGTCATTTTCAGTCTTTTATTTTGAAAGGTTTCAGATGCCTATGAATGTACTAAAGAACAGCTAGCTCTGGAAGGACATCTATGGTCTAAACTGGAAGTATGTTCCCGTGTCTAGATCAAACAGATTAGTTTTCCCTCTCCGAGTTTATTCTTGGATGTACTCACAACATGGTTATATTTTAGTCCTTAAGTCATTCACTGCGCTTCTCTTCGAAATTTTCTGGGAAGTAATCTTGGATATGCCAAAATAAGCAGCCATAGTAAGCTCATCAATATTTATCATGTGAGTCTGATTCTAATCCTGCACAAGTTTGCATGGAGTATAGCTCGATATGACTGCCTTTCTCTGAAGTTTGGAGCTGAAGTTTGTTAGTGAGGAACTTGATATATTTCAGGGTCAATATCGTTTGGATTTATTTCTCTTGCACTGACGCACAATATATGTGAAGGATTTGACATTAGCAGCTCGTTGAAGAGCGGAAGTTGTGCTTCGCTGTCGCCACTTGCGAATTATGTGCTGCCTTTCTCGTGCAGACCCAAGATTTGGCATAGCATGCCTGGGAAGAGTAAACATGGTTTATGAGAATGACCGGGATTTGATGATTCGTTTCTATAAATTTGTTGCAAAGTAATCTCTCTCTCTCTCTCTCTCTCTCTCTCTCTCTCTCTCTCTCTCTCCGTGTGCATAACACTTACGCACACACATTGGGAACTTATGATGTGGCAGCATTTCCCAAGGTGCTGAATCACCAATTACATGTGCCTGGTGTTTATGAGCAGTATTGTGCAGTTTTATTTTAATCTGGACACGTTAGGCATGAAGTTAGAAAGAAATTGCCACCATTAACTCCGCTCCATTATTAGTTGTACAAATTCAAAGTAAAAAGTGAAGAAACAATAGTTCTTCTTACTGCATTATCCTGCTAAAAGATTGCTAACTGAAGCAATTATAAAGCTAATGATAAAGAGAAGGAAGATTCTAGAGATGAAAAGGTGTCTGTCTTGCATCTCTGACAGGGAAAAAGTGGTTGGTAAGACTTTCTGTTTATGGGGCAGGGAAGAAGCGGCTTGTGATGAGGCTGAATTTGGGCCAGATGAATTTTCAGAAAGAATGCTTTATCAGCAGAAACTGCAGGAACAGGTCATAATTCGAAAACTTGTGGTTCAATCTCATTGAAGTTATTCACTGATGAAAAAAAGTATGAATCTACCTTACAGCAATTGGAGATGCTAAAGTACATGCGCCAATTTAACCTCGACGATCAGTCAGCAATCCTTGATAAGGTAAATGATTGTATATTACTCTCTGTTCATTTACGCTTTGTCATGGATCATCTACATTAACCTGATAAATGCGATGCATAACCAGATCAAATCACTATATAGACATACCCAGAACCTACTTCAGCTTATTACCTAAAAGAAAAGAGCTGGAGGGATATTCTCAAGGCCAATGAGTGAAAGAACTCGAGTGAAGCTCTCATAGTTTTCTCCATTTCATTGTTGTGTTGTTTACATGGTCTGGCAAAATCAGTTCCAAGAACAAAGGTCTTACGCATAATTATTACTGTGAGCGTGAATTTGCCCTTTGACAAGTGCGATAATTGCTTTCTGTGAGTTCTCACGTCAAAACCAGAAGATAATTTAGGGTTCTTATTCTGCTTATTTTCTCACTTAATAAATCCTTGCGGATCCCTGATATGCTCTTCCTCTCAAAGCTCACTAGTTTATTTGATCTAACAGTTGCGGCAGCAAATAGAAAATTGCAATTTTGACAGTGAAGCATCAGTTTTGTCACCAGAACAAATTCAAGAGACTGTCCGAAGAAGGGTATCGCCTCTATTTACGCCAAGGTACAATCCAGTTTAACTTATCCTTCATCAATGATTGACATCTGGAAGGATAGATCATATTGCAATCGTGTTCAGACAAGCGGTTATTGCCTGAATCTCTTTTAGCCTTTCAATATTTTAACATGATTTTAATTTCTGCTGGTGGGTTCATCTTGTCATTGGTTTACTCTTATCTCGGACCTGATTCAATACGGCATGTATGGTGTGCTGTTTTGCAAGTTTCTCTCCTTCCCTTCCCTCTCTTTTTGATGATTTTCCTACTGGATCAACAGGGTAGCAAGTTGAGGTGAACAGCACAATGACTTGTTAATCTGCTCCAGCGCTGCTTGGTTTGCTTTTTTGTCTGGTTCTAGCGCTGTTCTTTTGGTTCAAATTGTCACCTGAAGCAACCAGGTGACCGATGTTACAATGTGTTAAAATTCTTAGACTTGCATGTTAACCATGGCACTGCCATGTACATTTGACAAGAGACCTTGTAGATGGATATCATATATAAGCAATTATTACTCGTGTCACGGGAAGTCGGTGGTTGTTCAAGCCTTGTTTCGAGTCAATCTCAATCCCGAACAAAGCTAAAAACCGCTGTTTAATGAGCCTAAGTTGGTAGGCGGATCCTACGAAGAGATATCTCGGAGTACTAGTCCATCCAGAGCACAAAATATTCACGGTGAGAAGCATAACCGGATCCATGTAGGCATCCCCGAAAGTTGGTTTGTCTTCTGTCGGAGAACCACAATCCACCACACGGTTGGGTTTCGTAAAGTTGCAAATCCGTTTGATTAAGATTGGAAGTTCGCTCTTACAGATCACACATCATTATGACAAGGACAGCATTTGTAGTAGATATTCCAACCCGATCGATTTGATTAGTCCAGCACCAGCAGCAATATCAACCCGATGTTGCACTATGCACCAGCTCGGGTCCAGTTATACAGGACCAGGAGTAGCACGCTGACTCTCGTGGCTACCCAGCGCGCGCGAATCGATAGCAAAAGGTCATGCAATTCGTACCAATATTAGTAGATGAAAATCAGATTTCGGTAAGGTGGAGATGGCCGAGTTGGTCTAAGGCGCCAGATTAAGGTTCTGGTCCGAAAGGGCGTGGGTTCAAATCCCACTCTCCACACACCTCCCATCTTCTTCTTTTTAATTTTTTTTTTTATTTCTCTACACGAACTCAACGCGATATGGTATGGTGTAAACAACAAGAAGCCGACGGTACCCAAACTGGGAAAAAAAAAGATGAATAAGAAAGATGTCGTCGTCGTCGTCAACAGAATCGAGTAGCGTTCACGTTATCGGACGGCGGGATCTCAAAATGCCAGAGCCTCCCCGTGCCCTCCACCTTGTACTTCATGCACAGGAACTCCTTCGCGTACGTCCTCTCCACCCGCCGGTTCACGTCGTGCAGGAACACGTGCGTCGTCCCCTCCCCCGCCCGCCCCCTCGCCATCACCGCCGCCGTGAATATCGCCCCCATCCTCCCCGGCGCCGCCGCGAAGTACCCCCTCGGCGCGTCGATCATGATCACGTCCCACTGCTTTTCCCGCACCTCCTCCGGCAGCCCCGGCAGGGCCAGCCGGCACCGGCTCTCGCTCCCCAACCCGGCGTGCCCGGGCATGCAGTCCCGCTCGTTCCCGTACGTGGCCAGGAGCTCGTCGGCCTCGTCGAGCCGGGTCGGGTACTGCACGTGGTAGGCGTGCAGGGACGGGGCCTTCGTGAGCACGGACCGGATCCACGACTCGCCCTCCTCGAGAAACACGGTGGTGCCGTGCGGGTTGAGGGCGGCCCACATGAGGGAGTCGTGGCCCAGGCCGAAGACGAGGAAGTTGCAAGGGGCGGCATCCCGGAGAACGTTGAAGCAGAGGCTGATCTCCGCGAGGGACTGCTGCGGGACCACCCGCGACGTGGCGTAATGGAGGATGGCCTGGAGCTGTGTTGGCGTCGTCGGGTCGTAGCTCGAGCCGCCCCTGCCGCCGGCGAGGTCTCGGAGGAGCGAGGCAGCGGCGGTGGAGGACGACGCCGACGCGGCACCCCCTCCGGGGACGATGGCGGTGGCCGCGAGGAGGAGGAGGAGGGCCGCGGCGACAAGGAAGGCGGCAGAGACGGCGAGGAGCCAGCGCCTGTTCAGAGGGTGGCGTCGGCCCTTGGCGTCGGAGTCGAAATGGCGTTTCTTCATGTCGACCCTATTGTTCTCATCGAACATGATTCACGTATCCTGGCGTTATGTAGAGAGCTCGTTCTCTTCCGGGTTGTCGTCGAGCTTGCTTGCCTGCCTGCCTGCCGGGGATTCATCAATCAAATCGACATACTTATAAAGAAAGGAGGGGCGTCGCGCATCGATGATGGTGGGGGCGACGCTGACGCTCAGGGAGAACGAGCAGTAGTTTTCTTCTCAGGTTCTCATCGTGGATTGGGCGGAGGAAACGAGGGTTACGTTCGATGATCGATGTGCATGGCCTTGTTAGGCACTTCACTTTATGCCCAGATAGAGAGAGAAAAGAGAGAGAGAGAGAGAGAGAGAGTAAAGGGCAAAAGGAAAGAAAACCTGAAAGGATGCGATGCACCAGCAACGTATATATGATGCGTTTCGACGCGTCTAAATACGGTATATACTATCTATAGTTATGAGGCTTCTGATTCTTGCTTGGGTGGGGTAGATTGGTTGAATGGATTTTGGGCCCAACTTGTTTAGGTACGTGATTTACTCTGGGGATCCTCCTAATTTACTGAGTAATTAAATGTGACCCCATGATTCAATGGCAAGTAACCACATCTAATGTCGACATTTAATGATGCGGTGCAGTTTGCTAATCCAAGCGGCGGCGATTGAGATCCTTGTTACGTTGTATCAACACCCATTATCTCTCGTGTGCAAAAAGAACGCGCATGCGGAATAAACGGGGCGGAACTCGACTATGATGTGTATAAAGTGCGTATAAATGATCATCGACTTTAATCGCTAGGAGGGCCTCTCTTCTTTGAAACGGATTCAACACAAATTGAACAATTAACAATGCGCGACGTGCATGAACATGATACGAAACAGCTTTTCTTTCGAACGTATAAGAGAAGAATCCTCTTCGATGCAGAACAAAGCAAACAAGTTCTGTTAAATACCCGAACCACGATTAATGTTTCTAATCTTACGAAATGATACATCGAGCCAAAGAGCCGTCCTCGCGGGTCACTATCCGAATACCCATTTGTATCTAGCATCATATACTTGAATACCCGTATTTTTCTATCGGGTATGTCTTCTTATAGGTATGCCCTTTTTCACTTCACTCTTTAGTATCCAAGAGAATGAGAATCATCGAATCACTTGTACCGGATTTGAAGGAAAAAAAGAGTTATCTTGGAAAAGTGATTTGTTTCTCCGTTGCTAAAAAAGCCACGCACCTACTCTAAAAGTTATGCTCCAATCATGATAAAAATTCGATCGCCCTTTACCTGCAAGATTTGAATTCAACCATTGTGACAAACTCATCGAGAAGAATTCGCCCAAATATTGTTGTGGGACAAACTCAAGCCATATCCTTCGGACAATTGGGCAAATTAAAGCTTTGTCAGTTAATAACACCATGCACTTCTTCGATTTTGGTCAAATGAGATCCTCCACCTTTTGGGTTGATTAAATTGAGGGGCCTCTAAAAGCAACCCATGACTTCTGGTGCATGGGGTTTATTTAGAAATGAAAGGGGGTGACTTGCTTGGTGGTTTTGCCGCATTCGTAGGAATATGTTCGTCAACACAAGTAGAAGTTTAGGCATTGTGGTTCGGAATCAACTTTGCAAAACAACTTGGTTTTCATAAGATCATAATTAAGATCGACTCTAAAGTCATCACTGATCTTATTAGGCCATAGCTTATGATTGATAATGCTGGCCTTACTTGGCTTAAAGACATTAGAAGACTTGCTGCGTTCTCGCTTTGAGTTTAAAGTGCAACATAACTTTCGAGTTGGAAAGCCAGCTCTCACATCCCGATCTTATTAGGCCATAGCTTATGATTGATAATGCACTAACTAATTGGAAACCGCCATATCTATTAGCCATATTATGATAATGCTAACCCTACTTAGCTTAAAGATATCAGAAGACTGCTGAGCTCTCACTTTGAGTTTAAAGTGTAACATAACTTTCGGGAAGGAAACCGTTCTACTGATCGGCTTGCTAACTCCGAATCAATAAGCGATTGGATACTAGTTTTCTTTTCATTACCTCCTACAGAATTACTTCATGTTTTGTTAGGTGATAAAACAGGAATAATAAATTTACGATGTTAAATTTTTGCATTCGGCTTCGGCTTCAACCCGTTTTCATGTAAAAAAAAAGAAGTAAATGAGAATCAAAGTAAGCACAAAAGGAAAAATTGAGAAAACAAACCCGACCCGTCATTGTCGGCCCATATATTCCTGGGCCGAACCGCATCTCACTTGCAGCCCAATCCAAACACAGCCACCATTTTGTCTGAACAAAACAGTCGTCTCTCTCTCTCTCTCCCTCTCTCCCTCTCCTCCGTTGAAGAGCAAGCAGCACCCGCCGAAGGATAAGGTGTGCCACCGCAAACTCAAAGGCACTGAAATTCGAACCCATTCCAATGCGTCACCGCCATTGACTGCTCACCGAAGTTCCTCTCGATTTCGTTGCAGGTACGCGGAGAAGGGGCATGGCCGCCGCAACCTCGCTCGGCGCTCTGAACCTGATGGGGTCGTTCCGGGGCCTCTCCCTGCGCTCGAGCTCGTCGGCCTCCTTCGCCAGGGGCGACCTCGGGCCCGTGGCCGCCGCCGCCGCCTCCTCGAAGCTGTCCGTCTCGTGCCCGGTGAAGTTCCCGGTGATCACCATCGAGTGCGCGCACAAGAAAGGGGCCGGCAGCACCAAGAACGGCCGCGACTCCAAAGGCCAGAGGCTCGGCGTCAAGATCTACGGCGACCAGGCCGCGAAGCCTGGGGCTATCATCGTGCGCCAGCGTGGTACTAAGGTAAATTGAGTCGTTTGCTTGTGTTAAATTTATAATTCGGGTTGGCAATGATCGTGTGAATTGCTTGCGCAGTGAGATGGCGAGTTCGTAGCCGATTGTGTTCGCTGAATATTTGTTATCTGTGGTGTTTTACTGTTGAGTTGGTTCTGATTTTTTCATGAGGAGAGCCGTCATGTGTTGGAATTTAAGGAGGTTAGGAATGCTTCTTATGATTGAATAGAACGGGGTTTAGTGGTCAAAGTTGAGATTTTGTGGGCTTCGAAGGATGTGTTGTTCTCAAGTCTGCAGAATGAGATGATAATCTTATCCTCATATCCTGCTCTTGTGGTGGATAATACAGATTCTGGTCATTGGAAAAAAAACTACGAGACTGATTGTGAACATCTTCCTATGGAAACAAGCACTTGGTGATCTTGTCTTGGATGAGAGTTCGAGCTTGAGTGAGAATAGGCGCTGCCTTTGCTTCGATGAATGGCCTGAGCAACTATCAATCATTGGATAGTTCTGGCTTATGTGTGTGATCCATATTTAATTGGAACTAACAATTTCTCATCAACAATAGAATCAATGGGAGTTGATTTTGTGGCTACAACATGTGGGCCGGTTACTATGGTGTGCATTTGGTGAAGATGTCTGGGCAGTTTAATGTCAAACCTTGTGTCCCATAATTGTTTCCCAGCAAATTGGTGTTGAAAGTGTGTATGCTGCAAATATATATCTCTGTATTTTCCTTAACATGATTGTCTAGGTGAGTGGAGATGAAGCATTCATGCAGCTACTTTTGAAGTAATATAAATCCTCTTAAAGGCATAATATGGAGAATACTAATTGAACGAGCGATTTAACAAGATATTATGGTCAAATTGAAAAGAAATAGATTATTTCAATGAGATTTTTGCATGGCTTCCAAGTGAAAGAATAAATCTTTTTTCCTTTTTGATTAGGCTTGTGTATCTATGTGGCATTTTTTTTGGTTGTTTCAAAGATGTAGAGGGAATTAGCTTTGTGCAATTAGTCTGACCAAATGTCCTCGACTTCTCTGCTGGTGGTAATGGATTAGTCAAGAACTATGTGAAAATCAAATAACTTTCTCCGCCCTGTGGACAAATCATGGAGGAAAGCTAGAAACTGAGTGTAGAAAGCATAGTGGAGTTGGCATGCTACTCTTATCATAACAGGACCTTTACTTTTCGATAGTAAGTTACTAGTGAGGGATGATGACCTGCAGAGCTGCGTCCTCGGGTTGCTGCTGCTTCAGAGCCGAGCAAACATCTTGCAGGGAAGGTAACAGATGGCCTGTGTGTAAAAATAATGTCTAATAAGGGAGTCGTTGAGAGGTAGCCAATTTTCTCCTTCGTTATGGATTCGCTTCTTCAGTTTGAATTTCACATCAATAATTGTCCTTTAAGCATTTTATTCATGCGAGTGTCCTGTTATGGGTTGATGTTCAGGAGTCACTGATTGCATGACTCCCATTTAATAATTATGCACTCTAAATTTCTCTCCGAAACTCTTTCAGTTCCATCCAGGAAAGAATGTGGGACTCGGAAAGGACCACACCATCTTCTCTCTGATCGATGGACTAGTCAAATTTGAGAAGTTCGGGCCTGACAAGAAGAAGGTCGAGTCAAAGACAAACTTTACGTTACGCACTTGAGAGACGGTGAATTTTACATGACTGACATGTTCTTACTTTTGTCGGAGTCACAGATAAGCGTATACCCAAGAGAAGTTCAGCCTGAGAACCCGAATAGCTATAGAGCACGAAAGAGAGAGTACTTCAGGATGCAGCGTGAACGTAAAAAAGCAAGAAAGGAAGGCATTGTAGCTGAACCCCAGTTAGTGTTAGCTTCAGCTGATGATACTGCAGAAAGCAATCCAAATTGTTGATACTGCGTTTGACCAAAAAAAAAAAAAAATTGTTGATACTGCCGCGCTTTTCCTGTCCTTAGTAATCGAGGCTTTCTTTCAAGCTGTACAATGATCTCAAATGCCTTGATTTTATGATCTTTCTTTCCATGCTGATGAACCTTCATCTCTGCTTTAATTATTAGGGTCGGTATTATATTCCTAATCGTGATAATGATTCGTTCATTTTATGCACAGATAAAATCAAATAACTTTCTCAAGTTTTGTTCGTCCTTGGATTTCCTCTTGCAACTTGAACAGAGAGAGAGAGAGTCTCCGTCAAGACTCGATCAACATACAGAACCAATATCGTAGGAACCTCTTATATTAGAATGCATTAAAAAATGGTACATAACAAACTTGTGGAAAATTTGAAAATCGACTGATAGATCACAAAACAACATGACAACTTGAGAAGCTCGATGCATCACCTTTTTTAAGGTCAATCTACGAAATGTTCAATCTGCATCAAGAATCGTAGATCATGACTAATATACAATCAGGAAGCTCTTTCACGACCTTTCAAAACTTGAGTTAGTGTTGTTCAGTCAAATAGGCCATGCTATACAGAACCGAAGTAGGAAAAACTCACCAAAATAAATTATAGAGTGCATCCCCTGAAACTCAATTTAGCGCAATGATTACTGCTTTAGTGCTTTCTATAAGAATTCAGGGATTCTTATGTTCTCCCATGCTGGATAGCTCGAGGGACAAATGGCAAGCCTCGTGTGTGGCGACGACCAAAGCTGATGGACGTAGGAGAGTCTGAAGTGCTTAATTTGGAGACTGCCGAAACAAGTTCATCCATGGCTTCATTTTCCACTTCCATTGCACTTGGAGCTACCTCTTTCTTATGAGTGGCCGGCTTACGTTGGTTCTTTTGTCTCTGCTTCTTAGATGGATGACCCTTTTTGTAAAACTCAAAGGAAATGGGGAACTTATGCTTGTCGATTAGATGCCGTTGTCGAGCTTTGTAGGTTTTGAACTTCAATCCACAGCCTTCCACCAAGCATTCATACTGTTTCCACACAAACAATATATCTATTAAATACGGACAAGAAAATATCTGCATGACCTCACATGATCAGGAAAAGAAGTATGATGTTCGGTTCCATACTTCGATCATTCTTACAACACGTTTTTATAGAAACACGTCCCCAGATGGTAAGGGCTATATGCTTCAATTGTTGGAAGATGGTTATTTTATGCTCTGGCCAATGAGCAAGGTCATGTCACCTAGCAATGACAGTTGTCACAAGTTCACCATTGTTCTACAATCAAATTGCAGTATGGTCCTGTTGTGAACTCCAAGCTGCAAATGATATTAAGAAGGGAAGAATGCCGAAACAGGGGGATAAGTCGAGGTTGGCCAGTTTCGGGGCTTAGCTCATGCATTGGTAACAAAAGTGCCCAACCCCTCAATAGACATGAAGTAGCTTGCTTGCAGCAAAGCTTTGGCTAGAAACTATAATGCCAATAACGGCACAGCATACAAGTTTAAAACACCCTAACTAATCAAACAAAGAAATACCAAGTCAGAATATGTCTGAGCTAATGAGCAAAACATACCATAGCAAAACCACGAGCAACCTTTGCTTGAAAGAAAGAATCATGTGCTTCTGACACATGTATGCTGAGGAGTCTGGATGTTGGGTAAACTCTGGAGCAAACCGAACAAGAAGCTGTATGCCGTGCATTGTAATGATCTTCAAAGTTCTCTAAAGATGTTAAGTGTGCACCACAGCCAGCAATTGGACAGAAAACTCCCCTGAAAGGTATATGTCGAGATGTCCAGACAGAGTTTAAAAACTCAGTGACCATGTCCTTATTGCGCAAAAGATACCCAAAAATAAAAGATACCAGCAAAACAAAATATCAAATTCTCAATATAATAACCCAGTGACCACTGTCCTAGAATATTACACAAGTCACAGGAATCAGAGGCCTGATGAATGGACTCGAAGCCTGGAAAATCTGGAAATTTTTTTTTCCTTTTCTTTAATTGCTTCAATGAACCAAGTGAATAGCATCATAAAATTGTTGTATGCAGCTGAATATTTGCGACAATTGGTCTACAAAAAAGGAAATCAACGCCATAGCAACTGTTGAGACAATCATTGAACAAATTAATGTTTGCAAATACCAATACCAAGCAAGCCCAAGCCCATAGAAACAGATGTGACAATCATTAAAAGAAACTACGCAAAAAGATTGACAATTTTGAAATTCTTAGCACCTGCTTTCCTCATCCATCAAGTCCTGAAGTTGATGCCTCTCATCTTCAGTTAAATCCAGTGCAACCTGCGTATATGTAGGAAGTGAAAGGCAATGTGTGCCATATAAACTGTAATTCCAAAACTGAAGTGACCGCAAAAAATACTCGTACAGTGAGAAAAAAGGTGACAACCAACAAATGAGCACTAAACTAGAAGGAGCATATCAAGCGGAAAAATACATACATGAAATACAAGACAAACTCAAATTGTATTTGTAATTCGTCTAGTTACTCGGTCTATCTACACTAAGAAGTATGATATGACTCAGTTTCAACCCCCGGAACAAAGTAGTTGGCACTTAGCCAGCAAACTGGTGAATGTAAGCTGGTACAATCAAACTTCAGCAATTCTTCAGTGGGAGCGAGAACGATTGAAACTCGAGAAATTTCGAGAAATCTGATTTCTGCACAGTGAATTTCACTCTGAACAAAATCAGTCCTTACAACCTTCGCGGGTCTTACTCATGGGTTAATTCACGTGCTCATGATTTTCAACTAAAGCAATGAACGAATGCGACGAATGGGTATTCGACATTCTCCTAACCATGATGCCTCTCAATTGACCTTAAAGCTTAAAGTTCTCCGTCACTAGCATTTACATGAACAAAAATTCAACAATCCTGCAGTCTCCAGTTTCAAACCCCGCCAGCGAAGTGAATTGGCTGGCAGCAGGCACTCAGCACGCGAAACTGACGAACGTAAGCATCTTGATTCAAAATCGAGACACCAGATTCTCGATAAGCTAGATTCAAAAAGGCGGAACCCATCGCGCAACCATTCATCGCTACCTCACCCTGTCTTCTTCGCCGATTAACTCAGGTACTTCATTAATTTCTGTTCCGATTTTTCCAGCAAAACTGCGAATCGATGCAAACGAAAGATCTCTCCACGTGCTAGACAGCAAATCCGAGAGCTACTACCAAGCAACGAAAGGGGGAAGAAGAAGAAGAAGAAGAGCGAAGGAGAGAGAGAGACCTGCTTAGCGAGGAGTTCGCGCTCGACGTTGCCGGAGGAGAAGAAAGCGGAATCGGGATCGAACCTCCGGCGAACCGACGTCCAGTACGGAAACGGAAAACCTCCGCCTCCTCCTCCCTCCTCCATCGTCGCCATCCTTGTGCTTCCGCTGACCTCGCGATGAAAGCTGCAACGGCTACGAGAGAGAGGGTGTAGGAGAACGTGTCTGGGGAATACGGGGAAGAACTGTTCGATCCTTTTCCCTCATCACCCTTTCAAATCAGACGAAGGCAAAGCGGAGAGAGTTAACATCGTAAATATAAAAACTAATATAATTTTATTACATCGAACAATGCAAACGTCGATATGTCCGAGTGGTTAAGGAGACAGACTTGAAATCTGTTGGGCTTCGCCCGCGCAGGTTCGAACCCTGCTGTCGACGTTTTCTTCTTCCCCCCCCCCCCCCTTACCCCTTTATAATTTCACATGATTGGGGTCAAAATTTCCACACGATATCATAATTCTTTTGCCGGAATTAAAAAGGCAAATTGAACTGTCCTCCACTCCACAGTCGACGAGAAGGTAAAGAATTTGTCGTTTTTTTGGGCAATTAGCTTTTTCGCTGAGCCGAAGTTTCCTTCCAAAGTACGCACACGCGGATCACCCAGCAGGCAGCAGCATGTGAAAGCCCAGCTGAGTAAGGAATTTTGAAACCTAGATTTGGTTTAGGAACACTCAGAGAGAATAGCTTCATCCCCTAAACTTTGCCCAGACGAAGAAATACCTTGTCTCTTCCTCAAACAAAGCAAACCCACCCCCCCATCTCTCTTGCCCTTATCTGTCTCTTTTGCTCCCCCCTGGAAGCTAAACATCACGTTCAACTCCCACACCATCCCACTAGTAGTCTTCATAGTGTTTCCAGGGAGAGGAGGAGGGACAGAGAGAGATGTCGGACTGGGGGCCGGTGTTCGTGGCGGTGGTGCTGTTCATACTGCTCACCCCGGGGCTGCTGATCCAGATACCGGGCCGATCCAGATTCATCGAGTTCGGCAACTTCCAGACCAGCGGGGCCTCCATACTCGTCCACTCCATCCTCTACTTCGCCCTCATCTGCATCTTCTTGTTAGCCGTCGGCGTCCACATGTACATCGGTTCTTAGCCCTTCGCTTTTTCTCCCTGTCCTTTTCTTTCCGCTGCTTGGGAAGAGACCCGGATGATTTTCTCTGTGGATTGATTGCTTAGCTACGATCTCTTTTGTTTCTCTCTTTTTGGAGTTTTGGGTCTCTGAAGAATGTTTTACATAGACTGGAATTGGATTCTATTTGTCTAACGAAATATCGCCATCGTATTTCTCGATCTACCCCTGATTTGTATCATTCAATTACTTATTTCGGTGTATTAGACTGTGACACCGAGACTTGTGAATGTTTACATACTGACTGTCACACATTTTGCTGAGCAATGAATCTGGTATGCCCAGAATTTCGAACTGTAGAAAGGGAGGAAAAAGCATATCTTCAAGTTCTCGGGTTAGTTTCGACCGAAAAAATGAAAAAAGTTCTCGGGTTAGTGTCGGTTTCGTCACATCACATGACATGGCTGATGTTGGTAAAGATCAAGAAAGACGCAGATTGGTTGCAAATGCCTACGGTTTAGTATCAATTAACAACCTAAGCTCGAGGAGACACCGGAGCAATTTCTACTCAGTCTCTAATTACAAAAAGATTGAAACCAACAAGAAGTGAATCAGAGGCTACAAGCACAGAGAGAGAATCCACGACAGTACCTATAGTTCGGATTATCTAGCAGCGTACTCGGTCTCTACCTATACATACAAGTGGATGTTAAGAACAACAAAGAACAGTATCAGAAGCAGACCATACAGAACAGCATGCACAAATATGGAGGCTAAGTTAGTCTTCATGTTCAAGAAGTCCACCGGCCGTTCCTTCCCTGGCATCTGGACCACCATCCCCGGCGAGAGAAACGCAAACAGAGCGGAAGCGATCAGAGGAGCAGCCCAATCATTCATCCCTCTTGCTTCTGCGAAAGCTTCCTCTTTTCCCTTCAAATTCAGGCCTCAGCAACTCCAAACAAAACAAAAAGGGCTGTGCAAAATAACAACACAAGCATCAACATATAAGGCGCGTATGAAAAGGGCATCGGATGCCGCCTGGCCCATCAAAGAAGGGATTGGAATTTCATAAAGATGTAAAAGATAATTTTTCTTTAGCTTCTTTCGAACCCCCTTTTGTGAATTTCTTATTCGCCGCTTGGATAACGCAAAAGGCATCATTTTCTACTCGATAAGCCGATGATGATAACCGTCCTCCACAAGCAAAAGAGTGATCGACGGCAGGCCATATATCAGCTAGAGGTTGGTCAGTGCTCAATTAGAGTCCAACTTTGGTTTTCCTTATTGGCTAATATCACGTCACACGCTGTGGAAGCCACTGAAGGATCAGCCAAAACAATATTATAAAACTACAGATGGACATCGAGAGAGACACGCTTGTGACGTTGTATAATTTGGTCCGGCGGGCCCATCACAGAGACAAAATGAACCCATTGACCAGCGGGTTTCAAAATTTTGGCAACAGGAATCGCGAGAACCATTTTAAAAATCAAAACTCTGGAGCCACTGCATTAACAGCAGTTGGTGGACAGAGAGTACAGCAGCAAATGGTGCCACTCTTTAAGGGGGGGATCTTGTCGGCTCTGCTCAACGAAAAGGCAAAAAAAATTTGAACTTTGGAGCACATCTCGAGCTAATAATCAAAAAAGAAAAGCAAAACAGAAGCACATCATTATCATCATCTTCTTCATGGGCCGCCCGAGATCCCAAAAGCAAGTCCAGCCCAACCAACTGTCAGCGTCTTCTTCCTCTTCTTTCCTCTTCCCAAAATTTGCCAGCTTTCCAAAGCTCCAGTGAGCAAGAGGGTCCCCATCGATCAGATCACTTCAAGACTCCATTTTCTCACTCATCGCCAGCGTCATCCTCATCGTCATAATCATCTTGTTCAAGAAATCGCCAAGCATTGCCTTCCTTTTCTCCACGTTCAAACGCCCCCAAGCATAGAAACACAGTAAACGAGCAAAAACAGAAGCTAAGGAGATCTTCAAGAATGGCGGATTGGGCACCGGTGCTGATAGGAGTGGTGCTGTTCGTGCTGCTCCAGCCGGGCCTCCTGTTCGCGATACCGGGGGAGGGCAAGCAGCTGGAGTTCGGGAAGATGAAGACCAACGGCAAGGCCATCGCCTTCCACACCCTCATCTTCTTCGCTTGTTACTCCATCCTCATCTTGGCCCTTCACATCCACATCTACACTGGCTAATTCCAAAGGCCAAACACTTGGGTCTCCCAGATCTGCGTCCCTTCTGAGGCCTCATCTGGTCTTGGTCCTAGATTATGTTGCATCTTCTTTTGTTACTTTCGCTTTTTGGTATTTGCAACTTTTCACATCTGGGTATCTGCGAATGTAGTTATGCTTAGCTGAGCGACGGCGCCATTGGCAATAAGTTCTCTTAGCCTTTTTTCTGTCCCTCTTTCCTAGATCATTCGCAGTAGTGTCAGATTGATTTTTGTGACTGTTTTTCATGGCACTCTAAACCAAGACGTTTACAAATAAGTGACCACGTTTGGCGATTGTTTCACGACTGGGGGCTGTGTATCCTGCCCTGCCCTGCCCTGCCCTGCCTTGGAACGAATGGACGACTTTACTCTTCATTTTCACCATCTTACTTAATCAGACAAGTTTTTCATGGCAAAATGCCTTCCCTCTTTTCTCTTTTTCTTTTGTTAGTTTTCTTTTTCTTATCCCTTTTCTTTTTCTCCTCGTTGTATCCAAAAAAAAAAAAAGAGGGTTCTTGTCCTCCATGTCAATCGGATCAACCCCTCGAACATAAGAAACATATTATTACCGAAATTCGAATATTTTCCATGAAGAATTCGACTCGGGGGAGTGAACTTAATCGAACTTATGTGCCTCAGTTTGGGGAAAAGTTATAGATTTTCCATTTAACTAGACAACCACGTACGGGATGCAGTAGCTACACGTTTTTGGTGCCAAGTTCTTGCCTCTCTGTTTCTGTCCCTGTTCTTAGGTCGAAGCATGAAACGAAATGATACAACTCATGCAGCAGAAGGGAAATGCACGAAGCATGTCAAATTGATTAGCAATATAAAGCTCATCTTGCACGAACCTTTATGAAATCAAAGGTTTCATGACAATTGAGAGCAGAAAAAGACATCCTCATCCAATGGATTATAAGTGTGACCTAGGTAGGGGAAACTCTATTTCTGTTTTAGAGCTTCCACGTATGACGTGGCTGAATATTGCCTAGAAAAAAACAGCAAAGGGAAACTCATATGAAGAAATAAGTAGAGACAGTGAACAACACTAAAAGATATCCATGTTTGAGGGCTGATCTACGGAGAAACCAGCTTTCGGTGTTGCACCACCACCGCCCAGCGAGGATCAATTAACGTGGATGTGAATGCCGATTGCTACGATCAGGATGGTGAGTATGCAAAAGTACAAGACAGCGTGAATTAGAATGGCGATACCGCTTGTCGCCATGTTCCCGAACTCCACCACCCTTGCTCTCCCCGGTATTTGGAACAGCAATCCCGGTGACAATAGTATAAACAAAATCACCGCTACAACAACCGGTCCCCAATCAGCAGACATCTCTCTCTCCCTTGCTCTCTCTCTCCCTCTCCCCACAAAATCAGCAACTGTGTAAATCAATTGGTTGCTCTTCAATTTGAGATTATAAAAGATTGGTGATGCAGCTTCCTATTAAGTAGAAAGGAATGAAATTTCTTAGCAGAGAAGCAGATGGAGGATGCCAAACTTGGTGTCAGACGACACTAACGGTTTAATAGCGAAGCAAAGTATGTCACGACAGTAGTGGGGTTTTGCTTTATCAGATCAAAGAAGCATCTTTTATTTCCACCACTTCCAATTATTGATACATCAAAAGTTGCTTTTGCTTGCCTTGCAGATTGGGGGAGGCGTTAACTTTTTTAAAGAAGTCACGGACAAATCAGAGGGGTTTCCGTCCCAGGGTTAAATGGTGGACTCGAGACTTGACCAATTTTGACTACATTGTAATTTTGTTCTTGGGTCTAGACATTTCCACGAGACACGCGCTAGCTTTTGGAAGAAAGTCTTTTATGTAATGGTCATTTCATGTGAGTATAAATGTTGAATCATGCATCCCATTGAATTTCTAATGTATTTCAAAAGATTACAACAAGAAAACCAAATTGGTTGATGCCACATCAACACAACAAGTCACAGAAGCATTACATTTAAGCTTTCCATAGCTTTTAGAAATATTAACCCATATATCCAACAAAGCAATCTGGATCAATGGCGTTCTAAAAGCATATGTTACCAAAAAAGGCCACTGAACGATTACATCACACGGCACTCACCAAAAGCATAGTCCCGTAGATTGGCAACAAATGCAGGAAGTTCCAAGGTCTCCTAAGGAATCGACCCACGACCTCCTACGGCCTACCCAAGACCAAGAACTCACACAAGAATACAAACATCCAAGTTTCAACTGAGTTTCCTTGCATTCAGAGCTCTATTGAACAATCTTCGCTCCATTTCATGCCTTTAATCAGATGAACAAACCCACAAAAGAAGTTGTGCATCGCAGACCAAACTCTTTTTCGAGATTTGCTAAAGTAGTCAACCTTTTGTTGTAGTAATTCACAAAGAACTGGAGATGCCGACCTTTAGCACTATCTCCAGAAATGAACAAACTGTTATTCAAAATAAATAAATAAAAAATCTCATCTTTTGTGTTACATCGCCTTTTGTTTTGTTTTAGCTTTAACATGGACATTTGCCCCTACCCCTGGCCAAGGTAATAAGCAACACAAGAAACATACAGGGACCTTAACCACATTTCCTCAAAATGGGGGAGAACATTCAATGAGAATGTTATGCGATATGCAGAGCACGCAAGATTGGCCTTCTTCCATTTTGAAGCTTGCAAGCCAAGTCATACAACATGCGTCGTCCGCTTAAACTTGTCATGAGCAAACTGATCGAGCTGACCTTGAACACGAGTTCGACATTCCACCTCTCAATTCATCAACCGGCTGAAAAACCCGTCTCGGGAAAAATGAATGCTGTTAATAGTTCGTTTAAGGTTTCACTAAGGAAAGTTCAAAGTCTCAGACTACTTATCCTGATGCAACGTTTTCTCATGGAATAATCGCACCTTGCATCTCATGCATACATGAAGAGTCATGATATCTGAACTTCTCATTCATGTGGGGGATTGTTTCAGGTTTGTCAAACAACTTTACTTTATATGCACATACAAACACGTGTATAGTGAACAACACTAAAAGCATATGTTACCAAAAAAGGCCACTGACCGATTACATCACACGGCACTCACCAAAAGCATAGTCCCGTAGATTGGCAACAAATGCAGGAAGTTCCAAGGTCTCCTAAGGAATCGACCCACGACCTCCTACGGCCTACCCAAGACCAAGAACTCACACAAGAATACAAACATCCAAGTTTCAACTGAGTTTCCTTGCATTCAGAGCTCTATTGAACAATCTTCGCTCCATTTCATGCCTTTAATCAGATGAACAAACCCACCAAAGAAGTTGTGCATCGCAGACCATACTCTTTTTCGAGATTTGCTAAAGTAGTCAACCTTTTGTTGTAGTAATTCACAAAGAACTGGAGATGCAGACCTTTAGCACTATCTCCAGAAATGAACAAACTGTTATTCAAAATAAATAAATAAAAAATCTCATCTTTTGTGTTACATCGCCTTTTGTTTTGTTTTAGCTTTAACATGGACATTTTCCCCTACCCCTGGCCAAGGTAATAAGCAACACAAGAAACATACAGGGACCTTAACCACCTTTCCTCAAAATGGGGGGAGAACATTCAATGAGAATGTCATGCGAAAATGCAGAGAGCACGCAAGATTGGCCTTCTTCCATTTTGAAACTTGCAAGCCAAGTCATACAACATGCGTCGTCCGCTTAAACTTGTCATGAGCAAACTGATCGAGCTGACCTTGAACACGAGTTCGACATTCCACCTCTCAATTCATCAACTGGCTGCCCGTCTCGGCTTGATGGGAATTTCCCAATCCGCAGAAAAGTCGCCCACGAAGACAGAGTTAATTCCGTGGCCCTCTTCTTATCAGCATCAGACACAACCAAACAAAAAACTAGTTTCCAATTGTTCAAAAGGTCCTTCATATCTCTTGACCAAGCAAAACAGGAGCACCCCGCCATGCTAATAACGTTGCGATCATGAAAAATCCCAGTGAATGATAGACTAATCAGAAAGATACTTTTCACTTCTCAAATTTAGAAAGCTACACTAGAATCCGGCTCTCGCTCCATGAATAGAAGTTCTTCAACAAGAACTCACCAAGGGGAAGTTGGCGAGAGAAAGAAGACACCTATGCTATTGCTGCTCATTTCCAAAGCACTCAACGCCGACACCAGTTCTCACCTATTCCATATTTCCCATATCATCAACCGATACCATCTTCAAATGACATGAAAAACCATTACACCAGAAAAGGCATGTGTATTCATCACAAAGGAACACTTTCAATTGCAGGACAAACAACTTTTTTTTTTCTCTCTTTTTTTCCCTTCCTTTCTTTTTTTTTCTTTCTTGCTTGTTCCTTTTTTTCTGGTTTTAATCCGCGGTTGGGGTTTTTACCTTTTCTTTTTTCTTGCTTCACTTCTTCACTCTCTCCCTTTTTACTTTTTTTTTCACCCGGCCCCGCGACCCGCCACCCCTTAAAAAAAAAAACGAATCATCCGAAATTTCAAAATCATCTTTTTTCTTCAAGATAATCGAAAGAGCAGCCACCTTATAGGCCCCGCCGTGCGGCGAAGCGACGGAGCACGGTTTTAGCCCGCGCCAACTCACACAGAGCGGACATCATTCCCGCCGTGCAAATTAACAAAACCAGAAGGACGACCCAGGGCATCAAGATGAGCCCGATCACAAACGTGACCGATCCGAAGAGCATCAGAGCCAGAGAAATCCCCACGAAGAGCGAGGCCAAAGCGGCCGGAGACACCTGCGCCATCGACGCGACGGCGAGACGCGGCTGCCTCGAAGCGGAGTCGACGACCGGAGGAGGGAACTTCAAGATGCGGGCGGCGATCGTCGAGCAGAGCTCGTGCAACACCCTTGACTGATGATCGTCTTGCGCATTTGAGCTTCTCATTGTTCATGCTCCCGTTTCCCGGCGTTCTGGAAGAGAGGGTCACGGTCTTCGAGACGATGGCCTGAGCTGAAGCTTGGAGATCACTCCGACTCCGACACAGACAGGGAGAGCTCGCCGGAGAGGACGACGTTCGCCGGTCGGCGATGCTCGGGATGTGTGCCCACCCATCGCATGATCTTGCGCCGTGCGGGCCGGGCCTGGAACGCGGGCCGACACGGAAAACTGGCCATGCCTGGCCCGGAACTAAATGGGCCGGTCCCAGCCCGGCATGCACTGATCACCGGCCGTTCCTGGCCCGGAACGAAAAGAGACCGGGCCTGATTGTTACAAAACGAAATATTTAACTTTGTCAAAATGATTGGACGCGCCAAACAACCTTTGGAAAAATGCAACAACGGCTGTTAACTTCAAGAACACCTGCAATTTTTCATGAGGGCGTTGTCTAAAGACGTGACGGTTGGAGGACCGGCGCAGCTGTTCTGTTTGCAGGCACATCTGATTATATAGGCTCGGCAGAGGCAGACCATTGGCTTCGCCCGAGGGCCGCCATGCTTGAGCTTGAGATGAAAGATGGACGAGACCGGAGCAAGCTGTTCTGATTCTCGGCTTTGGAATCGTGTTTCCGAGGAAAACTCAGATTTAGCACAAGTCCAAATGAGAGGTGTTTCGCAAGTGCGGTGAATTCAAACCCATTACACATGCTCAGCCTAATCAGTTCATATTCTGGACAAAGTTGAAACGAGGGAAAAGATGAGAAAATTGAACGGGCGGGAAAAGTTTGTTCCATGAAAATACTTCGTCGAGGAGCCAGTAAGATGGAATCGTCGCTTTTTTGGCCGGATTCCTGCTCACCCCACCCAAGCACAGTGTTGGTAAAGAACCTTGGAAAGGGAGGAGGAGATCCTTCGTTTCCCTGATGGTAGCTTCTCGTGCAGGGAAGTGGGAGTGATGAGTTATAGGTAACTCTGGCGACTTCTAAATGCTAAAGAACGAGTAAGCCGTCACGTACCCAACGGTAGGATAATCGATTAGACCCGATCCACTGGCTTTGGACCCATCTAAACCCCTGGATTTCGATGAAGGAACGTGTTTAAATCCATTTAAATTGGAACCCACTGGATCCGTCATCTGACGCTTGAAAGGGAACATCCCTGAAGCAATTCCGGTAAGAAGAGCTCTCGTATAGTATACCGTACAGTTCATTGGAAATGTACATCAGTTGCTGAAATAATGTTACTTAGTTCAAACACTTAGCTCACTGTCTAATCAGTGAATTCATTTCCGTGTCCTGCACTCGATCGGATGGGTTATGAAAACTACGCGGCTCACGACATCATGTGTTCATGTAATTTTTAGGTCTCGTTTGTTTCAAAGCTAACCAATCACCAGAACTAGAAGGCTTGGTTTTTTCCCCCATCAACTTCGCCCTCTAGTTTTAATCCTAGTTTAGACTCTTGGCATTCAGCAAACCAAATAATATCATGATCCATTTTGATGCGCTAGCACAACAGGTTTGACCAGGTTCAAGTTAAGTGCTATCGAATGCTGGGACCCAAATCATACTACTGTGATCTGATTCTGATTTGTTCTTCAAACTAGCAATTGTAGCAAATAACAATGGCTGAGTAAATGACCAATAATTAGAACTAACAGATCCTTGAAGGTCGCCAATCAAAGCAAAACTTAACAAATTTTCAAACAGCTATTCCATCTGACAGTACTAACCATACAACAGTAACTTGGGACTGTAGTTGGAGTTTGCAGATTACAATGACCATGCAGCTCTACAAAATAAACCTAAATTTAGTACTGTCCAGGACTAGCAACAACGAATGACAATGGCAACCACTAGGAGACGATCTCGTTTTTCTTTCGCTCGGAGTTGACTCGCTCGAGCTTGAAGCGCTCCTGCACAGAAGATATGTAATTTGCGGCCTTCAGATCGACGCTCTCGTCGCCAGGCATGCCGAACATCTTATCAAACTGGCCTAGTGAGTTGCGGCCTTTGTCAGGTACAATGAAAGAAACCTTCTGCACCTTCTGCTGGGAAATCACGTCCTGGTGGACCACAAAAGCCTGCGTCGTCGTGGCAACCGATGGAGATGACTGCCTTGGCGTAACTTTACTTCTGTATTGCGCCCCAGAGGCCGGCAATTTGGCCGCTTTATAGAAAGGCAGCCCCAGTTTTGCCTTGATGAAGCCCCTACATTTACGGCCTGAGTCCATGCCTATCAAAATCTATGTGGTTTACGTTTTGAAATGAGAGATGGTGTGGATTTAGCTAGTGAGTACAAGTTGTGGTACCAGAGGTGGATATATATAGTAGCTGCTTGGGCCAACTTATTAACGGAGTGTTTCAGATAGACACTGAGAATCATAACTTTGCAGGTTGCAATTGTGGTCCCTCCACTAAATATCTTGAATCATATTTGTCTTAAATCAAAGTTAACGTGAGTCTAATGATTGACTCGGGGTCTTTAAACACTTTCTGAGATTATGGTTTTGATATTTTTTAGTGGCTATGACTGTTCAGATATGAATGAATTAGGGGAGAGGAATCAATCCTAGACCGAGGTTTGAGATTTCGCTTGTAGCATAAGGTCACAAGATATGCTTTCTAGTGAGTGGTTCGTGCTCTAGTTGTCCACAGGACAGCCTCGCGAAACTGTCCTCATGTTTGCTACATTTGAAAGCACGGGAGTCGCGCCTGCAAGGCCTAACATTTTCCCTTTTCTGAGATTGATCTTATCGCGTGTTGTTGAAGTATCTGTGAACTACTTTCACACATGGCGAATGCAAGACATGTTCTGATCCTCATACTGAGAGCGAACAAGCGAGTGAGCAAAGTGCTTTGATTAGACGAGACAAACCTAACTAGAACGATTAAGAGTCTGTTTTCCTTCGGCTTTGCGGACGGTTCAGCGTTAGGATTGACAATTTCAGGAATTGATCATATCAATGGTCCAACAATTTCACAGAATATGGACTAGAATAAGCAACCTAAGACTCCCGGCATATCATTTCTCTACATTTATGATCGCACTTCGCTACTGCGGTTTATACTCCAAAGCATATTCCAATCACTCGAATCGGTGGTTCATTCTGCCTAGTTGAGCAGTGGAAACTGAAGATATCATCAGCCAATACACAAGCAAGCTAGGAAAAGCCTAAGTGTCGATGTTAATGAAGAGACTCAAGAGAGATTAAACAAGAGAGTCGTGTACTGGGTCGGGATGTGAATGATGTGTTTGTCAAGTATCGGAGTCCTTCCACTTTCCTGTGAAAGCACAAGCTACGGTGGACTAAGGTACTGTAGTGCAGTAGCCGATCCTATCCAAGTTGGGCTGTTTGCTTTACTCGGACAGGCACTAGACAGCAATAAAGTCATCCACGTTCCAGGATAAGATATTCCCGAAACCTGCTCGATCAGTCACGGTCCAAACCGTTCAAGTGGGCACAAAAGTGGAGGAAAAGAGAGATACCCAAATCACTCTGGGGCTTCTCCTCAAAGCATAGCAGATCACAGTCTCTCATTTCGTTGGTTCTTTAGCATGAATCGTATCACCAATTGCTCCAGACAATAAACTATTGATTGAACAATCTTATCCATCTAAACATTCATTTCACATTCAGATGAAATTGAGCATTGATTTCATATAATAAGATTGCCAATTGCCATTTTCCAAATGAGAATGTTAGGGGTCTTCCAAATGGACCTTGCTATGCTATGGAGCTCTTTGATTCGCATGGCCACTTAATTAAAGCAAAAAATAGAAAAAGAAAAAGCTATAGTGGTACTTTGACTGGTACACGGCTGAATACCTTTAGAAGGTGTCATCTACTTTTCTTTTTCATGAAATTTCTGAAGATGCAATGTCTCTGCGCGTAGTGAATGTAAAATATTCCTCCCCTTTACACATTCTTTAGCCACAAAAATTTTTGTTGGAAGCTCCTGGGATGAGAAGATATTTGATGGTCTCTTCATTCAAGATTTTACGTCTACCATCCACACTGGTTCCGACTAAATCGACACATGAAAACTCTCTCTATCTAGAGTCGGAGAATCTTAATACAGTTGGATGATCTGTCAACCGTTTACTATTTTGCCTTCGGTTGTCGCTGTAATAGAGAATAGATTGCACGTACAAGATTTAAAAAAGATATAGCACGTACAACATTTAAGCTGTGATAAGCGAATTGAAGAGTCATTCTCGGATTCCCAGAAAAGAAATTTTTTCTCCATCTAGAGGGTGTTTACTGTTTGGTATAGTTGTAGGAGAGCAACTGACTGTTAAATTCAAGGAACACTTGTAGTTTTTCATAAGGGCGTTGTATAAACACGTAAAAGTTGCAGGACCGGCAATGCATAACTGTTCAGTTTGTAGGCGGAACTGACTATGGGCTCAGCGGAGGCAGACCATTGGCTTTGCCAGGGCCCTCCATGCTTGAGCTTGAAATGAAGATGGACGAGACCCAAGCGAGCTGTTTTGATTCTTGGATCCCACTCGAGCAGGCGTGAGCAAGAGTTTTCACTTCCGAGTCATGTTTCCCGGAAAACTCAGATTTAGCATAAGTCCCAATTGAGAGGGGTTTCGGAGTGCAATGAATTCAAACCCATTAGACATACTCAGCCTAATCAGTTCAAATTCTGGACCAAATTGAAATGAAGAAAAAAGATGAGAAAATTGAGCAACTGGGTATAGTTTTTATCACGAAAAGCTTCTCGGGTAGGGAAGTGAGAGTGATTAGTAATAGGCAACTCTGGTGACTCCTAAATGCTAAATAATTAACACACCGTCACCTACCTAACGTTAGAATCATCTATTAGACCTGGTACACTGACTTCAGATCCATCTAAACCCCTCAATTTCGATGAGCGAACGTGTTAAAGTCCAGTTAAAATGGATCCCACTGGATTTGTAATCTGACGCTTGAAAGGGAAACACATCCCTAAAGCAATTCCGGTAATAACAGCTATCTGTCCACTGTGCAGACCATAGAAAGCGTATATCAATTGCTGCAATAACGTTCCTTAGTTCAAACACTTAGCTCACTGTCTAATCAGTACAATTAGTTTATATGTCCTGCATTTGATATGACGAGTTATCGAAATTGCTCGGTTCAAAACATCAGGTGATCAGGTATTTTTAGGTCTCATTCTTTTCAAGGCTATCCGATCACAGAACTGGAAGGTTTGGTTTTAAACAGCATCAACTCCTCCATCAAGTTTTGGTCCTGGGTTCAAAAATTCGCCCATCGGTGATTTAAGTGGGGGTCGTGGCGGTGGGATGCTGCGCTAGCCCCTCGAGGACTAGTCGGGCGTAACGCATGGGTTTGGTACCTGGCTCGCTGGCCGCGCGGACACCTCAATTATCAGAAAAAAAAAAAACTCCTCCATCAAGTTTTAATCCTAGTAGCATGAACCATTTTGATGTACTAGCACAACAAGTGTGGCCAGGTTCATGTTAAGTGCCATCGAACGCTTGGAAGCAAATCGCTACTGTTGTCTGATTCTGATATGTTCTTCAAACTTGCAACAGCCAAGTCAATGAACAGTAATTAGAACTATTAGGTCCTTAAAGGTCACAAATCAAAGCATAAGTTGACAAATTTTCGGGAGGCTATTCCTTCAGACTATAGTACCATACAATAGTAACTTGGGACTCGAGTTGGAGTTGCAGATTACAATATCCATGCAACTCTACAAAATAAACTTAGTGCTAGTACTGTTCAGGAATAGATATAGTTGGCTGACCATGGTGACCACTAGGAGACGTCCTCATTTTTCTTCCGCTCAGAGTTGACCCGCTCGAGCTTGAAGCGCTCCTGCACAGAAGATATGTAATTTGCGGCCTTCAGGTCGACACTCTCGTCGCCAGGCATGCCGAACAACTTATCAAACTGGCCTAGTGAGTCTCGGCCCTTGTCAGGTACCATGAAAGAAACCTTCTGCGCCTTCGGCTGGGAAATCACGTCCTGGTGGACCACAAAAGCCATTCTCGTCGTGGCAGCTGATGGAGACGACTGGTTTGGCATAACTCTACTGCTATACTGCACTGCAGAGGTTGGCAATTTGGCTGCTTTATAGAATGGCAGCCCCAGTTTCGCCTTGATGAAGCCCCGGCACTTATGGCCTGATTCCATGCTGATAAATATATGTGCGGTTTAGGTCTTGAAATGAGAGATGGTGCGGATTTAGCTAGTGAGTATAAGCTGTGGTACCAGAGGTGGATATTTATAGTAGATGCTTGGGCATACTTTTCTAATTGTCGGGGGTTTCAGATAGACACTAAGAATGGTAAATTCTGCAGGTTGCAGTTGTGGTCCCTCCACTATATATCTTGAATCCGTTATCTTAAATCAAAGTGAACACGAGTCTTATGATTGATTCGGGGTCTTTAAACACTTTCTGGGATTTTGCTTTTGATATTCTTTAATGGCTAAGTTAACAAGAGTCCAATGATTGATTCAGGGTCTTTAATCACTGTCTGAGATTATGCTTTTGATAAGTGGCTACAACTGTTTAGATATGAATGAATTAGGGGAGGAGAATCGATCCTAGACCAAGGAATGAGATTTCGCTTATAGCATAAGGTTGCACGATATGCTTTCTTGTGAACTCTAGTTGTCCACAGGAGAGCCTCGCGAAGCTTTCCTCATGTTAGCTACTTTTCAGAAGCACGAGAACCGCGCCTGCAAGGACTAACATTATCGCTTTCCTGAGATTGATCTTATCGCATGTTATCGAAGTATCTGTGCACTACTATCACACATAGTGAATGCCAGACATGCTGTGGTCCACATACTAAGAGCAAGCGAGCGAGCAAGTTCTTTGATTAGACGAGACAAACCTAACCAGAACGATTAATGGTTTGCTTTCCTTCGGATTCGCAGACGGTTCAGTGTCAGGAATTAGAATCTCAGGAATTGATCATATCACCGGTCCAACAATTTCACAGAATATGGACCAGAACAAGAACCTAAGACTCCCGGCATGTCGTTTCTCTACATCTATGGTCGCGCTTCTCCAACACGGTTTATACTCCGAAGCATATTCCCATCACTCGAACCGATCATTCGTTCCGCTCAGTCAAGCAGCAAAAACTGGAAGTTATCATCAGCTAGTACACAACACAAGCAAGCCAGGAAAAAGCCTGAGTGTCGTGTACTGGGTTGGGATGTAACTGATGTCTTTGTCAAGTATCGGAGTCCTACCACTTTCCTGTGAAAGCACAAGCTACGGTCGGTTAAGGATACTGTAGTGCAGTGGCCGATCCTATCCAAGTTGCGCTGTTTGCTTTACCCGGACACACAGCGTTAAAGTCATCCACGTTCCAGGATAAGAAATTCCCCGAAGCCTGCTCGATCAGTCACGGTCCAACCCGTTCAAGTGGGCACAAAAGTGGAGGAAAAGAGATGATACCCAAATCTCTCAGGGGCTTCTCCTCAATGCATAGCAGATCCCGGCCTCTCATTTGCTTGGTTCTTTAGCATGAATCGGATCACCAATTGCTCTAGACAATACATTTATTGATTAAATAATTCTATCCATCTAAACATTCATTTCACATTGAGATGAAATTGAGCATTGATTTCATATATGTTGACAACCAAAAATAACTCAAGCTCTAAGGGATCGGTAAAGGTCCATGATGGGTTGTCGCTGGAGCAGCTATGAACCATTACTACAAATCGGCGACTAGACCTGTTAAACGGGTGGGTCGGGTCGGGTTTGGGTCGGGTCATAAATGGTCCGACCCAAATTGACCCATTAACCCGTTTATGACCCATTTATTCATAGTGTAAATATCTCGACCCATACCCGACCTGACCCATATTGCTAAAACACTTTTATATTTAACCTAATCTAGGAATACTTATTTCTTATGATTTTTTTTAAAATTATACTGCTAAAATATTTTATGCAATACAAAGCTAGTGAAAAAATTTTATAATTTTTTTTAAAAATTGAGGTTCTGTTTTTTTTACGAAAAATGCGACATTTCTAAAAAATATTTTCCATAAAGTCATTATCCAAGAAAATAAAAAAAATTAATATTTTTTTATTTTGTAAATCGAATTTTTAATTATTTTTTCTTTTTATTTTTATTTTTTCCTTTTCCTTTATTTTTGGCCGATCGCCGCCGCCGGCGTGACCGACCACTGGCGAAGAGACGAGCTCGCGGGAGGCGGCTCGTTCTCGCCGATCTGGCGAGGCTCGAGCTTGCCGGCCTCAGGCGAGGTCGACCTCGCCGGATCTGGCGAAAAATTAATATTTTTTTATTTTGTAAATCGAATTTTTAATTATTTTTATTTTTATTTTTATTTTTTCCTTTTCCTTTATTTTTGGCCGATCGCTAGAGCCGTAGTGTGCGACGGCCACGAGCGAGAGACGAGCTCGCCGGAGGCGGCGCTCGTTCTCGCCGCTCGGCGAGGCTCGAGCTTGGCCTCGAGGCGAGGTCGACCTCGCCGGATCCTGGAGCCTCGCAGCCTCGGGCGAGCTCGAGTCTCGCCGGGCCTCCGGCGAGGCTCCACCTCGCCAGATCCAGCGAGGTCAACCTCGCCTGAGGCCGGCAAGCTCAAGCCTCGCCATAGGTTGACGAGGCTGGAGCCTCGCCGGGATCGGGCGAGCCTCGAGGTCGCCGGAATCGGGCGAGCTCGAGGCTCGAGCCTCGTCCGAGGCCGACGAGCTCTAGCTTCGCCGGCCTCCGGTGAGGTCGTCCCGCCCTGGTGGCCGGTCGCCGTGGCCGACCACCGACCGGAATAAAAAAAAAAAGAAAAAGAAAGAAGAGAAAAGAAAAAAGAAAAAGAAAAAAAATAATTAAATTTCGATTTTTTTTAAACATTTTTGTAAAAAGGGAGAGAGTGTGTGGATGGGTCTAGTGGGTGGGTTGGATATGGGTTCCAAACTCAACCCATTTAGACCCATTTATCTTTAAGCTTTAAAATTTTAAACCCATTTAAGGTTGATTCTTTAAAATTAAAGTGACATATATATGACCCATGGGTCATATATGGGTTTAAGACCCATTTTGACACCTCTATCGGCGACTCATACAGATGGCCGCCATCGATGAGAGGGAATCGGTAGGGACCAAAAATCGACATATGATAAAAGGGTAATGGTCGATGACAAGATTGATGAAATAAGAACGTGCAATTACAAGCAAATTGAGTTGAGGCCTAAAATCTCGGGAGTAGCTAGAGTTTGTAATTCGAATGAACTGCTCTCGACGGTTACACTTTGTACAAGACTATCTAATGCCAAGAAAAGTCCATTGTAAAGGATAGCTAATCAATCACGCTTATCGAATTTTTCTGCAATTTACTTTATCGATTCCTTATCGGCATTATCTATTCATTATTATTCATAATTCCGAGTTCATCCATATCCATTGTTTCCTATTCAAATCGCCACAGAACCCAATTCACTTCTAAAAACTCAAGATCTTAACTTTGGTGAAAGGTCCTTTGCCAACAACTGTTTTCGGCGAAACATAGGATAAGATTGCCAATTGCCATTTGCCAAATGAGAATGTTAGGGAGTCGTCCAAATGGGCCTTGCTATGGAGCTCTTTGATTCGCATGACCACTTAATTAAAGCAAAAATTAGAAAAAGAAAAGGCTATGGTCGTACTTTGACTGGTATACGGCTGCATACCTTTAGAAGGTTCCATCTACTTTTCTTTCTTTCTTTTCGTATAAAGTTGAGAATATATTTGTGGTCCGAAAAGCGATGTCTTTCCCCACCCGAACTACCGGGATTAGGGTATGGGTTAGGGTCAGGATTAGAATTGGTACGCCAGCGATGCTGGAATGAGGAATAAAGTGGATAGAAAACCGCACCTAGGACATTGAAAATCACTCGTTAAGAAACACCATTTTCCCATATCGCTATTGTAAGTTGCAGGTTGAGCGACATCCACTGTCATTACGAGGAACTTGCATATTGTGGTGTGGATAAGGTGAAAGTGAACGGATACAAGAACAGCGCATGTGGATAAGGTGACAGTGAATGGATACAAGAACAGCGCATGTGGATAAGGTCGAAAGTGAATAGAATGTACAGTCACCTCGTTTTAGGGAGATCGGAAAGAATCGGCTAAGATATTCGTCTCTAAAATCGGTGACAATGATCTTCGAGCCCACTTCTCTGTATCGAGACATCGGTCGAGAGTTAAGGTGGTCAGAGAGCCGCTCGGTCAATGCACGGTGCTCGCTATTTCATCATGTAGTTCCATACAAGAATTAAGAACGATCGGGCAGTTATGTCAACATAAAAAGGCCTTTTTTGGCTCGACAAAAAAAAAAAAGAGAGAGAACGGTATGATTAGCAGGTCCCGCGAAGTCTATTACAAACGAATTTCGGAGCAACCAATACGTTTCGATATTGTAATGTAGATCAAGATCATTTCTCATTGTGCCTTTTGTTTCTTTGCTAATTGATCTCTCTTGCAAAGTGGGAGAACCTCAAATGACTTTTAGTGGGTTTTTTTTGTCACCTCATTCTCGTTGCGAAAGCCCACAAAGTCAAGACATTGGATCATACGCAGCGAAATGGGCCTAGGCCCAAAGAAGCTCGAATAGTTTCATTCTTACCGGGCCTCTCTCCAACAATAAAATCGACCCGACCCGACCCGCCCAAAGGAATCGATCAAAATAAGGAACGCTCAGTTGGCCCACATTGCTCCAAATGGATACCAGCAGATAAAGAAGATGCCACAAAAGTCAGAGATTTACCTCAGATCAGGAAGCACCCGAATTCGGGTACCCTAAAGATCAATGTTGATGGATCTTTCGTCGAAGGTACGACCGAGGGAGCGATTGCGTGTGCTCGCTGAGATCATTCAGGGCTCCTCAGTGGACAGTTTTGCTCGCTCTGTGCAGGTGGGCACAGCGATCCAAGCGGTGACGATGGCGCTGCTTAACACTCTAAAGCACTTCTAATCATTCAATCTCCGCGAAACAAATATACTCTAAGAGTTACGACCTAACAGGGGAAATGATAAGAACATACAAGATGATGCTACGATGACCCCGATGGTGACCCAATAATTCGATGGATTGGTAACAATAAAAAGGGGAGAGAGAGAGAGAGAGAGAGAGAGAGAGAGAGAGAGAGAGAGAGAGAGAGAGAGAGAGAGTGATTGGCCTTTTAGGTTAGCGAAATTAGATGCAGAGTTAACGATGGTAGGTGTAAGAGAAAGAAAACGAAAAGCTTTCCCTTCACCCACTTTTGCAAAAAGATCGAGTACAGATTGATTAAACAATCAATTCTCCCTCTTTCCCTCTATGAACAGCATACCTATCTTGATCTATATATGAAGCCAAGATTTCCCCAACTCTCTCCATTCGTTCGTTTCTCTTCCTTGGATTTGCTTCTCTTCAATCTCAAACATCATCTTTGATCTTCTGCTCTTCATCTCTTGCGCTTTGCTCATGTAGTCCGACGTGACGATCGCGCATTGGTTCTCCGACGGTTCATGCTTTTTTAGACACGTTGATGACGGTCTTGGCGGAGTTAATCTCTATGGATTGATCTCGGCATCTTCTCGCGTAGTGATTGATATGTTGGCACGGTTCAATCAAATCAAAAGCTCTCAATAGTCTGGGTTGAGTCCTTTCGTTTGATTGAGCCGTGCCAATATGGCAATCGATTTTGTCCTAGGTTTGAGCTTGATTCTTGTTTTACTTAACGCCAAATGATGGATCGAGGGAGGACGTTGCTCGGGACCGGCGCAACCTCTTCCCAACCGGCACCAGCTCCTCAGGCTTAGTATAATCTTTACTTAGCATGTATATTTATCTATGGAATATCATATAAATGTGTCATATTTTGCCCTCCTCCTTGAATTAGGGTAATGTACGATTCTTTAATGTGATTGCACAATGATGGTTGACTTAGTCCATGAATGGAAGTATATGATCGACTAGCAGATTTGAGTCTATTGTCACTTGCTTAAGGGAGGAGAGCAAGATGTCGAGCGGCTGAATAACATAAAAATGGGAGATGCCGGTTCTTCGAAGCAGGCCTACGTGAATATTGAGCGATCAAAGGTTAGGCGGTCCAGTCAGTCCACCTGGGCCCGAGAGATAAATGGGAGAACTTGACCAATATCCTCACATGAGCAAGCCTGACCCGCCCATCTTTGATCCGGCTTGACCCGAAGATTGCTATATAAATTTTATGTGATGAGCGGGCTTGAGCAACGCAAAAGGTAAACAACAAATAAGTTGGTAAAGTAAAGTAAATAAATGTTCCGTTTATTTCACGAAAAATGAATGGTTTGGATAATATTTTGCTAAAATTGATCATATGTATCGCACGAAATGATTAGTCAATGGAAAATGTTTTCATTATTAAGGCCCGTTCGTTTGGCGGAAAATATTCTCCTGGAAAATATTTTCCGGGTTTTCCAGTGTTCGGGGCGGAAAACGTTTTCCGTGGGAAAATATTTTCCTTCCCCTCACAAAATAGCCTAAGTCTACGGAAAATGACTTCCGCTTCTTCAAAAGCGGAAATCATTTTCCGAGCTTCTTCTTCTTCTTCACTAAGGTCGCCGACCGCCGCCGTCGCCGGCCGCCGCCGGCCGCCGGCCGCCGCCGCCCGCCGGTCGCGGACGCCGGCCGGCCGGCACGGTCGCAGACCTGGCGAAAAATATTTTCCGAAACTTTTTCATATTGGTCGCCGAACACCGGAAAATTATGTTCAGGAAAACATTTTCCAGGAAAATGACTTCCGGGAAAATATTTTCCAAAAGGAGAATATTTTCCGCCAAACGAACGGATTAATGACAGCTTTTGTCTAGACATTTTCATGAACGACGAAAATATTTTTCTTTCATTCATTTTTTTAAGCAATATAAAAGATCGTTTTTAGGAAAATATTTTCAAATCATTCATTTTCGGCGAAATAAACGGAGCCAAAAATAGCTAACTTATAGATAAGTTAGTAACTAACTTAAATGAGAGCTGATAAACCAAAATTAGTTAGTAACCTAACGAGACAAAGCCGATAAGTCACACACATATATTTTTCTAAATTCATATAAAAGCTGATAAGTTATAGACATTTGTGAGAAAGGTAACCAAAACTTGGTGAACGACTACAAAAGTTATATTAGAATAATAAATAAGTGTCGGCAAATAATTCAAATGAGAGTTGGTAATTCAATTAGTTGATAATTTAATTTGCAAAAAAATAATAATTTCATATAAGAGTTGATAAATTCAAGATATTGATAAAAAAAACAATGGAAGCTTGTAACTTGCGAATTGTAAAAAAAAAAAAAGTATATAACTTTATAAAAATGTTGCAAGTTACCGAGAATCACGTTACCAGTGATTTATTTTTCTACCAACAGCTTTTTACAGCGACCACAGGCAAGGGGTCATCTCAAAGACTATAATGATTTGTGAAGTACTTTTTCTTTTAATTTTTCCTTGAATAAGGAATTCAGATAGCTAGATCAATTAGATTGTGTTTGTTTTCTTTCTCAGTTAAGCAAGAAAGAAATTTTTTTATTTTGGCTCATCAAGAATGAAACCGAGCACAAATTTATCAGCTCTCAATCGAGAAAACTTTTTCGTGTAACTTTAGATACATATCGAAGAAAACACAAAATATATTAAGGTAAATTCCGGACGCCGACGCACTGGATTAATGCAAGAAACGCATGCCGGGTACAGAAAAACATGGGATCAACCTAGTCGAAATGGATCGGACAGAGTCAAGATCACGAAAAATCGCGAGATCCGAGTCCGGGTTCGAGCGGCTTGATGCCTACGCTTTCCTAACTCGATCGGCAAGAAAATTACAAACCATGATGTGGATTCCAGTTACTACTAGTCAGGCCAATCCCGCGGGCGATCGGTCCAGTCGACTACTAGCACAGTAACCGGACTTATTCTGCAAGCGCATGGAAAATTCTGGTGGATTGGAAGGGGGTTTTGGCTTTGAAATTGGGTCTGAATGGTGAACGAGGACTCCACAAAAGAGACACGTGGGCGTCTGAGGGAGAAAGGATTAGGCTGCTCTTATGGATGTTAACACCCCAACCTTCTCCCAAATTCGATTGCTGATAACTATCCGACGAAGACCTATATGAAGCGAGCCCTCGACTCTATCGATGGAAAGATCTCCGCACGTGGCATGACGAGGAATCCTGGAAAGTAAGAGATGGAAATGAATGACGAAATAGTGGACTCGCCTGTTCTGGTGTGCAGCTCTTGCTTTCGCGCATATCCCCGAGTTCTTTCCTTCGCGGTTCTGCTACCATTCTTTTCAGTCTTGCCCTCCGAACCGGACGTGAGGGTCTCCCCTCATCCAGCTCACTGTGGGGGAGCAGAGGACTGAAAAATGCTTGTTCGATGAGGATCTCTCGCCAACAGGGATGTAATTGACTCACTAATTTCAACTTCCGCTCATGATCCGGCTTGACGATATGCGGAAAGGAAAGGATCCGTACTAAAAGAATCTTCAGATAAGTTTCTTGCAGAAGTTAATCTTGTGACGACATTGATGCGGATTACGCCTAGTAAAAATAGGATCAAGCTGTTTCTTATCCACACCATCAACTAAATGGACATTGTCCCAAGAAAAGTAACCTTAAGCACAAATCTAACGTGTCTTTAGTTAAGGATAGGGGTGAGCGGTTCCAAGTTCCTTACAGGTTTCACCTGGAACTTAAAACCTACTCTCGAGTACAAGTTCCTCATTTTTTGGAACCTGAAACCTACTTGTCGGAACGTGGAACTTGGAACCTACCCTGTCACAGGTTCCAAGGTCAGTTCTAGGGTCTACCTAGGTTTCACCTGTATTATTAATTGAATAATTCCAGGGAATCATCACCTTTAATAACCACCATTTGCTTCTACGAACCACTAATCACAACTTATATTTAGATACATGAAGAATATGAAACATTAACAAGTCATAAAATGAAAGCTCATACTAGTGGTTCTAAATTATACACTCATCATCTAACGCCATGGAACATCGCAGGATCATGCGAAGACATAAATCAAGAAAAAACACAAAAAAACTTGTTTAAGATTTCAAGTTCCAGATTCCGCATACCTAGAACCTGGAACTTACCCATCGAAACAGGTTCTTCAATTTTTGAAACCTGGAACCTACCCATCGAAACAGGTTCCTCAATTTTTGGAATTTGAAATCTACCCTACATACCTTGTAACCTGGAACCTGGAACTTGGAACCTATAGGTTCCCATCGATCAGGTTCTCAGATTTCAGGTTATACCTGGAACCATGCTCATCCCTAGTTAAGGATATCTTACCAAACCAATTTACTAGCCCATGGCAAAGGGAAGAATTGAATTTTTTTTTTTTTGAGTAATCTATCCTAGAAATCACTTTGTATAATTTGTAAATAATTGGGAAAAAAACAGTTTACAATGAATGCAAACCCCAACACATGTATAAGAAATCCTGTGGCCCCTCCGATTGTTCATCGATTTCTCAACACTTTATTTATTTTTTCACTGGAGGATGATGATGGTGATGGTGATGCATGAGCTTGTGCAAGTTCTCTTTACAGTGTGCATGCAACAAGACACGATAAAGTAGGTTTTAATAATGAGCAGGTTCTTAATAGGGAGGGTAGATCTGCATCTGACTCAAGATGTGTTCGAAGTTCTCGGTCGACTTTTGGATGGGATGGGTGTGAGTCCCTTCGTAGGTGGTCACCACTACGCCCTCATCTTTGGCTAGCCTCTGGACTTGCTTCTTCACGTTGCATCCCGGGTGCGTGCAGCGATAATAGCTTCTGCAAAATTAAACATATATCAAACGCTTGGATTTCCTGGTGCTGTGTGACATAGTAGAGATGTATGTAATGTGTAGTTCTTTTAGCCCAATGTTACATGAATATAGTTTGAATGTCAATGCAAGTGGAGATATTTTTAAATCGTTTACTTGCATAGAAGAGAGATTTCATAAACAAGGAAGGGTCAGAATTATCTTTGGCATGGACATTGGAGAGGATTTTCACTAAAAGTACGTACCGATAATGATCGTCGTGTACAGTAAGGATCAACCGAATAATGATTGCATGTGAGTACAATCATTTTGAATATACAGTAAACACATTGGGGGACGACGCAATGCGAAAGCACTCTTGAATACTTTGTCAATAGCTTCAACTTTGGTTATGTAACTCGGAGGAACGTCCATCATTTGTTAATGGTCACTACAGAATTTAATTGGATTCTTTTTAATGCCACAATGAAGGAAACATTGTGTACAGTCACCGTAAGAACGTCTTGGCTTGTTTATATACAGTGTATGTCGTATGTACTAATTGGTGCGGCTATTGTATAACTTTGGCATTCGATAAACTTCCCAATTGTCGAAAAAAGAAAAGCAAGGAGACCATGGAATCAATTCACAAGTGATCTCTCTCGTCTTTCGAGATAATTTTACTCGCTAATCATGCAACTATATGCATCTTCTTAATTACGGAAAACATCTTAATTATCTCCAACCTATGCCTTAATTCGATAACCTAAGATGTTCGCTCTAGAGCCCTTCTCTTCCAACAGGCAGGTCGAAAAGCCGAGTTAGGGAACAGAAATCATTTTGAATGAACGACATTTCGGATAAGGTGATTCATTAAAAAGATCTAAACTACGAACATGCAATGTTCAGAGGGTTGTCTGTTGAGGAATTTCTGATTTCTACTCACTGTGCATGCAATAATTTGTTTCACGTAACATTCAAAACCCTAGAAAAGCCAGGCCTCGAAATTAGGGCTTGAGCTATTTTTTCTTCCTCTTTCTTTTTCTTTTTGACTTATCTTCCCTTTCTTTTTCATCTTTCACCAATCGAAATAGTGTCGCTTCGCAAATGTCTGAGGAAGTAATTAAAAGTGAAGAACCGATCGACAAATTAGGAAGAAAGGAAAAGATAAATACTGGGAAAAAAGAGATCTAAAACATCTGCGACATGGACCGACAGTGTAAACATTAGAAGAAAGAATGTGCACAGACCTGGGAAATCTGTTGTTCTTGACTGCTTTTTGTCCATACTTCCTCCATCGATAACCGTCGTCCAATATGTCCACTTGACTCCGGGTCTGGAAAGCGATCCTCGGCCGCCGGATCTTCTTCTCCCCCTTCTTCTTCCCCATTTTCTCACCGCCCTCACATGCCGAGCTCCCGTGAGCAGCATCAAACTCGGCCTTCGATCTCGGGACTATCCCGCTGTCCTCGGCGCCTTTCAATCCCAAGAATCCATGCATCGACGAGCTCATCAGATCGCCGCCGAAGCCGGCGCTCTGGACACGGGCGCCTCCCGCATCGAACGCGAACGGGAAGGCCATCGCACCCGTCGACGACGGGAACAGCATTTGATGTCTTTCCATCGAGGGTGAACAGCTGGTCGTGCGAGGGGACGAAAGAAGCGGAGGGGGAGGAGACGAATCTGGTTTTGAACTGTTTTACGAACGTGTTGATATTAGAATGGAAGGCGGCTGGTGAGCCATAAAAAAGAGCATGAAAAGGATAGAATACAGAGAGCTATCGACCGTAATTCTGTCTCTACTGCGAAGGTAAGAGGAAGGAGGAAGGAGGAAGGAAGGAAGGTTTTTTTTTTTTTTTTTTTAGGTCAGAGGAAGGAAGGAAGTTTGAAAGGTATATAGCGATGCGCAGATGGTGGGTACCGGTGGCGTGAATGGCACGAGGATTTTTCCAAGATTTGGAAAATTAGGGCTTCGCCGGCGGACGTGACGAGCGAATAGAAACATAGAAACAAATAAAAGATTAGTGAGTTTGAAAACTGGTGGCGGCTTTCATCATTAGGGGGGGAACGAAAGTTACGTTGGGGGATTGTAATCTTTTCTTACCTTACGAGGTTTGGCCGAACGAGGAAAGACAGAGACGCTGCAGGGCCTCCGAGCTCGCTTGTGATTGGCGGGCGACACGCTCTGTGGAAGATAACATTATTATTATTATCGCCCGACGGTACTTGGATACACGTGTCTCGCTCCAATCGAGAATCGGTCTGTAGTAGAGACTATTCCCTCCGAATTTGATTGGGCAGAAGCCTTGACTCCAATATAAAAAAAAAAAAAGCAACCTTGTACAGTATAAAGAACCACACGTCACCCATCGAATCTACTAATAGAACGTTTTAAGGATGATTATATAAATGGTTCCTGACCTATGGCATGACGCGTAACGTAATTCTTAAATTCTTAGTTTGTTCGATATGATTGCTCAATTTTTGATAAATATTCAATTTAGTCCATAAATTATATGAAAACGTCCAATCTTATCGTTCCATTATATCAAGCCCATGAACCACATTAAGCATTTTCATATAGTTCAGGGATTTAATTGAACATGTACCATAAATTTAGGGACCACAATTGAAGAAATTAAAAGTTCGGGGATCAGTTCGCACATTCGACTAAAGTTCATAGACTATTTAAGTCATTTTCTCTATATTTTATATATTCGAATGGCTACCCGTTGCATCGCCGGGAATGTACTAACACGAAATGCTTTCTTATAAATGGAGGATCTTGCGAAACGTAGTGCTAGATATAGCGAGTCGAAATTTGCAGATTCGGTACCGGACCTGCTGGTGCATGCATGTATCTGTGAGGAGGGTACGCGCCAATGAGCTTCCTCGGCCACATTGGACTGCAACTTTGCTTTGAACTCGTTAGTGGGGTGCTGATGATGGAGGATCAATAAAAAGAAAGATAAGATCATGAGTGTTACTAACAGTAGTATAGTCAGCTTCAGGAAGTTACCTCCCGAACGACGCTAATTACGCTCGTGGTTCATGTATCTGCCTCCCGATTCATTCTTACTTTCCGTCTTTCTCTGTAGGGTCCCTGCTGCAACGAGGGCACATGCAAATTATTTCTTTTGCCAAAATCGTTGTTCTGAGGATCGCCTGCTTAACGTTTCTGCTCATGCCAAGACGAGTTTGAGAAGATAGCTCCCCCCATAAACAGAAACGTACCTCTCTTTTTTATTATATATAAACAGTTGAAGGGTTAAGGAAGAGACCGGCTACACTAACCCCCTTTTCTCATGCGCGCTCCGAAATGATCGCTTTGAGTTAGACATATTCAATCCATCTGTAAGTAAATATACTCGTTACCGCATCCCTGCCGACGTGCTAGAAATCAGGAAGTCTCTTTATATAAGATAGCATATACTCAAGGTACAAACTGATCAGATGTTCGATGTGACCCAAACTTGTTACCTCCTGGTTTACACTATGATGGCTCATTTACCATGGGCTATCATGCTTGGTGGTTACGGAACATACATAATCCTTCCGTTGCAGGCTTGACTTTTTTTCCTTTGGCTGAACGGTTTAACCTAATCAACTCATAAAATTGTTTGTCATCCAACACTCTTCTATTGTGATTTTATTTTTGCATCATATCATCTATTGTTATAAGTTTAATCACGTCAAGTTAACAAATACTCGACACCCTGATCATAATTCGATCATTCACCACCGCGGACGTTGACGGCCACCACTTCTATCACTAATTTGACCACTATAATCTCCCCATGGCATGAAAGCAAATTAGTTCTCAACACAATTTTCGTTGTACGTCTGTTTACACCAAAATTTAACAAGGTCATCAACATGAGTAAAACATGTAGCTAAGAGACGAAAGGTTATCGCCACTAGATATGTGAGCCATTGTCGACGATTGTAAGAGTGGTCAAAATTAATATACATGCATTACCATAAATTAGCTATTGATATACAATGGTGTATGGTTGACGATTGTTATAACAAAACTAGTTAGCAAAGATACCGATGAAAAGAGACAATAAGTTACCGATTGAGACACCGAACGAAGATTGGATGTTTGGGAGGCGCCAAGGAACAGTTTTAACATTTTGATTTGAAATCACCTGTAAAAAGAGCAACGGATTGTGAGAAGAAATAGAACTAACCAAGCAAGGGCAAATGATCGAGGCATGATTTTAAAGGAGTAACCACCCAAAGGAAAGATCATGGTATCATGAGGACATGGGATCATGATTCTCAGAGATATGGAAACATGGCTAAAACGGCAGAAGATTTGCTCTCAAGCGGTTAAATTTCGGCATGTATCTTTGCTGTAGATCTTGGGTACTTCATCGTCGATTAAATTCCAGCATAGTTTTCATACGTTCGGTTTCGTTTGAAGTGATTACGTTCTCAGGCTTTGTTGCAATTAAATTTCGACATTGTTTGTGTACGTTTAGTTCTGTTTGACATGAAGTTTTTGATTCCCTTGTTAACCTGTAATATTTCTTGTTCGGAATCGCCACAAAACCTATAACCAAAAAATGACTTTCGGTGAAATGTATGTCGTTGTAGAGTCGAATTATGGCGAAACAACGTTCACACGACGTAGGTTATATAAGTTTATTATGCCTGTTGATCACACAAGAACCAAATTTCGGCTTCTTGATCTCCGGCACATCAATCGCATTGCTCTTAAACTTAGATCCATCGCACGCTTCATGAATCGCAATCCAAGGAATTGATTAAGAAGGAGACGAATATGCACTTAGAACACCAGGCAACTGATCAAGTTTTATGAGCGTACAATTACATTGAAGAAGTCGAGAGAGTCAAGCATGTGGGTTTGAACTTGAAAAGGAAGGCTGCTGCTTTGTATTCATTGTTTCCCTTTTGGGTCTTCGAATAGGTGGACTGCATGCGGCAGCCAACTTGTTTGATATTCTTTTCGAATGACTGAGTTCAAAACTCTTCCGATTCAGCGAATACTCAATTTCGAAATCTCGGTTTTGGGTTGCAGAGATGTCGTTGATACTAGACCCATCAAACGGGTGGGTCGGGTCGAAAATTGTGCGATCCATTTTGACCCATTTTTATGCAATACCAATTTAGGGACCCGTATATAATCCTACACGTATTGCTAAAATATTTTTATATTAAACTCAATTTAGGAAAACTCGTACACAAACTGTAGTGAGAGCGCGGAAAGAGCAAGCGTGAGATTAAGTGAGAGCAAAAAAGAGTGGAGAGAGAATCATAGAAGTGTGTTGGGTTTACTTAAATTGTAAACCCATTAAACACTCATTTATTTTGGATTTTATCATTCTAAACTCATTTATGACCTATTTATTGAAAATTAATATAACAACTCATCCCATTAAATATAGGTTAAAACATGGGTCCATGACCCATTTGGACGGGTTTAGTTGATACCACTTCTTATTGTTGTAGGATACGTAACTCCAACAGTTAATATCAAACGATAGAGTTATGCCCTACTCAAGTTGAGTCGTGAAAACGAGGCATGAAAGTAGAGTTTTGTAAGCGCTCATCAGCATCGATGGTCCACGCTTCCGTACTTTCGATTCCACTCATCTAATTTGGGTGAATCGGGTATCGTTCAACCATTCGCTCATTCAATGCTATTCATTCACTCACGCATTACAATTTCTTTAACATTGGCACAAATTGGGTACACTTCAGCCGGTGGATGAGATGTTTTATCTCTTGTTGTTGACGCACAAAAATGACCATGTCCTTTTAACCAACATGATGCCGAAATAGAGTTCTGTGTGAGTCAGTTTAGTTATTGCCAAGACGTCAATGGAAGAAATTCTGTCGACAAACCCAAGTATTAACGATCGACATGACGCTGTTATACAGCTAGGTGTCAAGCGATTGGACTATCGATAAGACATTAAGGGCCAAATAGCTTATCGGCGATACAAGGACGATTGGTTGGCAATTGACACTTAGTGAATTTAACTTAAGTGGTAAAGGCAAAAAACCGAGAGCTATGAGGATGCCATTTAAGGAGTTATCAATAGTTTGTAGATAAGATTGGCATGTAATCACGGAGAGCTATCTTTGAGCCCGAAGTTGAGCCCGGTGACAATTGAAGGGTTGCGACTGCTTATAGATAAAACGATATGCAGTTCTGGATATGATAATGGAACCGAAAATCAGGGACATGCGGTTGTAACTTTCTATTTGAAAATTAACTACTTAGGAGCGGTTACAATTTGTAATAGGCCATATCAACTGTGTTGAATAACTATGAAAAAGATCCCACAATCATAAACACAACTATATACTTTTCAACAAAAAAAAAAACTATCAATTTATTAGTAACCATTACTCCCACTTATCTTTTTCATAGATTCACTTAGTGTAGATCCTTGTCGCGTTTTCATATTCCTGTCCAAACCGCGCCAACGAACCCAAGTTAAATAGAAACCGAAGATCGACCATCTGGTGAAAGATATTTTGTCGATTGGGACAATTCCAGGCAAAACACTCGCAAAACAATAACGGGATGTGACACGTACATTTTTTTTTCACACTCCGGCCATTCGATAAGAGTATAAAGGAATACTAGCAAGACTTCACACTGCTAAGAAAACAGACCTGAGAAGAAACGAAAGATCACGAAGGATTTGGAGAAGCTTTGCTCGTGCTGTAGAATTCGTCTTCGGGCCCTACACGATTCCAATTACGACTGCGCACGAAACCTCCAGGAATCCACGGCCAATTTTTTTGGCCCAATCCCCTTCGACGCCAAATTCAACTTCACGTGAGCCGATGAAGGACGCAAATTTCCACGTGGACCCGATGGGGGTCGCTTTCCTTCAAGAGATATTTGGGTGTGGTCTGTACAGGTAATGGGTAGCTGTCACACCTTTCTTTAGGTATTGAATCGGAGGATGATTACGTAATTATAAGAAAAAATCAGTGAGATGTATATTCTTTTTTTTTATGCAGGTTCAACCGCTACGTTGTGCAGTTGGTGGCGAGGGACCTTCTTTGACATGAATGAGAACAATCCAACACTTAATGTTACCGCTTGGTTCGTGAATCGAATTCTAAAGTTTTCTAATTTCATTTCCATTTGGATTTAGATTATCCAAAGAGTTCAGTGAAGAACGCTTTGAAACGGTTTTATAACCTAAACACAATGGAATTACGGCTACAGCCCGAAAAAAATGACATTCGATGCTCTTTTAATGCTCTCATTTCAAATAAAAAAGGGGAAAAGTACAGACAAAAAGTCCTAAACCTACTGTATTTGTACCAATTCAGTCCTAAACCTTTCAATTGTGTCAATTTAGTTATAAACCTCTTCACATTTTGTCAATTGGGTTCATACGGCTAATTTAGGCAGGAAAAATGCTGACGTGGGACGTCGGTGGTCCTGTGTGGCATGGTCAGCAAAGACGTGAAAATTTTTATATATTTTTTAATATTTTCTGGTTTTTCTTTTCTTTTCTTTGCTCATTTTTTTTGTTTGGACTGAGCGACCCTCACTGGCACTGAACAAGGGTGTCGTGGCCGTTTCCAGCTCTAGGTGAGGGTTCTTAGTTGGCCCTCAATCCAAACAAAAAAGGTAAAAATAAAAAAATAAAAAAAATATGAAAGATTTTTAAAAAAAATTGTCAACATCAGGGTCAACGCCGACCGTACTGTACTACGTAGGACTGATGGCCGGCGTCCACATCAGTACTTGAGAAGTAGAAAACAAAAGATCGTTAAAATTCTCTTGTGAGTATTATTCCATATCAAAAATTCATTAATAATGGCCACTTCAGAAGTAGAAATCTTTCATTCAATAGTGTAGAGGAATCTTGGATAGGAAGAATTGCTTCGTTAGACTACATTACAAATTGGTTGGTTCGATTTTGTCGGTCTTTTAAATTATAAACCAAAACCAGACCATGAAACAAATACAAACAAAAAGCAAAACCATACCAATAAATTGATAAAGGAAACTTGTCAGTTTGGTTCGATTTGATTCGGATCGACTTATCTGTTTTTGGCTTTTCAAGGACACTCATGCTCATTGGTGACCAAACGGATCACCCAAAAAGGAGAGTAGTGGGCTCCTGTGGTCCGACACATGTTCATTGCCGGGGAGAGGTATGCCTTGCCTTTTTATAGTAAGGTACGGGCCGCACAGTAGAAAAGGCCCCTCAAGCCTTAAATTAGCAATTGCCAAGACGGTATCGCAAATGGGATCGAGCCCGAAACTGTGGATAACTAAATACAAATGATGAAATTGGACCAACACACCAATAGACCAATAGGCCATGCGGCCCTACTGATAAAATGGATTAGAAGGGTGGGGCCGGAAAGTACGAGGCCCAGGATTCGATCCCCGTGAGTATCGCACACATATGTACATAGAAAAGAGAAGTAAAATAAATAAAAAAATAGGATCAACACGAGAGTCGGCAACTCCGTGCCGTCTCTCCATTGATACTTCAACAAATTTCAACTATGGATAACACATGGCTATGAATTCGATAACTACCTTTATTCACATTGATTAACGATGCAGATGGATAAGACAACGAATGGACAGAGGAATTGAGATCAAAATGCAAAAGGATCAACTGTTACCCAAGTAAACTTACCAATGTAGTGTGGTTTTCAAGACACTAGCCTTATCTTGTTTCCGTTCAAACAGATAAGATGGATCGGACGTAGGTGTCATCTACAGCAAGATTTCTTTCTTCCTTCTAATTGCTCCCCTGTCCCACATCTTTTAGGAAAATTCAACTGACAGTCTCCTATCGCACCGCAATCGAGGCTCTCAAGACGAGAAATTACTCATCCGGACCCTAATCAATATGGAACAGGAGCCATCACAATCGTCGATTAAGTGTAATCCCGCATGTGGAATTTCATATGATTAATGACCGCGATTGCTTATGTCCAATGGATCCGAGTTTTGATGAGAACTCTATCAAGGTGACCTTGGATCCGGTTTGCTCGACATGGCAACATGGCAAATTCATGTAAAAATCCACATCAGTTCGGGATAAATATGTTACATATGCAGTAATTTGAAATTTTCGCTGAGTTAAAAATTAATTTAAATATAAAAACATTTTCACTGTCACCGGGAAAAGCCATTGAAAATTTCAAAGACCGAGGGCCCCACCCTGAACCATAACGTGACCTGTTGCAGTACGTGAATCCCAACAAAATTCACCAGATCCGACACTTCCGCCCAGGGACGTACGGTGGCTGGCGGCGGCTACCGAACGGTCCCACGTTACTCACTGCGAGAGAGCCTGTTAGTAAATTTCTAAGGAGAAGATGGCTGCGGAAATGACCATTTTGGGGCCCCCAGAAATTTTCCAGCAAGTAGAGACCCTCGGGCTATTAAAGTCATTTCAGCCACCTCTCTCTCTCCGTTTCGCTGCTTTTTGACCTTTTTTTTTCCCCTTATCTTGATCGCGTGATATCTGAAACGTTATAAGTTCTGATCGATTTCTCAAATTGTTACATTGAATCCCACGTGACATAATTATTTTTTATGCAAATCCATGTTATTATTAAGTCGAAACTTGCCTCTCTTCTCATTTTATATCATTTCGCGCGTCGGGTAATAGTTAGGCCAAATCTAGTAAGCGAAGCTCGATTTCGAAAATCGAACTTAACAATGGATCACCAAAAAAATATGGCCCTTTCGTGAGAACCCATCATTTCTATCCTCGTTGCTAATGCAGAAAACCAAAAGAGGTGTCGTTCTAGGCTCCAGGGAAATGTAAAGAAGAATCTTTGTTTGGAGTGTTTCTGTGATTCGATTCTTGAAACTAGCCCAAAAAACAAAGAGACCAATTACGACATGGCTGGCTGGCTGGCTGCTGCTTAATTAAATTGTCGCGTTCCTTTCACTTTCGAAACCTTAAATGACCAGAAAAGTGGCCATGTGCATAATGTCTCTACCTCCCGCAACTTTTCGGAATGCGGCAACGTACGTCAAAAGCTTGGTTCTCGAACTTCTCGAGAGAAAACGAATTGGCGGACCTAATCTGTACTAAACTCGACAAAATGGACATTATCAAAATAACATAAAAATAGGCTAGTGACCCTCTCCCCCTCGCTAACTCGTCAATCCTCGAAATGCTGTCTGAACGAACGCGGCTGTACAGATTGCATCGTTTGCTCTGAGCAGCAGAAGAAGAAGAACATCGGCAGACTACATGTAGGATCGCATGCGAGGCCTCACCAGAGATTGGCCTCCGTCGACAAAGATAGTTGTCCCGGTCGTGTAACACGAGCCATCACTGATCAGATAGATGATGGTCGAAGCCAGATCGTTTTTGGCATTGAGCCATCTGTGAAGTGGTGCCGCATCCTTGACCACGGTCTTTGCCCTATCCATGCCTACAGATTTTGGATACTCATCCTCTACGTGCAAGCCGCGAGAAATGGCATTCACTCTAATCTTATGCTTTCCCATCTCCAACGCCGAAGTCTGCGTAACAATCCCAAAGCCAAATGGGTCAAATAAGAGATTGGCCGAAGAGGGAGTAAAGTAAGAAACAACACACAAGATTATGATAAACATAATTCCACACTTACTCTGACTAACTGCTGCACTCCAGCCAAACACGATCCATATGCAGCAGCTCCTGGATAAAGCCCTCTTTCCGAGCCAATTATCGACGTCAAGAATACAATGGAACCTCCTCTACGGCCATCTCGCAATTTTACACCGACGGTCTTCAACAAAAACCACGCAGACAGGAAGTTTATGCGTACTATCTTTTTAAACTCTTCTTCTGGTAACTGTAAAGGGTCTTGCATCTTTCCTGTTTGAGAAAAGTAAACTGTAAGCTGGCTTGCTTATGTTCCCACTAGACTAGCAAAAGAAACCGACAGCCATTAACAGTCAGATGTATCTATCCTTAATTTAAACGTGGCCAATCGGAGAGCCCACTCAAGGATACAGAGAGAAAGAACTTTCGAGAATTCTCAAACTTCAGTAATGAAGTTACTACAAACTAAAACAACCCTCCAATGGACATTCTAAGAACGATTCGGCGGGAGAGAGACAGCAGAGAGAGAGAGAGAGAGCAGACAAATTGAAGCAGCACTTAGAGGTGATTCTTCTAAATACCTTCGAAAAGGATGCCTTGGTGACTATAGTTAATCATTTTATTTTAGGTCAACGTCCCATGATTCTTTTGGACTATGGATGAGTCCTTTATCATCTCTGTTGGCACGATCTGTCTCTCTCTCTCTTTTTTCTTTCAATAAGCCACATGACAATGGTACGAGTTACTTTTACTAGATTCACCCAACAGTTTCTCAGAATTTCACTTTGACTTCCTCGTCCTTGCAAAGAAGTTTCACACTCCATTACTCTTTCCTCGGCAAGTCCCAAGCATTTTCATATAGTGAAACAGTTGATAACACAGAGGGCATCTACAGGGGCCTGAAAAGTTGAAAAGCAGTAATACACAACTAAGTCCCCTCTTCCCACTATAGACGTAGACGACGCATTCACAAATCATCGATTTTGTCTGCTCATAACCGTGGAATTTTGACTAATCTCGATGAGCAGAGCATGTCCAGCAGTGTCAGCAAACTCTTTATCTTTTGTCCCTGGTTGAAACATTAGGAGATTAAGTAATATTTCAGGAACTGTAACCAAACTCAACAAATCAATGGATTCCATCCAAACCAATCGCAGGTTCAGCCACCTAACGTTGAAAACAAGACGATTTCATCCAAGAAGCAATTGAATTTACCTCTATCACCAATAAGAATCTCACTTTTCATTCAAATTTATGAACTTATCCACACACTACTTTCGCTCGGTGATACCGAGTACTATCTCATGATTCACAAGGTAAACACTAGATGCTTCCATTATGATTTCCAACTCGTACGCATTGGAAAGAGCAACATACCTTCGTAAGCATAGCAGTGCACGAAAGCATCCAATCCCCCCAAAACATTGCATGCTTTATCCACGGCCTCCGCGAAAGCTCCCTCCCTCTCTTCCTCCATGTCCAATCCGACAACCTCGACCGCCGCCGTCGCGCCGTTCAAAGAACCAACAATCCTCTCACGGACGCTCCTCAGACCCCTTTCATCTCCCAGCAAGACCAACCTGTTCAATAAACAAAAAGCACACGAGCGCGTACGTCAGTTTAACTAATCAACAACTCTATCATCTTCGATCGATACGATGACTCCACGAGTCCTCTGCATTCTTAATGCAGCAGAACCAACCGAACAAATTTCATCCAGAATCGTTCCAGTCCCAACATTGACACAAAGCTAATTTCAAAGTTGGAAGGTTTCACGACGTTTCGTGAGCGATTTTAGGGACGAACGTAACCTGCAACCGCGCTTGGCCAAATGCAAAGCGACGCTCGCCGACATCTCGTCGCCACTGGAGGTGAGCAGAACTCTCTTCGCAGCGCTCGCCATCGAATCCCGATCTCTCCGTACTCCGAGCGCGACCGAATCAATCGAACGACGCCAAGAAAAAGGGAGGATCTGATCTCCTCGGGCAATGCTAGACGACGACGACGATGACGAAGGAAGCGATGGACACAGCGTCCAAGGTGATAGAGATACACCCACGCCGATCGAGTGATGGACACAGACCGACGCTTCGTGGGACATATATATATATATATATACACATATGAAGAAAAACGTTGGCTCAGGTTGCTGCGTGCAAAAAGGGATTCGCGGAAAACGCGAGCGAATTAAATAAAATAATTATTCGAGGGCCAGGGCAGTTCAAATGTGAAAAACCAAAACGGAGCGAAATTGAATGCGAATCAGCGGTGAGGTTTCTGAGATGGTGTCCGCGCACTTGCTGTTCGGTGGTGGTGGGGGAGAGGGGAGGCCACACGAAAATTGAGCTAAAAGCGAGATGATTAGGGAGAGGGGGGCGGGATCCACTACGGGTCCGAACAGCGTGGGGCTGCTCTCGCGAAACGGCGCAGCTGGCGGGGCAAAGCGCCGTCGTCGTGACGTGGCGCGATCTTACTGGCGGGCAAGTGGGGATTAGGGGGAGGGCCCGCTTTGATTCGATGGGGACGTTGCTCTTGGTCTTTGCTTGGGCACGAGTCCGCTCGATGGAAGCCATCGCAGCGTATTATTTCGTTCGAAAAATTGCGACCACCATTATGGTCCATGCGACAAGATGCAACTAAAGGAATCTGCATCGACAACCATGTCCGGAGATGTTAAAGGATGAAACCGGAGGAAAAGGGTCACGGTTCTTCTCCCCACGCGGGACATGCATCCCCCATCGTTTTTTGCATTTGAATTCAGAACAACTTGAATTCACATCAAGTGACCTTTTGCAGAGGAATGATATAGTAAACCCAAAACAGATATTAAAATTAACCATTGCGGCGATCAATTAATTCCGCGCGTGATTGTACATTTTTAACCGTCTGAAATTATTTTAACATATACATTAGATTGTTTAAATAATTGCTTTTTATGAGACAAGTTACTTGAATACGGTAGGTAAAGTAAGTGTGGCATTGAGAATGGTGGGGGCCTCGAGGAATTAGGGCATAGTAAACTCAAAATAGATATTAAAATGAGGTCGGCGAGCCAATTGATGACTCCCACACGTGATTGTTCATTTTTAACCGCCCGAAACTATTTCAACATACGCATCAGATTCATTAAACAATTGCTTCTCCCTAGGACAGCTCAATTGAATACGGTAAGTAAGGCAAGTGTTGCATTGAGGAACGGCGGGGGCCTCGAGGAAATAGAGTTTGGAAAGTGAAAGTCCTCATAAGACTGTTTTGTATGGCGTGGAGTCTCGCTTTCGTCGTCCCCCGTTCTTGTCCAATCGATCGATACAGGGGAGGCTTGGGTAATGGTATGCGACTCAGACGGTATTTGGACGTAGCCACAAAGACGAAGCATTTGCCCCTTTTTTGCTTATTGCGGCTCCGTGAGATACTTCCTCGTTGTTTTTTCACCGCAAAAAGTACACCAAAAGTTATTCGGGCTGGCACGCTTGCGTGCACGTGCGCGTACACGTCAGTGCGAAAAAGTAGAGGGAGAAAGGTTAAAAAAATGAAGAGGGCTTAGGGTGCGATGATGATCGACTGCCCCCACCGAGATCTTCGCGATGATCTCCAACTGAAAGTGATTTTGCATAAGATCGATTGCTGATGGCGACGGATGATGCAATCACATGTGGCCGATGGATGGGTACCCAACATAATTTCCAGCTTTTTTCGATCAACGGAAAGAGCAAGTGAGCCGCGGTCGGCCTAACAATAAAGGAGTCTCATTAATTTTTCCGAAATCGTTGGTTCGATTCGTACCGCGAACCTAACCTCATAATAGCATGTGCCATGTTTATTAGCCGTGTCGTATTTCGTTTGCAGGGATTTCCTGGCTATCGGCATATCAACGTGTTTGTAGGGATGGGTTTGCTAAGCTAGTGAGTCGTGGGTGGTGTAGAAATAGTTAGGACTCAATCTAAGCATTCTGTAACGGGGTGTCGGATTTTATGATAAGTGCCGAGAGGGGGTCACTGGCGTTGATCACTCTTCATTGGCTTTTTTGCTTATAAAATAATGAAGAGCGAGTGCATTAGATACATTGAGTATGCCTTATGAACAAAGCAAAACTCAAAAGCCATTTGGTTAATGACCGGGTGTGTTAAAGATAATTAAAATAATTCTCTAAAATATTTTCCCACAGTAGAAATAATTAAGATATTTTTGTTAGTTCTTTGTATCTTTCAAGATTGCGTTTATTTCTCCCTTTGATTGTGTATATCTTTATTGATATATTATCTTAAATAATAATATCAAAAAAAATATAAATAAACGGATGTACTCTTTATTACGATATATCGAAATATACTGAAATTCTCCAATTTTAATTTCCGCTTTAATCTTATATATGGGATTGATTCAGTGGCAAAGACATTCCTCTGAATTGATTAAGGGCGCGAATGATAACGACACAAAATTTCTATTCCCAAAATAAAAATTTGTTTGATAACAGCACAAAATTTCTCCCTCTTGAGTAGCTGGCGAGTGGACGGTGAGCGAGTGGCGGCGGCGGACGGCAGGCGACAAACAGCGAGGGGGCGGCAGCAGATGGCGACACGGCCAGTGCAGAGGATAGTGGCTGGAGGCGGCCGGTGTCGGGCAGCGACAGGAGGCGGGTGATGGGCGGCGGCAGGAGGAGGGCGGCCGGCAGCGGGAGACTACAAACTGCGGGAAGCGGCGACTGGCAAGTGGGCGGCGATGGCCGGCGGATGGGCGACCGGCTAGTAGACCAGCTAGTAGCGAAGGTGAGCGATGAGAAGAATTTTTTTTTCTCATTTTTGTTCTAGAAATAGAAAAATACTTCTCATTTCTGTTCCAAACCTATTTTTGAAATCAAAATTTATTTCAAAAATTTAAAAATGAAATTACGTTATCAAATAAAATTTCTGTTCCAAATTTATTTCTGAAACAGAAAAAAAAAAACAGAATGATTATCATTCGCAATATTAAAAGTCCTAATAAGACCGTTTTGTATAGCGTGGAATCACGCCGTCGTCGCCCCCCCCATTCTTGTCCAATCGATCGATACAGGGGAGGCTTAGGTAATGCTATGACTAATACGATACTGGACGTAGCAACAAAGACGAAGCATTTGCCCTTTTTCTGCTTATTGTGGCTCCATGAGATTCCTTCTTGTTGTTTTTTCACTGCAAAAAGGGCCTAATTCCAAAAAAAACCCCAAACTTTACACTTTGTCTTAATTATACTCTGAACTTTTTTTTATCTCAAGAAAAACCTCAAACTTTTCTCCGAATCCCAAATCTACCCTACCGTTATAACTCCATCCAATTAACGCTCAAGAAAAAAAAAAAACAGAACAGAACGGCGCGGCCAAGCCTTCGCGGGTGGCGCCGCCACACCGCCGGAAGGAGCGGCGGCCTCGCCTGGGCCTTCCGAAGGCGGCGACCCTCGCCGGCCCGGGCGAGCGCCGGCGAGGGCCTGCGGCCCCGATCCGGGGCGAGGGTCGCCCTCCCCGGATCGGGGCCGCAGCCCTCGCCGGCCGACTCGCCCGGCCGGCGAGGGTCGCCGGCCTTCGGAAGGCCCAGCGAAGGCCGCCGACCCCAGGCGAGCCGGCCCCCCAACTGGGGAGGGCGCGACCCTCGCCCCGAGATCGGGGCCGCAGACCCTCCGCCGGCGACTCGCCTTCGGGAAGGCCCAGGCGAGGGCCGCCGACCCCAGGCGAGGGCCGCCGCTCCTTCCCGGCGGCTGTGGTGGCGGCCACCGGCGAAGGCTTGGCCACGCCTGCACCTGCTGGTTCTGTTTTTTTTTTTTTCGACGTTAATTGACTGGAGTTATAACTGTAGGGCAGATTTGGGACTCTAGAAAAATTTGAGCGCTTTTCTGAGACAAAAAAGTTCAAGGTATAATTGGGACAAAGTATAAAATTTGGGGTTTTTTTTGGAATTAGGCCCTGCAAAAAGTACACCAAAATTTACTCGACACGTCAGTGCGAAAGAGTAGAGGGAGAAAGGTTAGAGTGCGATGATGATCGACTGACCCCACCGAGATTTTCGCAATGATCTCCAACCGGAAAGTGATTTTGTATAAGACATTGATCGATTGCTGGTGGCCAGGGATGATGAGATCGCATGGCCAGGATTGATGGGGACCCAACATCGTTTCTAGCTTTTTCCGATCAATGCAAAGAGCGAGTGAGCCACGGTCGGCCTAACAATAAAGGAGTGCATTAACTTTGCGAAATTGTTGGTTCGATTAGCACCGTGAACGGACTTCAAAATAGTACGTGCCATGTTTATTAGCCACGTCGTATTTCGTTTGCAGGGATTTCCTGGCTATTGACATATCTGACATGTTTGTAGGGATGGGTTTGCTAAGCTCGCGAGTTGTGCGCGTGCGGAAATAGTTAGGACTCGATCTAAGCATTCCGTAACGGGGTGTCGGATTTTATGATAAGTGTCCAGAGGGGGTCACCAGCGTTGTTGATCACTCTTCATTGGCTTTTTTGCTTATAAAATAATGAAGAGTGAGTGCATTAGATGCATTGTGCATACCTTATGAGCAAAGCAAAACTCGAAAGCCCTTTGGTTAACTATTATTGAGAGTGTTAAAGATGACTAAGATAATTTTCTAAAATATTTTTCTACATTAGAGATAATTAAGATATTTATGTTGGTCCTCTGTATCTTTCAAGATTGTGCTTATATCTCCCTTTGATTGTGTATATCTTAATTAATATATTATCTTAAATATTAATCTCATAAAATCTATAAACAAGCAGATATACTGGGATTTCTCAATTTATTTTCCGCTTTAATCTTATACATGTGATTGATGAAGTGGCAAAGACATTCCTTTGGTTTCGATTTAGGGATTGATGTTTGTGAGTTCCTACATTGGGGAATTCAAATTTATGTGGGGTTCATGGCGGTGGGCTGCCGTGCTCATTGCCCTCTAGGTAATTAGCTAATAAAGGTTGCATTTAGTTTAAGAATTCAGATTTAACTGAGAGTTGATGGTGTTGGGTTGATGTCCTCATTTCCCTATGGGTAACTAGCTAATTATGGTTGCAATTAGTTTAAGATGAGAGCACGGTAGAGGAGCTAATCATCTGAAACATCCCAAAGACCCACATCAGATAATAAATGCTTATTGAGTGATTCATAAAGTAAACACTCCACCTCCAAATAATCATCACCGGGTGTATCACACAAACTATTTCTTTTGTGCCTTGACCCTTGTAAAATTAGGTTGATTTGTTACAAATTGTATCAAAAGATAATTCCCACCAGATATGTGTATGGTTTGTGGTCGGACTAGACGCACACCCAACCCTCGAAGGCACGAAATGATCACGGTGGCAAGACGGCTCACATAATTCGCAGCTTCTAGTAGGCCTCTGAGATAGCGATGGGGAGAAAAGGGATTGGACCACACATTAATTAAAGGGAGGGCAATACCAGGCCAACACGACGGGGATATCAATTCATCAATCGGAAGGATTTACGTCATCCCAAACTCTCACATTAACGGGAGATCTTGTTGAAGGAATTATAAAGTAAACATCCACCCCAAAATGGTCACCAACTTGTACAATTACTCGGAATAATTTTTTTTAGCATGTCTTGTGGGTGTAAAACGAATCAGTTGTTATACAGTGGAAAAGGACAATGACTTAAAAAAAATGACAACCTAATATTAATATTGCACCTCCCGAGAGTCCAATGGGAGAATGTATATCTGGACTAATCATAGCACCTTATGAATGGGAAGTAAGTTTTGTTCGACGAAGCGTGATTATCAATGCGTAATCCAAGTGCTGAGCTACTTTTAATATACTAATGTGACTTAATCATAAGTACAATTGTAAAAGGACGACGTACTTTAACACGAGCTGACATACACAACGACTATACTTAACAGAAATTTGGTCAAAGTACTTCTTTAAGACGAATATAGAAGTCCAAATTATTTAAGTTAATATTGATTACTGACTTAAAGAACTAGCACCTACTTCTCAATTCGCGTTACGACTCGGTCAACCTTTTTTGGGCCGTGCTTTCCGCACGTACTCGTGTGTACGTAACAACGATGTCCCAAAAATTTGTGGACGAGGAATCAGGAACTTCAGCCGGTCAAACTCTGCCCGGATTCCCTTCCCCTTCCCTTCCCTTCCCTTCCCAGTCGCTAAAAAATAAGCACGTTCCGGCAGTTGAGAAGTTGTTCGTATGAACGCATATCCGAGCCGCGGAATCCACGTTCCGCACGGGTCAATGTGAGCTTTCGAGCGTTCACTTCGTGACTCACGAACTGAACTCAACCACCGTCCTCAGATCAGATGGTCATAAAACCGGTCGGGTCGGGACAAGAACAACTTCCCACTGGACGCGTTGACCCCTGTTTCCAAGTCTTTGCAGTTCGGTCTTGAACTGTTTTTTCTTCGTTTCTTCTTCTGGTCCTTGTGCCGGTAGTTCACGTCAACCTATGACCAACCACAATCCTCGTGTTTTTAAAGCCAACCTGGTAAGTTTCGCGAATCCTTACGGGCAAAGAGATGGAAGATGCTCTGGCGAAGCACGGAGCTGGGCTGTGTTGACGGTGGCTACCAGGCCCAAATCGTTTGGACAGCCCGAATACGGCTCCATGAAAAATGGAAGCAAGTAAAACTAAATTGCAGTTCGCAACGATAATCAAACGAAACTATTTTATTTTTTTTCCTTTTTTTTTGTTTCATGAACTTAATTTCAGTCTACGGATTTCGTGAAAATACCAAACTCTATCCCGGTACAGCGCATTATAGATCCACATAAAACGACCGTCGAAACTAATTCGAGTTCAAAAAAGGTGGGCTACCATTCACATGTAAATGACAAATCTTTTAAGAGCTAATAGGTGCTACGATCCGTCGCGGTTCCTTTTGATTTCGAAAAAATGAAATCAAATTGAACTGCTAAAGATGTTTTGGTTTAGTTAGGAATCCTTTTTTTCAAAATAGTCGTCTTGATCGATAGTTCAATAACTTATACTGTTTTTTTTTTTGCTCATGTCAAGATTTGCTATAATCGAGTTGGCTAAAGAGCAACCGGTGAAGTTTCTTTAGAGAAGACATCCCCCCAACAAGACTAGCCAAGTATACGTGAGATGCCGTCCAATGGAAACCAATTACTTATTGATAAAGGCAAGAGAGAATTGAGGAAATTAGATTAGGTTTTCTATTTTTTTCAAAATTTTAAAAAGTAAATAAATATATATATGAAAAATTATAAAAATATATTTATTGGTTCGGCCTCGCTTGGTCTGGTCCGATCCGGTTTCCCATCCTAGAACCGAATCGGACCGCCCAAATCGATTCCACTTTTAAGAACCTGAACCGGATTGATATTCCTTGAACCGACTAACCGCTCAAATCCCCCAACTTTGAGACCATGAAAGTAGGGATTGAGATAAGTCTATTCGATCATAATTCAACATTACTGACAGTACGAGAGTGTCACGTAAAAGTAATATGCATGTTAGTTCGGATTAGGAGGCATTTGGATTCTCTAATATTAGGTAGAATATTGAATGTAAATATGTTTTACTTTTTACTTTTTACTTAATTTTCATTTTCCGACTTCCACATTTTGACTTTTCTTAAATCCAAAACTCTTAAAACTTTTCGCGACAATTGAATGTTGACACATAAAATCGCATATAATTTTTTAAAGTCAAATAATGTTTTAAGCTGCAAAAGGAGCGCCTTTTCTTTTCCTCAAGCATAAATAAACAGGGCTGCATTTTGTCCAAGTGTTTTGTTTCTTCAAAACGAAAAATATAGGGCGAGTTTGTGATCCCTCATCACGCCTTTAGGCTTTTTGACCGGTGAATCAAAAAGCGAAAAATCACAACCGTTCGCTTTCAGACCTGTTGAACGGCTGAGATCTATTTCCGAGGATGAAGTTTATCATAGAACGGTGTCGTAGAACATTTCGACAGAGAATTCTGACGGTGCGAGAGCGAGAGCGACGGAAAGAGAAGAGCTTGGCCATGGCGAGCTCGGCGCTTGCGTCTCCTTGGTCGCTCCGTCTGCTGAAGTTCCAAGAGCAGGCGTCGCCGGCGGCAGCAAGGTCAAGCACCAGGCACGCACTTCTCAACTCATCTCTCTTCTCTGCGAACCAGTACTCGTCCCCTATTTGCTTCGCGACAGAGCTCTCGACGCTCGCGTCAATGGCCGGAGCTCGTAATTTCTGATCGACTTTCCATTGCGTCAACGTCCGTGAGCAGGTTACGGTTCGGCGGAGGTGGATTACCCAGAATTCGCTGCGATCATTCCTGCTTCGAAGTAAGCATTTCCTCGTCAATCGGCTTTGGTTTCGGTATATGTTCTCTGCGTGGTGGACTGTCCTTATGCACTGCACCTTCGATGCTCGGGCTGTCGTAAAAGATGGTCGCCGATCGTTTCTCCGCGCCGAAGTATCTCGGTCGTGCGACTCTTTTAGTCAGCGTCCATTGGGTCGTGCTTTTGTTATATTCTGCGAGTTTTGGTATTGCGACACCAGTCGGGGTTGTAGCATTCGAATGTCTGGTCGCGCTCGTCGAATTCATCGGGCCTCTGTTGAAATCAAAGTTCAGGGGTGCTATCATATTCGCGGATGAACCAACGGGCATTCTATTATGGGACGGCAAAGGTTGAAAGGAGGAAAACATCTTAATCTGTGATTGAAATGGTGGTACTTGCCGAATGATAAACACTGAAATCAAACGATTCTGAATGTTTTGGAATGCTGAGGACTATCCGTGCTTTCAGGATTCCTGCTCACGTTGCCATGTCCATTTGAAATGGAAGGGGTTTGTAAAACCGACAAGATTGTCTAAGATTATATCGCTCCCGGGTCATGAAGTGCTTTGTGCTTCTCCTGATTGGCCTGTTTGATTGATTTAGAAAAGGATAGAACAAGAACTTTCTATTAACCATGATGACTGGCAAAGAGATAAACAATAAGTTGACTTACAAATCGCTAGGAGAAATGTATGTTTAGGTATCAACCATATCTCATGAAGAATTTCTCCGAGTAGGTCCAAGAGTACAATTTGATGCCTTTTGATGCTGTTCTAGGTGCTATTGATGCCTTGACATGCCTGGATTCTAACCTAAGTGTTCCTAGACCTCATTGGGTGGGGGCTTATCATCGATTGTAGTTGCTTATTATGTTCCAGGAAAGTTATGCAATAGTTGCTATTTTTTATCTCAAGAATTTGGGAAGGTTTTAGAAACACTTTGTATTATTTTCACCATTCAGACAATTCCTAGCTTAATGTGGTTTGCCAACCATGCAAAGTGTCCATATACATCATTTTTATATTCCTTCATCTATTGTTCGTTAAAACAAAGAAAACAAGAAAGTGAAAGAGTCTTCATTATAATGTGGTGCTGTGATTTACTAATTTGCATTTTGTATGAGAGTTTTTGTCTGTAATGCATCTGTTTTTAGCTTTCATATATCCAAAATACGTTGCAAATAGACTTTGTTTAATCTGCGTTATTGTTTCATATGGTCTGGCATTCTTTTCTGGAATTGATTGAATTAGTAGATCTATGCGTTTCTATAATTAAACAAGTAGAACCGCAGAGGAATGAAAATCTAAAGCTTTATCTTTGTATTTGAAGGTTAAAAGTGTTGGCTACCATCCTCCGGGGACCCAGTTCAACCTTCTCAAAGATGTTAGCTTTTCCCTCCCTGAGAAAAGGTGTGTCTGCTCTCATCTTCAGGTTTACTTGCAGCATCTTAAACTTTCAGAGCTTGTCTGTAGTACTTTGAATCACCTAGGCTTTTATCTAAGGTACGAGTTAATTTGTTTCATGCAGTTTTGGCTTGATTTTTGGTCAGAGTGGAAGTGGAAAAACTACTCTATTGCAGGTCAGCATCATCAGTTAGGAAGCTTACTGCAGTGTTGTCAATGATCAAATATGTCAATTTCCTTGTGCCTCTTTCTCAGCTTCTTGCAGGACTCAACAAACCAACTTCAGGTTCTATTTGCATTCAAAGATATGGCGACAGTGGTGAACATAAAGGACCTCCTGAACATTTGTCTCCAGAGAAAGTTGGTATTGTCTTTCAATTTCCTGAGAGGTACGGAGTATCATTGGAAATGAGAAAATTGTCGAAACCAAAAGAAAAGTTGATTTCCGAGTCAACTGTGATATGATTACTGAAGCCAGACTTTTTGGCTCATGGAATGCTACAAGATAAAAAAATTCCGGCCTGGCCCTTTATCTTCCTTTCCTTTTTGTAATTGTGCTAGTCGAATTCAGTAAGAATTTCTTGTAACTATGTGATGTACGCATTTAGATAACTTTCCGCTTACTATGTCATGACCAAAACGACATTCTCCCTTTTTTCTTTTTGCATTTCTCTCACCTATTTGTCTCATTCTGTATCAAAAGATTTGCTAAACCTCCGTCTTTCGGAAAGATCATAAATTGTAGTTGCCAAAAGTTTGATTTGTTGCGCATTAGTAATATGCGTAATTATTCAACTTCTGGTTGCATTACCTACCGGATCAAGTTCTTGCTGACTGAGCAATTTGGGTTGTCATTACTGCATTGTGCTTTTCGTAGTTGTCAATATGTTTATCTGCGATATAGGTATTTCATTGCCGACAATGTGCTAGATGAAATTACATTTGGATGGCCAAGGCAAAAAGTTAGCATTCAGTCGAAGGAGCAACTTGCTTTCAAACTTCAAAGAGCTTTCAATTGGGTATTTCTTCTTTGACACGTAACAGTCTTCTTTTTACATAAGTTCATCTGGGGCCATACATTTTGCTCTTTACGATGGAACTTAGTCTCTACTATGGTCATAAAATCTAGGTTGGATTGGACAGAATTTCCTTGGACAAGGATCCTCACTCCCTGAGTGGTGGCTACAAACGCCGACTTGCTCTGGCAATCCAATTGGTAAATACATTTATGATTACGCTTTAGAAACTCAGGATGCTACCAGCATGCAATTCACGCTAATGCAATAAAATTAAGAAATTTGTTCTTTTGTTTCTTGGACTATAAGTATGCCTATGTCTTTCCCTTTACTGAGAGCACCCATTGGCTTCTATGTACAGGTTGAAGTTCCAGATTTGTTGATATTGGATGAACCTCTCGCTGGTCTAGGTATGAAGATGTTTTTGCCATGCTATTTTTATATGATTAGTAGCCTCACACTTGGAGCTCTATGGTTCACAATATAAGAACACTCTGGCCATTGACCAGCATATATTAACTCGGTTTGCTCATACTCAATTATTTCTAAACCTTTTCGCTCCTATTTGGCTTGGGATGCCTATGTTGCCTCTTTGTAAATCAAGCCCCGAGACTCAAGAAAACTGCTAATCTACTTTGCACTGACTTCATCGATGCTCTACTTAGAGGAATATGAGATTGTAGTCTCAGTCCGTGGCTTTGGAGAAATATTTTGATGTTCTATTTTTGAAGCAGATAGATCTATTATTTGGTATGCTAAGTTTTTTGTTTAGGTCTGACCTCTAAATTCAAGACCTCTCGTTGCCCCTTATCCCACCCTGACAATGGCCATTCTGTCAAATCGCAATACCCTGGCATTAGGGCATCCTTCTAAGAAAAAGAAAAGGAAAGGATAAACTCAGGAAAGTCTCCACAGCTATTGGCTTTCTTTTTTTATCCAAACAGGTTGCCTTTTATGCCCTATAAGGTGCGTAGCATAAACGTGCTAGAGAAACTATCTAGCCCACAACAAGTTATATTAGTACTAGAATTTATTTGTCATCTTTCTACACTTCCAATTCCTTGGAATTTTTGTTCTTCTATGATGGTTCCTAATTTTGCTGACGTTGTTCCTCCTTGACCTCACCATATAGATTTAGATTCTTACGTGGGGCAATTGTGTTAATTCTCCTGTTGTTTGTTTCCTTCATTTCATCCCTTCTCTCCTTTCTGCATGGGAAAATGTAACTGAATATCATTTCAAGTCACTTTGATCTGTTTCCTAAATAACTTACTTTTCTTGGCAATTAGATTGGAAAGCACGTGCAGATGTCGTGAAACTTTTAAAGCATCTGAAAAGAGAAGTAACAATACTTGTTGTCAGCCATGACTTGAGGTAAGTATTCCTTTGGGTTCCATCATATGAGTAGTCATTATTGCTTGATATGCTTTCTGGTCAATGGTTAAAAGTTTTAGTGAGTAAATCTGAAAGACATTTTTGCTATTGTATTATGGCTGAAAAAGTCATGGGGCTTTCTTCGGAGCATCCGGTTTTATGGACGAGGGAGTCTTTTTATCTTGCAAAGCTGATAAATGTTTTGTCTCCCATTGTTTTTGTTAGGTGATCGTTTGGGAGGAAAAGGAAAGTGCCGTCTTGTAATTAATTTACTCATTCTAGACATATCATCCACCTATTTCATTTAATGTTATAGAGATATAAATGCCATGATCGTTGCTTCTCCTGCTTGTCTGTGGATTGTGAATTTTACTGGTGTGATTTCAGGGAATTAGCTTCTTTGGTTGATCGATCTTGGAGAATGGAAATGGGAGGAACTTTAAGGGAAGATTCACTGCCTTTCTAGAGACGCAATAAATTGTCACCTAAGTCACCGGCATTTTTCTATCATGTGAGTTTCAAAAATTGGTTCTTTCTTTACTTTTGTTTGATTACAACTTATATAGTATGGTACATTTAATGCCAATAAGGGCATTTTTGTTAGTATACATCTGGAGCAAGTTAATACATGCGAGGGGGATACTGAAGGAAGAGCAACTATTGTTAGAGGACCTCATATGTCACATGAATTCGCCACCAAACTCACTAGCAGTTGGTTTAAATTGGAAACTGTATGCTCAAGATTTTTTGGTCCCATTGATTAGAGTTTAGGACAAGATTGATTGTACTCGCTTGTTTCGTTGCATCAGTTTCATTTGTCAAATGGGATTCTGATTTTCTTGCTCTTGTTTAGCACCAATAGCTAAGCTTCTTGGACTTTGACTTGCTTTTCAAAGATGCAGAACATTTAAGCGGACGTCTAGCTTGTGGGAAAAGGAATAATTGAGTGCCAAACATCCATGTTGCAACTTAAGAGAAGGCACTAACTGCAGGATCCACCTTGATGACTTTCAAACATGAACTATGATATATAATTCACTACGATGCATGGGTTCTTATGTTTGTGAACTTACTCGGAGGTGTTCTTAAAATATATGATATCCAGTATTGTCTCTAAGAATCCTCTTATAATGAACTATTGTTGTAAATATTATTTTAGCTAACTTTTTCAGCTTTATTTGCTCTTGTGATTAATTTATTAACTACCAGTTTTATCGAACTCGTCTTACTTATTATTTTAGAATGATATCTACTTAGATTTTGGAATTTATACGTGTTATTGCTATATATTGGTAGAATATGAGCGTATTAAGTTTTTGTAATTTTTTCCCCCTAAGGTGTGTATGATTGTTAGAGAATAGTGGAGTACTTGCCTCCTTAACTTAAGCCCAGCCGCTGTTGCCAAGAAGTAGAAGGCGCTCTGGTGCGATCCTCATGAACGAAAAAAGATTACAGTCAGTTTGATAATGATTGAGCGACATTGCTTCTTAGGCCCAAACCAAGGAATCCCTTAGATATGATACAAAATGGATCTTGTTCTATCATTGATCAGAGATTTCTCTATGAAAAATACAAATTGGAGTTTGAAGAAGGGAAAGGAGAAGGAGTCCTTGAACCACAACAGATAATTTGATGAATTCAAAAATGAAAAAGAGCTATTTATTCTGTATGTGTGAAGGAGTCCTTGACCCACAACAGATAATTTGATGAATTCAAAAATGAAAAAGAGCTGTGTGTGTGCGTGTGCGCGCGCGCGCGCGCGTGATTGTGATTGATATAATGCGCATGATCGAGGGCAATTGACTGTCATTATGAAGGTAGTGGAATAATCAAGAGTTATTGTTTAACTAAGTTGATGGTATAAGTTGAAGGATATGGACTCTATGGTGCACCTGAAGCAACCATATGAGCACAATATGCAACGGAATATTGCTTGTTATGAAAATTAAGTACATATACCTAGATGTTTCCCAACTTTACTTGTGTTATGATATGTAAATTAATTAAATCTTTACCTAAAACTTTACAAATCATTTCTTCCTTTATTTTCTTGGGTAATATTATGGTAAAGGTTACGAGGAATGAATCGAGATCCTCTTTGTGAGGATAGCAGACCACCAGAGGTGAGTCTTGTGGCTGTGTGACACATGGCTCAACAATGACAATTAGTTCTGCCCATTTATCTATTTTCCTACTGGATATGTTGGTGAAACAAGGACTCTTTGGAAGATGGAGCTTGCTGAATTCAGGCTTATGCTACTAATCAGAAAGTGGGGCACTCCACGTTTTAGACTTTCACTATACAGTTCATAAGTCCAGTGCAGGGTATAATATATTTTGCAGCTTTCTTCTGTGATGAATTGGACTTATTTTGGAAATGGAGCATGCAGAATCCGGCTCATGCGACTACTTGAGAAAGTTCGAGAGCTACGCGTTACTGATAATTTCTTACATCCAGAGATGATGGATAAGTCCCTTACACTTTATTTAAGATTACTCATCACTCTCACTCATAAGCATATAAGACAAAGACCATTTTTACATAAACTAATAGCGTTACCACAAATATCCAGTAATGTTCTCTTAGCTAGAGCTCCAGCACCAGATCTGCAGCAGGAAGGTTACATAACAGTCAGATATATGTAGCAGACTAGATCACCGTACAGCCTGCCATTAAGTCACATAAATGAGTCAAATTGCTTCGTTGGGCGTGCCCTTGTTCGTGCATAGGAACTCGCATGTGTGCTTGCTTGTTTGCGGGTGCGATCAAGTATGTTTCGTCATCCAACTACTCATCAGTGACTTGCATTTTTCTGGTACTTATTTGTTATTTAATAAGGACTTTCTATCAAAATCAGCCCCTATTTCTTTGGTCTTAGTTTCGTTGGGAATACTTATAATATAGCACTAACATGAAAATAGCTCAACAGTTAGCACTTTTAGTGAATGCAACTTCCCAAATGTGGCATATTTCCCATTGGAATGATGAAGTAGTTTAATTAACGTTTGAAACTTGAATGTTGCTTGAATTTCGATGTGAATGCAGCTTCATCAAGTTAGTCAGTGAAGTGGCGCATATATGAAAACTTACAGTCCGCATCTGTTTTGATCCAGTGCTCCCTGCAGTCATCTGAGGTGTCTCTAGCAATCTCAGGAGGTTGGAGTTTTAAGCTGCCCTTCTCTCCTTCTGTTGACATTAAACCCTGAGCAGAACTTATGTTGGCTTTGTCCTTGTCTATCAAGTCCTTGTGGGTGTAATTATTATCATTAAAGGCTTTCTTGCTTTTGTACGCCTTATACTTTTCCATATCTGCTGTATCTGTAGCATTCTCTGGATGGATCTTTCTACGGAACATTTGAAGGACCTGCATGGAACAAAGGCAAACTTCCTGTAAGTACCGTCTGCCTCTTCTTCATTTACATGCAATCAGTAAACATGTAGATGGTGTCTAGCATCTACACCATCTATGCTCCATGAGCATTCCTCAACAATTATATACTCCTGAAAGAGAAGCTATTGCTGAATTTACTTATCACTCTCTGGTAATTAAAGTTCGTGATTTTAACACTCCCGAACTTCAATCATATAAAAGCTGGAGGCTGCCATCTGCATGACATAACTCACTTAGATTGTTCTGTTTTTGTTAGTGTTGACTTCGATATTACTAACCTCAGAGTTTCATCAGAATCAACACACCTGGCCCTCTTTGTCAAGATATATTCGATCAAGAAACTGAAAAAAGTTGGGGGACACCTCTGACTGTCAAAGTAGAATTTTCAATGAAAGGACCTGACGACTTATATGTGCATGTGCTATTTTGAGTGTCCAATAAGAATGCTCTGACCTTATGGAATTTTTTCTTGGGTAAAGATGATGCGGTGGCATCTCCTCCAGTGGAAAGACTTGGGGGTCTTGAAGAAGCACATAGCTTTTTCAGAAACTTCTTCATAATATGTTTGGAAGACTTATGTGTTGGCTTGACCTGTGTAGCTCCTGTCTCAGATTTCTTTGAATAATTTCCACCTGTTGTCCCTGTTTCTTGAAACAGCTGCAAAAGGGATGCCTTTTGTTTCTTCATCTCTATCTTTGTTTCCGGCAATTCGACTGAAGAGCCGAACAGATATCCCTGTAGCGGAAAAATCACAGTGTCTGCAGGTCCTTCATCTTCAACTGTCTCCATTTGCGGGCTGTCAAGTGTTATAGTGCTGACATAACTATTCCTTGATGATCCCTTGTGCCCTTCCTCTTGAGATTCAGCCTCAAGAAACTTCTCTAGTTCATTGTTTATGAGCTTCAAGTCATCCTCTGTAACTTCTACAGCTTCTTTGGTCATGTTGTCCAAAGTCATGGCAAATGTTGGCGTGGCAGGCTCACTGGGAGCTGCTTCTGAACCCAGAAATCCTATGGCAAGAAAGCCATGGAAAAGTTCAGAAATTTCAGTGGAAGTTTCTGGTTCAAGATTTTCCTCGACTCTAGAAGTGAAACAAGAGATGGAATTTCCATATTCCTCTGCCGGGCTCTCTGATGATTTGGGAGCATATCTGGAGCTGAAGTTTGGCATTGCGAATAAGTCTTTCTCATCATGCGGTTGTTGTGCAGAAAGACAGGTGCAGTAGTTCCCTGAATTATAAGTTCAATGAGAAATATATACTCTAGCTGCAGTGGAGGCAAAAGATAAGGAAGAAGGGGAGATGCTTTGAGAATGATAATAATTTCACTATTAACAACTAATGTTTCAGTCTTGGTAGTTGTAGTCAAGAGGTCATCTCGCTTACAGCGTTGACATGGTCATGCTCTGTATAATCTAATTTAAGTATCTATTGCAGTAGTGTGGGCAACTTCTAGAAGCTGCTGTTATGAAGGAGAGAATGGTAAGCCTTTTAATTTGAAAGTTGGCCTGGCCAGTTTTGGGGTCTGTGGCTTTGGAGATGCTGAGTGTAAGAAACAATTGGGACCTTTTCTCTGTGTGTGTGTGAGAGAGAGAGAGTGAGAGAAAGAGTCTTGGGCCACTCTATTATCCTATATTTGCTTGCATTAGGCTGTCCATTGAAGGAAACATTGAGTTGGTCTAGTCGACAGCACTGGTATCATAGGTATTGTTATTCTGACTTATCTATTTCAAGTAAAACAAAAATCAGGAACTGAGAATACCGATGGCGAAATCTCTGAATGTCTCGATGCTATTTTGCCGTAACTTTTGGTGCATCCAACCTAGTAACTGCCACAATGACAATGAAAACAAGACTTTAACATAGTTGACACTGAAGTATTCAAACTTGGTAGAGTGTGGACGTACCTTCATTATTATCTCTTGGGAGGACCCGATATCAGATATTTTTGGTTGTCTGCATAGACATGAATGAAGATGAACTTTGATCTTTGAAAGGGATCGTGAGCCTATAAAGGAAAGGTCATGAGGGGGAGTTTCTTAAGCTGACAGGTGTAGAGTTGAAGTAGTTGCTTGGAAGGTGTGATATGCACGAAGAAGAGAGAAGCATATACTAAAGTACAAATTTGCAGTTGGCTTTTCTTTGTCTAGATCAAATCAACAGGACAAGTTGGTGAACATATTGAAGACCTATGAAGTATTTGAGTTGTGCAGACGTGGATGCTTGTATTGGGTTACATAAATACATGAACATGCAAGAATTTGCTTTGATCGCCTTTATATCAACTTGTATAAACCGAGATTTTCGTAAGCCAATGCAATTTGCTTGATGAGGTGGCACAGCAATATGGTAGCAAACAAATGTGTCTGCAGATGGACACATGATGAACTGGATGGATATATGTACACACTGGTGCTGCCATTCTCCTCTGTAAATTCTATACATATATAACCCTGCATGCGACACAATTTGTCTTCAAGGTTTAGTCCCTTAAGTATAGTGATGGATATATTTGTTGAACATGTCATTTCCCAAGATTTTGATTAAGAGGAAATATTTGTTATTACATACATTAAAGCAAAGGATAGATTTTCTTTTGTATTTCCTGCTATATAAGAAAATATATTTTTTCACGTATCCTTATCTACCAGTTCCATTGTGACCGCCCCCTGCTGATATGTAACACTATGGACTCAGTTTTGCTGCTTCTAGTAAAGCTCTTTGTTTTTTTCTTCCTTGGTTTTTTGTGATACTCTTGTCTACATGGCATCCTCCTGAAATTTTTTGTTTGGTGAAGGCATCCTTCTAATTGCTTCAGTTAATAGATATGTTTTTGAATCCTGTGCAAATTTTAGGACTTCTCTACTATAAGAACTACATAGAGCAACATGGCGTCTGATCCAGAGAGATTTATTAAGCCACAATCTATTTATCTTTTTCATGTCAATCTGGTGATGATAATTGGTTCGAAGTTGCTAAATATTTGAATTTCATCTCGAATAAATCATGTTCCGTAGAGACAATTAGTCCAGTAATGAACCAGGGATCTTTTCTCTTGTACTTCCCTCAGTACTACCGTAGCTGCGATGTAATATTTTCGTTGTTCTATATTTGCATTTTTGTGATGAATGGTTCCCACCGACTATGAAGTGGAATGCTAGCTTCTGCGTTGATATACTTTCTACAGTGTGCAGCCATTTTTTTTCAATACATTTGCCTTCTACTGAGTTGCTAGCCTTCATAGCATGTATCCCATTGTTTCTAAGTCTTGGTCCGTATCTTTACATCAGAAATCCTCGCGACAAATTTTAGTTGACTGTCTTTTGTATTTTGATGCAAGTCAAACACTTCCACACAGGCTCCGTTGTTCATCCCTGCAATTGACATTCTGAAGTTCTAACTTTGCTTGATGATAGTGCTGCAATAATTACTTTGGCTGTGATGTCTGACACTTCTAGGGAATTGTACATCTATTGCAGGAATGGTGTTGACACTACTACATACTCTGTACACATTATGAACAGCCACTTTGAGTGGCCCCAAGGGTCTCTGCCTTCATTCCCTGGAAGCATCTGTGGAGTAGTGATCCGAAGAGGAATATGTCGTGAACTTGGGGACAAAACCACGTAAGAAGCTCTCGAGGAGCCTTTTTAAAAGTTGGATTATTGCGGAGACAACCGAAGCATTAGGAAGAAGGTGGACAAGTGTCCGGCAGAAACTATTGCGCTTAGTTCAATTTCATATCACCAGTTCCATTATTATGGTCTAATCGACACAAGCTAATCACGGAAAATGTAGGCATGTCACTCAATATCTTCGCCTTAAGTGCCCGACGTGCTAATAACCATATTTTGTATTGACTGGTTTGATTCACTTAGATTGATTCTTCATGTTAATCAATGTTTTATGAAGAATGACAAGAATGACGCTTGCTGAAGCTATTAGACTCTGATTTTTTGTGGTAACTGCTTCTGCATTGCTAGTCTTTTCATTGTGCAAAGTCTCTGGGGACTACACCGTGTATAAGTTTACAAGATGAAGAACAGGAGTTGATTAAGTTGAGCAGAGACCAAGTCACTGGAGCGTACCGCATCACATCCATGATGAGGCTACAAACAGCAAGCTAAACCGAATGACTAAGATTGTTTGTTTTTTTTAACCATCGGTCGAATTTGAATGGTGAAAGTGAATATCCAGGAACTTTTATGTTGCTCCAAGGTAAAAAACGAAGCGAATCCACGGAATACGCTGTTTCCCATGCGTGCTTTTTGGCCAAGGAAAAGAAAACGCTGCATGCTCGAAATATCTCGCATCTTTTATTGATAATCGAACATTCGTTTGCCTTTGATATAGAGCATAAGGACCACTATTATTGGGTACCATGGTCTGATTCGAGACATGATCGGCCAAATTGCATCAACACGAGGCTTAGCTGTTCTTGGTCGTTGAGGGATCCTGATTTGGAGCTAACCAACAAGCCGCTACGGAACGCAATTAGTTTCCACTTTTGGATGAGAAAGCCCACCCACTCCCTCTCTCGCTCAGCTCGCTCATTCAACAGTCAACACATCCAAATCGAAGCTTGCAAAAGCGTGCGTCAATCCCCGCGTGATCATGTCGGGCCCGATCTTTCTCTTGTTTGGCCATTTGGACGACGACCCATGTGAGAATCCACGTGCATATTTCCAAAAATAGGGTGATTCGATGGAATTTCATTGGCACGAGGGTCAGGATCTCGTGTCAATTTGGGAACACATCCTTTGGTTGTAGATCTCATCGATTGCTTTGGTCTCGCGTTAGATTTCTCAATCACATTACCGGTACATGTCGGTCACGTGCGAATCGACGGGGGTTCGAGGTTTCTAGCGTTGCTAGAAAGAGCGGTCGCAGTCATAGCACCTACGAGAAGAGAAAGGGAGAAGGGAAAGCAGAGGGGAGGGGTCTTATCAATATGCATGGCAATGTAAAATGAGAGAAACGCCGATAGTTTTTGCTGAACGAACTGCAAAATCTCCCTCTCAGAAGGTGATGTGATTCTGAAGATAATGAGCGGGAGTTTTCTCGGTTCTCTTGAAATGTGGAAGAATGTGATAAGATGCACAAAAGTTGTACTGCTAGATGTATGAAATTTTTAGTTTACTCAGCCTCCATTTGTTTTGCGGAAAACATATTCCTCATTTTCCAGCTATTGGATTGCTTAAGAAAATGAGTCAACGCTGAAAAATGTTCGGGAAATGTTTTGTGCAAAACAAACGGAGCTATAGTCTTCTTCCTTGATTTGCATCTGGCCGACACATCCATTGCTACCATAGCCAATGTCGATTTCTCTTCGACCATGCTTAACTTCATTTGTGACGGAGTCCAATCACTGGAGCCATGCTCGACTCCATCTCACTCTGTCTATATCTCTCTCGCTTTTGGATCAACCTCCATTGGAGATTACGGTCGGAATACGTGCGACCCCAACCTAGCATGGTGGTGCCGATGCTGTATGGTCCTTGGCGATGATGGTGGTGGTGGTGTCATTTGTGGTGATAGCAGTGGCAACTCAATCTGTAGTGGTGGGTAGCAGCAACGCTCAATCCACGGTGGCGGATGGTAGGTCGTGTAGCTGCAAAATTTTTTTTAGAAAAATAAGAATTATGGTTTGTGTGATGAAGAAGATGCATGACACGGCTGCTTCTTGACCGTTCATTGCGAGTTGGGTAACTTATCATCATCTTAAGAAGACATGCAAGTGCTATGGACCGTGATTCTCCCGTAGTCTCATACCTTTGTGAGTGAGGCTTGGTTGCGTCGGGATAAAAAGTGAGTGATGCAGAATGGATGATATAACTAGTTCGTGAGAATGGCATTAGGCTGGTTTGTACTAGGAGTTCTAGGTTAGAATGGATATATCCTTAGGAGCTTTGAAATGGAGTTAGCCTCCTGTGCGCAAACTGGTCGGGAGCTAATACTGCTCTCCTAATGAAGCCAAAGCAAGCCGAAACCAATTGTTATTTTAAAGTGTTCCGAGTATCTTGTTTCATAGATTGGTTGCCAAAGCTAAGCTGGACGTGATACGATCTGATATGAGGATGTGATTCGCTGTACTGTTCTTAGGAACACTATAGAAGGAAGGCTAGTCTGGTGTTCTCGGCTCACCAAGTGCCACGCGGGCTAGTCCAAAGTGTATAATTAATGGCCACCTGATGGCAAAGTGGTCCGTGCCATCTAATACCGTCAATTATTCTTAAGGGAAGTACCAAATTGAGCCGTTTTTAAAGAGTTCACATACTTAATTGAAAAGAAAAATAGTTTAGGTACTACAAAGATCTCACACATGCCACCAAGTATTCAAATTTAGGATTGCAAAGAGGAAGTCATTCCGCACAAGCAGCAGCCCGTCGGTTTGAGGTACGCGCGCCCAGTCATCGTAACCCATCAAGAGATATCATAGGCTTCAAGCTATTCCAAAAAAAGCGGGATACATGCATTGTCATTGCGAACGGATTCGAATTCATGACCTCGTGCCGGCGGGCAGCCACCACAAGCGGTGGCAATTGCTGGCTGCAGCTCTTGCGAGCAAACCCATGTGAAGATAACTCGGGCTGGGTCAAAAGACAGTCCATGATGCTCGGAATTGGGCCCGGAGCTGACCCCGAGCACAAGCCTTCTTCAATTCACCAGTGGTTAAAGATCCCAAAGGGCCATTTTGTTCTCTCTGTCTGGCCAGCAGAAGTATGCCCAAGCCCCACTGAAACGATGAGCTCGCTAGTCTCTTGGCAAACGTATCGGACCCGTCAAGGTCATAACACAGCTCAAGACATACCAAGAAACGGAAGAATCCGTTTATTTGATGAAAAATGAATAATTCAAAAAATATATTTCTAAAAATTATCACTTATGTTGTTTGCGAATGCTTTTTGAAATAGTTTATGTCTAAACATTTTCCGTGAACGACGAAAAATGCTTTTCAAAATCATTCATGTTTTTTACATAACAAATTGAATCGGGACGCCCCAATCCATTTAACATGTTTGACATCGGACACCAGATTTCATCTAACGCTCGAGTTTCCGGCCATGCCTCATTTCGATGGTCAATTCCAGTTTGTCGTACCAAACACGTGGCGCCTCCTCATTGGCCCCGACCATCTACCGCCATCCGTGCGGCTGGAGTGTCGTTGGAAGATTTGCCACAACGGCTCTTCAAACCTTCTCCCCCTCCGTTTTACACTCGTTCGCAGCCTTACCGTACCCACCCTTCTCTCTATCTCGCATTCGCAAGTCAACCTCTCTCTCTCTCTCTCTCCATCGTCATCATCACATCCACTCAACTCGCCGCCCACCCTTTTGGGATTCCTTCACGTCGCCGTCGTCGATGGGTACCGAGATATCGGAGCCGTTGCTTCTCGATTCGGGCAAGGGCGCGGATGGCGGCGGCGGCGGCGGCGACGGGGAGGAGAGGATCCCGGATTGGAAGGACCAGATCACGGTCCGAGGGCTCGTGGTGAGCGCCGTGCTGGGGACCTTGTTCTGCATCATCACCCACAAGCTCAACCTGACCGTCGGCATCATACCGTCCCTGAACGTCGCCGCCGGGCTGCTCGGGTTCTTCTTCGTCAAGTCATGGACGGGGTTCCTGTCGCGGCTGGGCTTCTCGGTCACGCCCTTCACTCGGCAGGAGAATACGGTGATCCAGACCTGCGTGGTCGCGTGCTACGGGCTGGCTTTCAGCGGTCAGTTTTTTCTTTCTTCTCTTCCTTTGCGGCGCCGAGATGAATGGCTAAAGAACTCAATGTAGATCGGATTAGTTGTTTTCTTATGCTGATTGCGTTTTGAGCTCTGTTGTTGTTGTTGTTGTTGTTGTTAGGCTGAGCTGCATTAAGCAATCAGATGGTTGCTCAAAAAGCTTTGTTTCACTGTTGTAGTGGAATTGCCTTGCGTTTCTGTCCTTTCAGTTGTGGTTGCTACTATCGTTGGCAATATCTTTTAGAGTGCTAATGGAATTAGAGTAAATGGAAAATTTAGTTTCCTTATAACCAAAAGGAAAATTTTGTTTCCTGCTTAGAATAGTAACAAAGAGGCACCATCATCTGTTGATAGATTGAGATGGATGGCATCGGGTTTGCATCGTTGATTGTTGTCATGATTCTGATGTATGGTTAGGTCATCGAGGAGATACATATGCTTAACTGGTCCGATCAACTTCCCATTCGAACTTTTTCTTAGCATTTTTTTTCCCACATAAATTTTGATGATCGTTTCATTATTTTTATGGGATTAACTTCTTGTTTGATTATTGTCAGGTGGATTTGGTTCATATTTGATTGCATTGGATGAAAAGACATATCAGCTCATTGGTGCTGATTATCCCGGTAATCGGGCAGAAGATGTTAAGAGCCCGGGCTTGGGATGGATGATCGGATTCTTGTTTGTTGTCAGCTTTTTGGGACTCTTTAGCCTTGTTCCTCTTCGAAAGGTTGGTGACGGTAGATACAACTTATCTATACTTAATGTGGAACAGTTTATGAACGTGCATACTTGATTTGTAGGTTTACAATGTTAAAATCTGAATTTTTCAGATGTAAATCTATATTTGCGAGTATCACGGCCCGCACCGCATGTCATTTTGTCCTAATCCTCTCTTTTCTCTGTTCGATTATCACAGGTTATGGTTATGGATTGTAAACTTACTTATCCAAGTGGTACTGCAACAGCTATGCTAATAAACAGCTTTCACACAAACAGCGGTGCTGAACTTGCTGGGTAAGCAAGGCTGAGGGAAACCGTATGCTCTGTACTGCTATAATTTCTGCTTGAAAGGAGCTTCAGGCTTGCAGCTATGAATTTTAGATGATTGGGATAAATGATGGAACTGGAAAACATTTCCCATCTGTAGTCTGCATTCGCTAGATTTAGTCTTAGAGTGTTAAAAGGTTCCTTATACGAACTGTTAAAAAATTACTAATCAGGAAAACAGTGTTAGCAGCTAATGTAACTTTAGTCTGTAGACTCTCTTTCTTCACTCTGCATATCTCTCTGAACTAGTTGTGAGTTATTTGATTTTCTGCTGTGTTGATTTCCCAGCAAGCAAGTTAGTTGCCTCGGAAAATACTTGAGCATAAGCCTATCGTGGAGCTGCTTCAAGTGGTTCTTCAGTGGTATTGGCGATTCATGTGGATTTGATAATTTCCCCAGCCTTGGCTTGACTCTGTTTAAGAACACGTAGCTCTCTCTCTCTCTCTCTCTTTCTCAAACATTCATGCTTGCCTGCCGCTCAGTGTCGACTTTGGTTTTTTTACTTCCTGTACTCACCAAGGAGTTTGTGCTGATCATGCATCACGCTCTTCATGCAGGTTCTATTTTGACTTTAGCCCAACTTATGTTGGATGTGGTTTAATCTGTCCCCACATAGTTAACTGCTCTGTTCTACTTGGGGCAATTATATCGTGGGGTTTCCTCTGGCCTTTCATTTCAGAACACGCTGGGGATTGGTATCCGGCTGATCTCGGCAGCAATGACTTCAAAGGTCTCTATGGATATAAGGTATTGCGCAAGAACATACGCGTAAATTACTAGCTTGGATCCATCTGTACTATTAGATAAGCACCAAGCGCAAGTTTTGTTGCTAATGTGTTTGCTTGCAAAATGTTGTCTTGTGTGATGAAGATGAGTAGGAGATGGCACGTTCTTTGTGAAATTTTCTCGCTGTTTACTCACTTTGGACCAACTCTCCTCTCTGTTTCCTTTCTGTTTCAGGTTTTCATAGCTATTTCGCTTATTCTCGGGGACGGTCTCTACAATTTGATCAAGATAATAGGGATAACTGTTAGAGAGGTGTTCAACCAAGGCAGCAAGATTAGCAACCTGCCGATCATCATGGAGTCTCTTGGTAAGGACATCAATTGTGTTACTTTTCTCTAATTGAAGCCAGAGGATGAAAAATTATCCTACTTATTGTCATTTCATGATGAAACGGCTTTCTCATCTACTGATGATTGCGTAGATAACTCAAATGCATCTGAAACCTATTTGTGAGCTAAAAGGTTTATTAGAGTGGTAAAAGATGCTAAGAAATTCTTTCTATGATTAATGTGGCCAATCCATTGCATATTCTAGCGAGCACCCTGTATCAGACTTACTGCTTCTTCGAGTCACCATTGATGTTTAATCTGATTGCTGAATTGATCTTTAGATCAGGTTATCTAATCACAACCGACTAAAAAAGAACATATATCTCGAGCTTCAACTATTGACTCTGGGTTCCTGCTCAGGACGGTAGTACGCTCTGAATGTTTGTGTTATCTTCTTCTGGTTTTTTTAAACATCTTTCGTTCCCTTATCTCAAAAATGAGCATTCATTCTTTAGTTGTAATGTAAAATAAACGCATCTTCTCTACCAGTGCGAGAATCATTTCATTTCACTTTTATTTAGTGCCTGTGGAAGAACATTGTCCTTGAACATCTATCCATAGGCTCTCCTTTTTCCCCTTAGATAGCCCTTGTCAGGTGTTTGATTCTTGTGAATTATACAGATGGTGAGAGTTCCAAGATAGGGATGGAGCAAAGGAAAAGAGATCAGATATTTTTGAAAGACCGAATACCCTCCTGGTTTGCAGCATCTGGTTATTTGGGCCTTGCCGCAATATCCACCGCGACAATTCCAATGATTTTTCCACCTCTCCGATGGTATTTGGTTCTAAGTTCATACATTATTGCTCCTGCACTTGCCTTTTGCAATTCTTATGGTACTGGCCTGACGGACTGGAACTTGACCTCAACTTATGGGAAGATTGGACTCTTCATGATTGCGTCTTTGGTTGGGTCTAATGGGGGTGTGGTAGCTGGTTTAGCAGCATGTGGGGTTATGATGTCCATTGTCTCAACAGCCGCTGATCTTATGCAAGATTTTAAGACAGGTTACCTAACTTTATCATCTGCAAAATCCATGTTTGTGAGTCAGCTGGTAGGAACAGTCATGGGTTGTATCATCGCCCCGCTCACATTTTGGTTGTTTTGGACCGCTTTTGATATTGGGGGAACTGATGGACCATACAAAGCACCATATGCCGTAATATTCAGGGAAATGGCAATCTTGGGCATCGAGGGCTTCTCCGAGCTTCCCAAGAACTGTTCCGCCATGTGTTTAGGGTTTTTCGTGGCAGCTCTGGTTATAAACCTCCTGAGGGACATGACTCCAAAGAAGGTCTCGCAGTTCATCCCCATTCCAATGGCCATGGCTGTCCCATTCTACATTGGAGCCTACTTTGCAATCGACATGTTTGTTGGCACCGTAATATTGTTCATCTGGGAGAGAATTAATAGGAAGGATGCAGAGGATTATGCGGGTGCTGTCGCTTCAGGTCTAATATGCGGTGACGGTATATGGACTATTCCCTCGGCAATACTTTCTATCTTTAGGATCAACCCACCTATCTGCATGTACTTCGGGCCTTCCGCGAGTGGCTGAATGCTAAATCCCACTCACCTTGATTGTAATTATGCTCTCTGTGGACTTGCAAGTCCGTTGGAATTTGTACATAGGATGTCCTTCACATGATTGGATTGTTCTATTCCTTTATCTCGAAAGCGTCAAAAGAAAAATCTGAAGTTTGTTTCTCCAATCGGATGGATTGGTGTGTGCGTGCACATGCAGACCCCTGCATCGGTCTCACTTGGGTCACCATGATGAGCGGATGTCGCGGCAGTACTTTCTTTTATCCCCTTCTAATTGCTCAGCCTCGCTCGTTTTGCTTCTTAATAAACCACATCAATTCACCCTGGCTGTATTACTTTGCAGTGCAACTTCACTCTTTTAGCTGGAAAAGTTATGCAGAGAAACTTTCTTTCCACGGCAGGTTTTTCCTCAATTAGAGTGAATGTATTAGTTTGGTAGGTGTGCAGGAAGATTGGACCCAAGACGACTTTGAGCTTTATAGGTAAAACGCAGGACGAGCTTGTAGAAATGAACCACTCTTTCCAAAATTGGGGAGACCCGTCAACTTATTATTATGCAGGCGCTTTTCTCACATCCTGGTTAGGTCTACTTTTTCTCGCCAACGCGGTGTCAATTGTCCCAACTAACTGGAGGCAGTAGACGTCCAGCGGCTGAGCTAGATCTCGCCATATAAGCCTCATTCCCTCGAAAAAGGGAGAATTGCGTATTGCCTTCTGGCCCGGGTGGGTTCGATTTTGATCGACTTCAATCAGGTCGGGCTTTTTAACGTAAAAGGGGAAGAAAAGACAACTATCCCAGACCCACTGTTTCGCACTTTGGATCTCGGTGGAGCCCGGGCGAGCGGCCAAGTCCTCGATCAAGTACACTAACTACTGCACCAAAGGAAAACAGTTTAAACGCCAAACGAGCGCGATCTCTAACATTACTGGTTGGGGAAAAGCTTCGACCAATAGCGCCAGCATCCGCTGGTTTTCTGCTTTCCAAAGCAAAGGTGATGGCTTTTTTTCCTGCCACTTTCAAATCATGTCCTCTTATTTTATGTGCTTGAATGATACTGCTCAATTGATTAAGCAGTTGGGCTTCCTAATTTACATATCTTTCCTGGCAAGTGTCCGTGATGGGATCGGACCCACTAGCTAAACCATCAATTACTGCTGCCAAAATGAAAACTTTATTGGGGATATAAAAACCATGATGAGCCTGATCTTACCATGCTTTCGTGGCGATAGGATAGAATCGACGGATGGAAAGAAACATGATAACATACTTCTTTTATAGGAACAAGTCAAAAGCATTAATGTGAAGCCAGTTATGAATTCGAAATCTAAGCTTATCACCCCTACCAAGAAATGCTTCTTCAGCGAATCGACTTTCCGGATTCAATAAGCAATCTAAGGAAAGCATTTGGCTATTAGACTTGGCTAAATCGAAGATAGATTAGCCATAAGTGGATAACATGTTTAAGGCGGGACTCCATGTTTTTTTCCATTGGCAGAAAGATGTGAAACTTCAGGGGCCACGGAAGTTGGCTATCATTGTTCCTAGTTTTTTCAAGGACTGACACTTTCAACCTACCATAGAAATTTGATTCTGTTGGTGAAAAAGAAATCCCCTTTTCCTCAACTTTCAATCTGATTCCACTGCAAACCCCGCAAAATTCTTGCAGATGAGGCACGTGGCGGAAGGTTTGTGCCCTCACAGTAGATATGTTTTGGGACCACTCTGTACCCAATTGGAATCTATGCTTCCCAGAACTGTCAAGCCCTCTTGAATCTCAAAAATCCCACCTCAGAAGGCTATCTATCAGTAGCAGTCGATGTGCTGCAATAATAGTTGACAGTAATTGATTAATCAGTCAAAAACTCATTAATTTCGTATATTATGTACTTTAAAAATGTAAAGAAAGTAATTTTTGCTGTTACGTTGATTGGGATTTCTATGTGTATTGTTTCATTTCCAATAACATAATAGAGATAGGGATCATTGACCAAACCAAAGCTCTTCAAGTGGAAAGTGAAAAGAAAGAGATAGGACTTGTTTGGATGGTGACATGAGAGGAGAATGGGTGAGGTCCATTCCTCTTATCAAGAGGCAAACAAAGAGGGACCATTCAGTTAGAGATTCTTTCTCTTGTGGCTTCTTTTATGGCAGCTCAGCAATTGACAAGGGTGTGGTTGGCTCCCCCCTATTTAATGTGGCGCAACCACTTCCTCCTTTGCCAATTTCGCTTATATTCTCCACATTGCCTTCATGACAAAAGAAAATGCGTTTGGAAACGACATTTGATTTTCGTGATATTCAAGGAATCGATTTTCGTGATAGTCAAGGAATCGGTCGAGTTGATAAAACGAGCAGAATTTCACTTTCTCAAAGAAGTGCGAGTTTCCAATCTCGGCTAAAGAAACTTGTTAGAAAGTCTAGCCTAAATTTTTTTCTTGGCCATGTGGACACACGGGAGAAACTTCAAACCAAAAGCTCGAGCTAATAGGTGAAGAGGATGCCGCGTGCATATAAAGAACGTACGACACTCGTTGTCAAGCGACGCGGGATACTTCAACAAAAGCGAGCACTTTGTGAACCTTCCGATCCCAAACGCGAATGGCCCGCTTTCAACTGATATACGACAGAACCCTGCAGCTGAGAATTGTTCCCAGAAGAAGAATTTGAAGTTTTTCCTTTGTTTAGGCCAGGATAGAAACGTCGATTTTCTTGGGAGAAGAACAGGCAATTTGTATGGCATGCTTTGGATACAGCTTGCTTTCGGTGGAATTTCCACATATGGGATATGAAGCCAACTAAAAATGCGCCGAGATTGGTGAAAACCACCCCGTAAAGATCAACTAAAACGGTCATCATCGTATGCGAAAAGGCAAACCGAAGGGGGCTCGAGTCCGCCATTTGCACCGCGATTGAGCTTTGGCTGCGTTAGGCTGATTGATACAGGGTTTCCATTACCAGAAAGACTGAACGACCATTTCTTCTGCGTTAGATATGTCGACGGGATCGCGACTATATAACAAGTTGACGATGTCATGGATAATAATGTGACTCATCTATTAATATGCTGAATAATAATGGGGTTGATGGAAAAATACCGGGCAGATTTAATTTTATGAGCAATGTGGTGTGTTGAGCCAATCAAAATTCAGAAATCATTTAAGGATCTGTGCTTGTAAATGTGATCGGCACGATCTATTGGACCGAACTGAGTAGAAAGCACCAGTTGGGCTAGTTCTCATTGAAGGGAAGACCCTCAAGTCCACTTTGCTTACCTATTTCGGTGCAACTATTTCGAGAAAATTTTCCACAAAGTTCTAAACCAATTGCACTTTTTCCAATTCAGTCTTAAATATTTTTCACTATTTGCCAATTGAGTCTAGCTGGCCAATTTTAGTCGGTAATCACTGAGGGGGATGCCAGCCATCCTACGTGGCACGGCCGGTGCTGACATGGATAATTTTTAATATTTTTTCGAATTTTTTAATATTTTAAATATTTACTTCTTTTTCTTATCTTTTTCTTTCTTTCTTTCTTTTTCTTTTTTTTTTTCCAAGTCCGGCGGGGGTTGCCAGTCCTCGCCTATGGTCGATGAGGGTTAGCCGGCAACCCTTGCCGGACTTGAAGAAGAAAAAGAAAAAGAAATAATAATAATTCGAAAATTTTTTTATTAAAAATTGTCAATGTCAGTACCGGTTGTGGTACATGGCTCTACCGCATCGACATCAGTTATTTCCGGTTAAAATTAGCCGGATGGACTTAATTAGCAAAACGTAAAAATGTTTTGGACTGAATTGGCAAAAGTGCAATATATTTATGACTTTTTGAACAATTTTTCCCTAATAATTCTCACTTCAATGAGCAGTCCACTTGATCGGAAATTTCCTGCCTAAAAGTAGAGATACAGTCAAGTCGACTTGAGCCGATACACTACTAGGCTCAAGCGCTGGACTCGACTCGAATCACGCACTCGGCAACAGAAATCCAGCTCGACCTCGACTCCAAAGGCAATCCAGAAAAGCAAAGCTCGACTCGACTGGGCTCTATATATGCATCGGAGGACAATATATGGTTTGCAGATATTCAATGTTTAGCTTTGTGACTGCTCAATCTCTCAAAATATTCAAGTACTCGTGAAAGCTCGCAAGCTTATTGATTCGAGTAATAGCAAGCTCTTTAGCCAAAAAAAAAAAAGGAATAGCAAGCTCAGTTCAGCCAACTTCCTTTATCTACAAGTGGTTAAAAGATGTCATTATGCTCTTTCTTATGTTTGGAATTTCCTAATCTCCACAAGGTCTAAGAAGTTACATGAGTGGGTACATTTGGCAAAACCAACTTCTTGGAGTTCTGTTGGTTGAAAGGGAAATCTTTGAAATTTAAGCCATATCTCACGGCACTGATGGGAAGTTAACTAAAACCGATGCTGCCTTGATTGAAGCTGGTTTCCATGGTGCTCCCCTCCATTTCCCCATTAACCTCACCGAAGGCTTATCACACACCACTCACACCTTTTTGAAATAAAGAAAAAGAGGAGGTGGCGTAGAGAGAGGCTCGTGATCATGACCAAACATGCATGCAAGAATTTCAATCTTATCTCTCTCCCTCTCTCTCTCTAGAAAATGATGATTGATGACCCTCAAGGAGAAGGAACAAAAAACAAAACCCTAATATGAAAGCAATGATCTTTTCCCCATTCCAAATCTTTGAAAAAAACTGAGGGTGCTTGTTGTGTGTTGATGTGTATTTCAACGGCTAGCTTTCAAGAAAGAGGGGGGGGCCTCCCTTTGTCCCCACGATGGGAAGCACCGGTGACCCCCGGTTCAATCGCGTACACACACATAACCCTAATCCCCAATCCCCATCATCATCCGCAGCAGCAGCATCATCATCAGCATCATCAACGTAACCCCATCGAATTGGTCCTCTCAACATCAAAGCTAAAGCGCCAAGAAAGAAAGAAGATAGGGGAAAAAAAAAAGGAAGGGAAAGAGCCAATCATTCCGCCCCTTGTGTGATTCATTCCCAATTCTAAAGTCGTTGCTTCTGGCTCAAGTTGAGAGACTAATGATGAAAGATAAAAGCAGATAAGTTTTAATAATTTGGAGGGAGGTAGTGGAATGGGGTTTGCATTATGGTGACAGAACAATTCATGCAGTTCTTTTTTTCATACTCGCCTCCATTTTCTCACACTCGTTGATTTTTCGTTCGTACCCGCAATTGGTTTTCAAGTAGCTAGCATGTAGAAAAGGTAGGAAAATTACCAAAAAAAAAAATCTTAAACCTATTGTATTCGTACCAATTCAATTCTAAACATTTTAATTGTGTCAATTAAGTCATAAATATTATTAACGTTTTTTCAATTGAGTATATCCATTCGAAATTTGTCGGAAATCACTAACACGAACGCCGGCCGTCTTACGTGGCATGGCTAGTGCTAACATGAACAATTTTTGCAATTATTTTAATTGACAAATCGAGTTGGTCTAAGAAATCCAGGGTTTTCACGCCCCTTTTACGAGAACACTAGTTTTCGCAAAGATGCTTTAATTCGACCCGTTTCCACTCCCTTTACATTCAACTCGTGGCTCCTATAATAGTAAATAAAAAGGGCTCTGATGAGTCATTCAAACATGGCATCCTTTGCGATTTTGAATTCCGAAGTGACTTTAGACTAATTACACCTCCAACCGGTCATGCCTCGTCATCATCATCAGACTTGACTCTCGAATTCATCTTCGTAGCCACGGAATACGAGCCCCCGACCAAAAGGGTTCATCCCCAGTTACGCCACAAGAAGCGACGAATACGTGCAAGCAGTTGTATCAATACGTGCCAATACACCAGCTCAATTTTCTCTTTCTTTTTCCTCTTCGTGAGTCATCGAAGGAAGGAAAAACAAACACAAAATTCCTTGGCCGCAAAAAGCGACGGATCCCGGATATACGCAATTCGGAGGCTCTCGAGTCAAAAGAAATTGGAAAGAAAGAAGAAATTTATATATATATATATATATGAACTTCCAAATACTTATCCCCCAAACCCCATCATTAATCAATATAATGGCTAGTCAAATTATGGAATATGAAGCTAATAAACCAAAAGAAGATAAACGCACGAATATTAAACAGGACGGTTTTTCGAGCGAGGGATCAAAGAAAGGGAGGGGGCGTTACCTTTACCGTCTGCCTTGATGAGACGGCGGGCATCTTTGTCCATTGGTGTAGTAAAATTCGAGGAGGCCTCGTGTCCTTTTCTCCAGCTGTTCATCTGCTCCCGACTTTAATAAAATAAAAACTCAAGGAATCTCTCTCTCTCTCTCTCTCTCTCTCTGAGATATTCATCTGCGCAGGCAAAGTCCATATAGATCCCACACGCAGAACCCCACGGAGATCTTGGAGGATGGAACTTCGTGGGGGTTGGCCCATGAAACTCCCTCCCTGCCTCCCTCCCTCGCTCCCCAAGTGTCGAGGCCCAATGGGGCCTACCGAGATAAACAAAAGTGAAACGAGTTAAAGCTTCCCTTTTTAATGTTCCAAGAAGAACCCCCCCAAAAAAAGGGGAAAAAAAAAATTAGAGCAAAGCAGCAGCAGCAACAACGCACTCTGTGTCTGGTCTGGTCTGGTCTGGTCTGGTTTGGTCTTGGTCTTGGTCTGGTCCATCCCGTCTCCCGTGGGGTTTCATTTCATTCCGTTCCGATCCCCATAGCATTAATTATCATCACGAGCGCATCCATCCCTTGAGCATGTCTCCCTCTCTATCTCTCTCTCTCTCTATATCTATATCTGTCTGCGAGAATGATGGGCCTGGAGTGGGCTAGAAGTAACCCCACCACCCACCCGACACGCGTCGCCGCGGCAGCCCCCCACCTCGGAAGTCGATTCGTGCGTTTTTTTTTTTTTGGGACACGGTCATTGCAGTAATCGGATGCGGTCGGGAGGAGGAGGAGGAGGGAGGGAGGTGAAGGGCGGGGGTTTGTCGTGCGTTTCGGGAACGTGGGAAGGAACGAGGGGGGAGCTTTTACTGCGGTGTCTCCGTGAGGAGAAAACTCAGGCGCGTGCTCCCTCTCTCTCTATTCGGCGGTTGAAGTGGGTCGTGCGTTTCGCTTTCGGACCGGTCAAAAAACCTGTCCACAGTGAAAAGGAGGGAAAGGGCTACACGGTGAAAAAAACGAAAGAAAGGATAACGCAACGCAAGTCTCAAGATACGCTCTGTCTTAACAAGAGTAGAAATCGGGACGAAAACACAACGCAAAAGCTCAAACCCAAACCCCCCCCGAGTAAAAAAAGCTTTTAAAAGAAAAGTATTCGTCTTTTTTTCCTCTTCTTTTTCTTTTTTTTTTTTTTAATTTTTTCGCCCGATTAAATTTCAATTTCTCGGGTCCGTCTGTCGTGGAGACATTGCCAAAAACAGTGAAAGCTCATGAAAGTCTAAAAAAATTGTCCTTTGTCTTTTTTTTTTTTGGTCGTGCCGCTGTCATTCTTTTTCCTTCTGTTTTTTTTTTTGCCCCTTCAATTCGGAACGGCGAGAGGAACGCGCACACACCCTCGTCTCCTCTTTTGGCCCTGTTCATGGATCCCAAGGGCTCAAAGCATCACCATCATCATCAGCAGCAGCAGCAGCAGCTGGAACATCAGGAGCAGCAATTGCCCAGTTTCTTGAGCCTACCTCAGTCCCACCACCACCACCACCACCACCACCACCAGCAACAGCAACAGCAACAACCGCAGCAGCAGCAGCAAAGAACGCATCAGAACATGGGAGAGAACAAACCGGCGGAGATCAAGGACTTCCAGATTGTGATTGCGGACAAAGACAGCGAGCAGAAGAAGCAATTAGCCCCCAAGCGGAGCTCCAACAAGGACCGCCACACCAAGGTGGAGGGCAGGGGCCGGAGAATCCGAATGCCCGCCCTCTGCGCCGCCCGGATTTTCCAATTGACCCGGGAGCTGGGCCACAAGTCCGACGGGGAGACCATCCAGTGGCTCCTCCAGCAGGCCGAGCCCTCCATCATCGCCGCCACGGGGACCGGCACCATCCCGGCCTCCGCCCTCGCCGGCGCCGCCGGCTCCGTCTCGCAGCAGGGCGCTTCCATATCGGCCGGACTGCACCAGAAGCTGGACGACCTGGGCGGGCCGAGCGTCGGGCCGGGCGGCAGGCACGGCTGGGCAATGGCCGGCGGGGGCGGGAATTTGGGAAGGCCCCATCACGTCGCCGCGGGTATCTGGCCCGGGGTCGGCGGGTTCGGGTTCGGATCGGCGTCGACGTCTGCAGCCGCTGCCGCTGCCGCCGCGAATTTGGGGGGCGAGGGGCCGAATTACTTGCCGAAGATCGGGTTCCCAGGGTTCGACATGGCGGGCGCGAACATGGGTCCCATGAGTTTCAGCTCAATTTTGAGCGGGAGTATGAGCAATCAGCAGTTGCCTGGATTGGAGCTCGGGTTGTCAGCTCAAGAGGGTCATATTGGGGTGTTGAACCCGCAGACTCTGAGTCAGATTTATCAACAGATGGGTCAGCAAGCTAGGTCACAACAGCAGCAGCAGCAGCAGCAGCATCAAGAACATCAACACCAGCAGCAGCAATCAGCTGCTAAGGATGATTCTCAAGGGTCAGGAGGACAGTAGTGGATTTTTTCTCTCTTAAAAATGGTTATCAAAATCCGAGATATGAGGAGGAATTTAGGGGAGTTTTTTTGGGGAAGATGTGTGTTTTTCTGGGTCGTAATGGCGTTTCTTCTATGTTGTACCTAGTGAGTTCATATTTTTGGAGATGGAACACATTTTTCTTTCCCGAAGGAACCGGATTTAGTCTGCTTCCTCCAAAAATGTCTTCCAATTTCATGGCTTTGAGTCTCCATATACAGGTAAATGGAAGGATCTTTGGCATTTGATCCTTTTTGCATTGATTGGACAAACATATTTTATTGATCATTCATGTGGTTCTTGGTTTTGTGTTGTCCCTTTTTGCAGATGAGAGGTTGCACAAGCAAATAGCTTGGGTTTGAGCTTTGAGGTTTTCTTCTTACTTATTTCAGAGGTGTGTTGATAGTGTAGAGATCCATCTTTAGTCATTGATTCTGTGTAGGCCTCAGTGGAGTGGCGATCTGCTCGTTTGTGAAATCAGAGTGATTCATAATCATATATGCCAAATTTCTTTCACATCTCTGCTATTCATGGACTTCGATTGCACGTTGAATGATCGCTTCGATAGTTATTATCATCTGGCTTTCCAATGCGTATCGCTCTTCACTTGTAATTGGTAGCTGTTTTCGTTTGCTATGTCATATCTCTACCTCATATTTTGGCATCTTTTTGCTTGTTGTCAAAGTGGCGATATTAAAGATATTACTCTGGTGGGTTATGGACACCCGTATCATGGTTTTCATCTACTTTTTAAGTAAACCTCTGCATCAATCAAATATGTTCTCTGGTGAATTATGTTTTCTTGAGCCCGAAATCGAAGACTAAGCGTAGTTAGAATTCGTGTAGTTGCTATGTTCTTTCATGTCAGCATTTTGTTTGTAATCTAGCTCTAAGGTATGAAAAAGCTTGAAGCAAATATTTTCGTGGGAGAAACCTAAGCGTGGAACCTTTATCCTTCTAAGATATATTTCTAAGGAACAGATTAAGCTTAATGACTTAGTGGTATATTTTTCTGCTGTGCTGGGTCCTGGTTTCCCGAGGTTCCAGGTTCTACCTCATTGGTCCCTTGAAGTTCGATCGACTCAATTGCAAATCGGTACTTCATATTGGAGAGTAAGCCCGAGCCTAAAAGACTTAGATGCAAATAATACCATCACTTACGCCATGATCGCACCTGTTGTTATTTGGACCTACCTTTTTTCTTTGCTTCTTTCTTTTAAGCACAAGGTAAGCAGCATTTCGGTATCAACCTTAGCTAAAGGAACTATTGAATGTTCGGATCGAAAATGCTGTTTAAATCATAGATATGCTTGGTCTATTGATGCCTTTATTTATGCATTACGCAATCGTTTTTCATAGATTTTCCCTCATGTCGAGTTTTGTAGGCACGGATGCATGCTTTTGCCTTGAGTTGCATGAAGAGTTGGTTATGTCGTATGATATAGATTATCGAGTCATGTTACACGACCGATATCATCATTGAATGTTAGTTGATGTCAGAAAAGCATATCTACTGGAATAGAAGTTGTAGTGGTCTCATATACATGGACATTTTAACGATATAATCACTGAAAAGGACCTTAATGGTACAGGATGTTTAAAGCTTTCATTCATTGATCCAGATTCTTGCCTTGTTGTTGATGAATCTGTCATCGAACTTTCTAATGCGGTGTCTCTGTTCACTATCTTACTGCGGTGGAAGTTCTTTCTTTGGGTCCCCTCTCTTTGTGAAGTCAAAAATGATCACCCATTAAGTGTCGTTCGTTGATCAGGGTTCGAATGGCATGGTAAGAACCAAATTATTGGCATCTCTAAGAATTTATTGAATGTGCATTCAATGGAGGATGTTGTTTTGGCATGTCTGATTTGTGGTATTTCCCTTTCCATATGCTAGCAACGAAGCGCAATCCTCTTTAAGCTCGAAACAAGCAGTAGTCGCATATCAGCTTCCGAGACATCCAAACTCCTTTGTTCATGAATTTTAGCTGAGTTTCCATGTTCAAGTTACACATACTTGCAACTTCTGAGGTTTACTGCTCTGCTCGAATTAATGAATCTGGGTGTGCCCGTTGACTTCATGGTCATGGATTTGCTGTTGCTCTTCTGTGCAATCGCCTTCCTCATCGGTATGTACTAAGTACTATGCAGATAGAAATGCTACATGTACTAAATCTTACGGACTCAGTTTGTTCAGTGTATTAATACGACTTGGTGCACTAAAATGATGTGGGAATGCTTGTGGCATTGTTCTTTTTCCTGTCTATGCACATGGTATATGCAGATGCGGTAGTTTTGAGATATTTTAGCATCCGATGAATTGAAAATCATGTTTGACTGTTTATTTCAAACTCACTTTGTAACTGAGCTCACCGTGATTTTAGCTGAATCAACGGACCCACATCGCTGTGTCTCGTACAGACAATCTCAACTCAAGAGTCGTTGTTTACTTCCATTTCAAGATGGTGTCAAGGACATGTTGAATATGGACACTAGCCTTTGACTTATTCTCTCTCTCTCTCTCTCTTTTTATCTCTCTTTTTACGAAGAGATAAGAGGATACGAAGACGCCCAGGAAAGATCTGGAACTGCTACTGTGTTCGGATCAGCGTCTCCTGTTGCAGCGATGAGTCGAAAAGAAAATTTGCATCTCCGAAACATCTGTTAAGATCCATTTTTTATATTTGTTTCATTCTACTTGTTTATCTTCATTCTAGTTTGGAAGATGAGAAAAGGAAAGAAGGAAAAATGAGTCGGTCACACTTAAGATCGACGACTCGTTGATCGTGAAAGTGAAATTATATCGTTGTTGGTCGAACTCGGGAACAATTTTGTTTCAAAAAGGCACGGTGAACCGAAGAGGTTCTCTCGAAACATTTCGAGGAGACGAGACATTTGAAGTTATATTTGAAGAGCTACAGACCAAAGGAAGGTTGAAAGAAGAATGACAAATCCATCTTCAACAGCTGGTTTAATTCATCCCGAGGCTAACTGACATGGCAAGTAATAGAACCCAACAACTGAAAAGCTTTTCAATGTGTATCGAATGTATTGAATGTAGATCTGATTTTGCTTAGGGTTGTGATGGTCTTGATCTATCGGTACAGTTGCAAACCCTAATTCCTCGTGAAAGACAACACCGACGACGTTTTATCGAGTTCAGTTAGTCAAGCTCGGTGCATATATAAAGAATCATCAGAGTTGTTTCCGGATTAGCGACGCGTCTCTTACATCAGGAGTGAAGATAGTGTTCGCACTCCGTCCACACGCTTGAAGCCGCTTAAGTTGGAGCGGCATTCGCGTGAAGCCGACCTCGTGTGAGCCTAGCAATACGCATCCCTCCCCCCCATTCCAGTTGCATTGAGCGCGGTCGATAGTCTTAAACAACTGCGCCTTTCTAGATCAAGCGGACCTCACGCGGGTGAGGGGTTCCGTTACGTTCGAGTTTGCCGACAGGGCTTGCCCCGCGATTCCTTTCGCCGCAAAAAAAGCTTACCGCGCTCAAGGCTCTATGCAAAACTACAAGGCCCAATAAAGGGAACAAAAGACCCGTCTTTCCCTCGGTCCAGTCCAGGCATGGGACTGATCAGAGCAAAGACTAATCAAAGGGAAGGCTTGACAAGCAACCTAATTAGTCAAGGCCTAAGTGGTGCAAACGATGGCCACTTTTCCATTCCCTTATCTCACCCCCCGTGATTGAAGGAATCGAGCCGCCTTTGGACTGTCCGGACCAAGTCAAATGCCTCGCCAGACCGCAATTGAGAACGACGGCGCTCGCAGATTTGACTCGTCCCGAGTCCCACGATGTGTAAAGAAAGAAGACAATTGCGCGGCCCGAGGAATAGAGCATTAATTGAACGGGAGCATGAAATATTTTTATGTCCAAGAAGAGGAGCAGAGTCAGCAGCACTCGGACGTGGACATGTTGCACCGTTTCAGCTTCTTAGACCCCGTAAAACTTTTGCGCCGCTAGGACATTTTGTTTCGCCCGTCGTTTGTCCCTTTGTAAATTAATCGTCCTTTACTTTTGAGAATTTTTCATTTGCACTTAGAAAAATCTCGCTAGAAATTCTTTTATCGTAAAAATTTTTTGCCTAAATCCAAATATGTAGACCTAAACAAGTCTTTCTCATTGATCACGTGGGACTCATGTGCGGGACCTACAACAATCACGACAGAATCCGATCCATGTGGACCCGAGTCCGAGTAAATATTTACTCTCTTATTTAGTGATGTGATGGTTTTTCTATTGATTGTCGATGGGTCCTACTTGTTTCAACACCCACGTCATTTTATAAAAGTTTTATGGAGGTTTCGTAACAATGACAAACCGTCGCCTTTACTTTTAGCAAAAAAAACAAAAAATTAATGCTCATTTACTAATCTTCAATGTTCTTTTTCTTTTTATCAAAATTTTTAATGTCTCTAAAATTTACTATGAATACGTTTCATTTTATAGATGGATGAAATCACATGAGTAACCGACTGATCATTTTATCAGTTGGAATCATAATGAAATGGACACACCCTGAATTAAAAACTGAATTTGGTGGGTCCACACTCTTTGGAATTACATCTTAAGATCGGGCTTGTTTGAAATCAAGGGAGTCATCTAGAATTAACTCATCGCTAAGCTAAATCGTACTAATTTCAATAATCTTATAATCAACACTAATATAAATCGTACTAATTTCACGGGGTACGTTTGTTTCAATGAAGATGAATGATTCAGAAAATATTTTTTTAAAAAAGATCCATTCTAAAAATGAATGAACGAAAAATATTTTCACTGTCCACGAAAATGTCAATACATAAATTATCGTCGATAATTAAAATATTTTTTATTAACTAATAATTTTTAAAAATATAAATAATTATATTCTCTTCAAATTATTCATTTTTAGCATAATACAGAGCCGAGATGTTCTAACTTGAAATGCCAAAAAGTCGAAGCATCTCGATAGTTCGCCAGTGCACGTCCATTTCTGCAGTGGTTTCTCATCACTGGTCAAATCGAACATTGAACCGCACAAAGACAAACCACAATTGGGAAGACATGAGAAGCCACAAATTCACGAGCAGATGTGGAGCAAAGCTGCTGGTGCAAACAGACAATTCTAAAGTGCAAAACCTAACCCTATTCTAATGCAACAAGAGCTGATTGTAGATTCATAGGATAGGTTGGCCGCCCGAGAAGCTCCACGTTCGTGGATTCTCTGTCATTTCCATGTTATTAATAGCCAAAATGCCAAAAGATTACAAGAATCAAATATTTTTCAAATTCGACTTGTCCATCGAATCAAAGTATTATATTACCCTTCCGGTGATTCGACCGGAGGGAGATCAAAACCGCTAGGCTCTTGAAAAGCAGCGTAATTGGAAAGAGACTGAAGTTGATGGGTTTTATAAGTGGCTAGGATATAGCCTGGCCTGTAGCTAGCAAAGCAAGCAAGAAGAGTTCAATTTGTGCAAGGCATGGTGATGTGTCCGCTCCCCACTAGGCAAGATTTTCTTTCTCAGTGGAAAAGAAAGTATCCCAATCAAATTTTGCAAGATCTTTTCCTTTTCTTCTTTTTATTATAATCTAATATTTCCAAACTATCCCTTTTCGATCGATCGCGCCAAGTTATTATTTACGTCGACATATAAACATCGAATTTAGTTCATCCCGTTATACGATCAAAGGCAAACCCATCAATACAAATAGCAGAGGATTAGCGAAAGATCATTTCGTAGCACCTCATTCTCGAGCTCACGTCGATTTGAAATCGAACTCAAGAGCTCGTAGTTTCTTAAGTTTCAAAAGGGTCGGACTAAACTTTGAACGCGCGTTAGGGTTTGTTTGTCAACTTTTCAACAGTAGGGTTAGGAAGATTGGGTGATGATGCTGCCAATCTTCTTCTGCCAATAAGATGAGCTCTCTGAAAAGCAATAAAAAAAAATTTGGAGTAGCTCACGAGCTGAAAAGGGTGTGTAATGTTAAGCTATTGGAGCTCCCCAACTGATGGCTTGTGGGACTCGCTCCAATAAGAGACAGGGAAATGACTATTAGGAACGAGATTGGCCTGATTACAGTCGGTCAAAAAGAGCATCAAAACACAGCATCCGTCGTCACCAAAACATCAACGAGGATGATGTCCCAACAGGAGTATCTTTCGAACTCAAGATCGCATGGGACAGGGCACTAACGCTGCAATCCCAGAAAGCTAAAACAAAACAAAAGTATCAAAAGCAAAGGCAATAAGAAGAGCGTTAAGTGGATAGATGGTTGGACAGAGAGCGAGAGAGCGAGAGAGAGTTTATCCATAAGCTGAGTGGGATTAGACCAGAAGCAGCTGCTACTGAACACTTTCAAAACGTGATTGGACTGAAGGAGAGGAGATGGAAAAGAAAAACGTGGGTCGGGAACGCAGAAGCGACCGTCCAAAATGCAGAAGTCACGTGCCAATGCCACCAGTGACACTCCCACTATCACGTACCAACCTGATCAATGATCGTGACCAATCGTGACCAATCGAGCTTGCTTGGGATCCCACTTAGAGGCTATGTTCCTAAACGAATCCTCTCCTAACTTTGGCAAAAAAAGGGTAGATTTACAATACGAAAGTTCGATCGAAGCAAGCTTAAAACCTAAACCAGCACAACGGTCTAAGTGAACTATTTGATCCATGATTACCCTTGTCGCACGGTGCCTTGCTATTATAATAAATTTCAAAGTGCGGGAGATTCTTTCTTTGGTAGCCTTTGCTCAATTAATCCTCACGATATGTGCAAATTTTTCTCATTCATGTCATGTAAAGCTCCATCCGCAAGATGGCAAGTGTTACCTTTAAGGTTAATTTGAATTCGAGATATTGTGATTCGAACACAACATAAGATCCGGCATGTCTAGAATTAAGCACGTGGTTCGTAATAAGTAAATGCAAGCATGATACACAGACCAAGAAGGCGTAAATCCAATCTTTTTATTGAGAAAAGTATTTGAGTTATCTTTCTATAATTCCTTTCCGTTACGAAATTTTTTATTTTTTCACAGAAAGAAATAACCATTTATTGCTTTAGTCTTTGAAATAGTAAGATGAACTTATGTTATTTTAACTCCAAAAAATTATGCGGAAGTTATGAAGCCATTGGGTTCTTGCTCCTAAAAAGAAAAACATAAAATCACAGTTTTAATTCTCAGTTGGCATTACTTGGGATTATATCGCAAGAAAGTAATTTCTTAAAAATCTTTCATTGTCAATATGGATGGGATGTCTTTAATCGGATTAGGTAGATGTATATATAATAATACTCTGACGCTAAAAAATCACTCGTGCGATATTCTCGGACGGCCAGTCCAAAAAGGCAAATTTTAAGGATCTACAAGATCCTTATCAGAATTCTAAGCACTCTAACTTTGACCCACGTGAAAGCTATCCCACTGATGGGAACATTTCATGAGAGGTGAAATGCAAGCTTACGAGGCAGAATTTTCTTTTCATTTCACACCAAAAAATCACAAATTTTGAGAATCAAGATGGGAAAAAAGGAAACTTTCTTTTCATTCCACACCAAAAATCACAAATTTTGAGAATCAAGATGGGAAAAAAAGGAAACTTTCTTTTCATTCCACACCAAAAAATCACAAAGTTTGAGAATTAAGATGGGAAAAAAAGGAAACTTTCTTTTCATTTCACACCAAAAATCACAAATTTTTAAGAATTAAGATGGAAAAAAAGGAAACTTTCTTGGAAGTCCTGTCCTACTGGGCGGCCAGCTTTTCATAGTGCGTCTCCGTCCACGGGATAGATTATTCCCCGGATGTTGGAGGAGCTATAATTGCCCACGTCATAACAGGATCGTGTTGGATCATCTCGGAATCCTCTTTTGGTTTCTTCCTCTGCAGAAAGTGTTCTCCTTTTCTTGGTAATCTTCTTGAAGGTCTTGGGGGGGTGTTCTTGGAAGCAGCGAAGGGAGAAGGTTGCTGCGAGATGGATGAAGAGTACGCGAAGTTCATCAGGAGGATGAACCCACCAAGGTACTTCCTCCCCCCATTCCATTCCTCCTCCTTCGTTCTCATCTTCCAGCTCAGCTTCACAGGTTTTTGGCGGTCGTGTTGGATTTTCTTGTGTTCTTGAATTCTGCTTTTGCTCGCTCCTGTGATTATGGTATGCGCTTCCTGTGATTATGGTATGCGCTTTCTGGTTAGCCCTTTTAGGATTTGTGCTAATCTTGATATCATGGAGTCAATTTGCGTGGAGATTTCTGATAAGGATCCTAATTTGATAACCATCTTGTTGCAAAGAGAGGACTTCTATGGCTTCATAAGTTTTCAGTCAAGACAGAGGGATTTGTCGGTTGGTGCTCCGTTTTGAGTGAAAATCGGGCCGAGATGAAGTTGGTCGGGGGGTCGGAGCGATTGTTGAGTGTGATAATGCTTTTCCTTGTGCAGTTTCATGATGTTTCTGGTGATTAGCTCTCGAATTCGTGCCGTATACTTCTTTTCAGAAATTCAGCTTGATAGAGTTGGGCTCCCCCTATGTGCTTTCGTCTAAAATGTCAACGCGAGTCCCATTAAACTTACTCGATGAGCGCCTCAAAAGTTATATCTGCTCATCTACAATCTTTTTCACTGAGAATTATTAAGGCCATTGCCTCATACAACATGTTTTACCGACTCTATCGGCTTCGCAACCTCATTCAACTAAGTTATTATGATCGGGGGTGCTGGTATTGCTGCTATGATGATTGGTACCAGTCATCTCCCCACGTAAAATTAATGTTCTCTATGGACGATTTTTAAGTCTTGCTGTGTGTCTCACTGTGGTAATTGCAGGGTTGTCGTTGACCACAATGCCTCTGGAGATGCTACGGTTATCCAGGTGAACCTCTCGCTTTCTGTCTGTTTTTGTGCTTTGTAAGCGAGCTTGATGGGGTTCTTGACTTGCCCTATGAAGTCATGAGGGGTTTTAATCGGTTCCTTTTGCCTCCTTGACACTAAGAATCTTTCTAATTGAACATCTGCTGTTTTTCAGGTTGACAGTGTTAACAAACACGGGATTCTCCTAGAAGTTGTCCAAGTGTTCACAGATTTGAATCTTGTCATAACCAAAGCCTACATATCATCTGATGGGGGATGGTTCATGGATGGTGAGATTGGACTCTCTCTCTAAGTCGTTGAATGTCAAGGAAGAATTTAAAGCTCTCAATCTTGTCTCTTATTGTCTTTTTCTGTTGTCTGAAATTTCAGTTTTTCACGTCGTGGATCGCGATGGCAAGAAAATCAGAGACATGGAAGTCATCGAAAATATTAAGAGGGTAAGTCAGATCGCTACTCCTATCTGTCATTAAGATGGAAGACATCCTATATCTTTTTACGAGACTAAAACAGCACCAAATGCGTTGTGGATGGTCTTCACAGTACACATCCATGGATAGATGGTTCTTTATCTCAATCTCACTTGAACTCTTCACTTTGCAGAGAATTGAGAAAAGTGCAAGCTTCGCTCCCTCGCTGAGAGGGTCTGTGGGTGTGATGCCCTCCGAAGAACACACCTCAATTGAACTCAATGGAACTGACCGGCCAGGTCTACTGTCCGAAGTTTGTGCAATTCTCACGAACCTCCACTGCAATATAGTAAATGGTGAGATATGGACTCACAATGCCCGGGCAGCGGCAGTTCTTCACGTCACGGATGATTCCATTGGTTGTGCGGTCAAAGATGCTGAGCGTCTCACGAAAATCAAGGAAATGCTCTTCAATATCCTTAAAGGAGACGATGACTTGAAGACTGCCAAGACAACTCTTTCGCCTCCCGGGGTTACCAGTAGGGAGAGAAGGTTACATCAGATTATGTTTGCTGATAGGGACTACCAGAGGTTCGAAAACAGTAGTGTCGGACAAGCTGATGATCAGAGCTTGAGACCCCATGTGACTATTATGGACTGTGATGAGAGAGACTACACCATCATCACTATGAGGTCCAAAGACCGACCAAAGTTATTGTTCGACATTGTCTGCACGCTGACGGATATGCAGTATGTGGTCTTCCACGGCATGGTGAAAACCGGGAGAAAGGAAGCTTACCAGGTGACATGGAGGACCTTCCCTTATTTATTTAGCTAGGATAGTTGAAGAAAATAAGTGATTACGTTAACTGATCGATATTGACATTGTCATTCACACCTTTTTCTGGATCATCCATCATATCCACAGATTAGACTTTTCAGCACGGACTTTTCAGCACAATTTCTTTTGTTAGACTTGCATGTTCATTACTCATTGAATTTCGGCTTAATCCTATCCATATGATCATGGTTCTAGGAATTCTATATTCGGCATGTTGATGGGCTCCCTATTGGCTCGGAAGCTGAAAGAGAGCGCATTGTACAGTGTCTTGAAGCGGCAATTCAAAGGCGGGCATCAGAGGTATCCTTAACCTTCATTGGATGAAATTCCCACAGTGTCAAACATACCTACAATGATGTACTCAGAAATTCCTCTTCACCTCCATGCAGGGTTTAGAGTTGGAATTGTGCATAGGCGACCGGGTTGGGCTGCTCTCGGATATCACCCGGATATTCCGCGAGAACAGCTTGTGCATAAAGAGAGCAGAAATAACTACAAAAGGTGAAAAAGCCAAAGACACGTTTTATGTGACGGATGTGACCGGTGACCCTGTTGATCCAAAGATAATCGATTCGATTCGCAAGCAGATTGGTCAAACTGCATTGCGGGTGAAACAAAACTGGAACTTTTCGCCCAAACCACCGGAGAAGACGAAGGCGGGACTCCTTTTTGGCTACTTCTTTAGTTCTCGGACTTTCCAAAACTTCAAATTGATCAGATCCTACTCATAGTAGCTCTGTCTACATTTGTACTATAGATTTCAGTGAAGCTTCAAGTGTAAAAGATGTACATAGATATTAGGATGTCTGTAAACATGTATGTGCCCTAGCTCTTGGTTTCTAGGACAAAGCTACAGTCAGTCACAATGTCAATGAAAGAGAGACCGCCTTGTAGTCATCGATTTAGTAAAGGCCATTTGTTGTACAGTGTCTGAGTACTAATGTACAGTTTGGCATCCATGCAAAACTTGAAACAGATCCTGTGAAAGTTGGGAGTTGAGGAAAGAAATTGTGCTCGGGATGTGTAATCATTTTCTTAAGATAGGGATCAATCCATGGTCCATCGTCGGATGATTAAACCTATGTCGGTAATCCTCACGTCTTGAGTCGTTGGGAATCCCTCGGGCGATTCAACCTTCATTGACTACGAAATCAAGTAGCTGGAGATAAAACGTGGAAGAGGTGCGCCCCCACCGGAGTTCGTATGTTTTAGGACCATTTCTTTTGCCAAAAATCAATAATTCAAAACATATTTTTTTAAAATGATAGCTTGTTTTTCTAATATAGCGAATGAACCATCATCATCACGTGCCTGTTTCATCTCAATGTCTAAGTTCTCTAGTCTAAGCAAACGCCATCGCAGAGTAGTCGACTTCCAAAGGTGATGAGCAGGACAATTAGCTAGAGCCATAGTAATAACGAGCCAACGAAATACCATGAACATCATGCATCATCTCCAGCTCAAAGAAAAGTATGTTCAACAGCAATTGCATGAAATTTAAATTGTAATCTCACTTTGGGAAGGAAAAAATTTCGGTGCCAAGTGTCAAAAGGAACAAAAACAAAAATGAACATAAATTGCGGCCTGAAATGACAATACTCTAAACAAAAAGAAACACATTTTTATCACTCCTAGGTCATTCTCTGAGCAGCTTCCTTGGCAATAAGCCTCTCTTTAGCCTTGGTTTTGGCCTGTGATTTAGATCCCATGATCCCGCCACCCCACTTCTTCCTGTATTCATCATACTTGTCGTTGAAGTTTGCCTGCAAGAAAAGACATACCAGTTACAGAAGCCATCCAAGCACAGAACAATTTTTTTTTTTTTGGGCCAAAATGTTGAAACAATCAGAAGGTCAAAAAAGACAAAATCAAAACTGCATACTACCTTAATGGCCTCTAAGATTTTGCTGAATTCCAATTTGTCTTCATTCTTTACGGTGGTCAAGCACAAGACAGATGCAGTTTTCTGATGGACAATCTGCCATAAGAGAAGAAGAATATGAGTGCTTCTCGACCATACTTCATTCACAGAAATTCGATGAAGGAAATAACGGGATCATTACCGTTCCCAAGCGTGCCTTTCCCTTCACGATGCAGTATGGAATTTCCATTTTCCTGCATAATGCCGGAAGCCAGACAACCAACTCTATAGGGTCAACGTCATGTGCAATGACTACCAACTGAGCCTTGTTCTGCAAAATGTATATTCCAATTGTGTGTTAATTGCAACTGGAACCCGCAGAGCATGAGAAAATATTGAGTGAGAGAAATAACGAGAGAAAATAAGAATTTAGTGCCTGGCAAAGTAAATGAGAACCTGCTCGATAAGGTAAGTGACATGGTTCAGACCATATTTCACAACAATGGGCTTCTTAGCCTCAACCGACTTCCCTTCTGCTTCAACCTGGGCCTTCTTCAAGAGCCGCTCCTTTTTCGCTGCTTTGTCCTCAGGCCTGTACTTGAGAAGCATTTTGAACAGGCTCGTGGCTGCATGCATTTTTCAAATTGTAGGGAAATTATATTCTAACGTTTTAGGATCATCATAGATGAGACTAAATACAAATAGAAAGAAACAGAACAAGAGCTTAAGATCCAAAAGCAACGCAAAATACAACTGGATATAAAACTAACACAGCTAACTAATTAGCTCAAGTATCGGATGAAACTCGAGGCTGGAAGGCTTCAACTGTTCCTTATAATCTAGAAAGAAAGGTTCTCGTCTAGCTTGAATGGCCAATACTTATCTACCAGAAATTATTAGAAACCTCCTCCATAATTTGTTAAGACCAGCATGGTCTGTCAACCACATGCACCAGTCACACAAACGCCATGAGGTACATCAATATGACATGCAACCAACTGCATCTCAGTTTTGTTTAGATTCAGCCATCGGATTGCGTGTGAAAAAAGACAGCAAATCTAATATGAACTAATATTATCATAAGCAAACAAGGTATGCAAAATAAAGTGCACTTAAATGTGCAACTAAGTATCCGCCAGAAACAAACAAGGTATGCAAAATAAAGTGCCATACAATACACATTGAACCCCAGAAATCAAATCAATAGACTGCCTCAGCTACCCAGTCAGATACAATGAGCAGCAAAGCAGCCATTTCTCATAATTGCATCTCATATATAAATTTTGGCAGAGAGCAAAGCAAGAATAACTAGTTATTGCAAAACACAAGTGCATCTTAAGGTTCTACACCAACCACAATACAGAAAACCAAAAGAAACTTTTTGTTACTGCATACCCAAGTTCTTGTCGAGGGTCTTGGTGAACTGGTTCAAAGCTGGTGGAACCTTCAACCTCTGCCTCAGAATTCTCCTCTTCCTCTGAATCTGAACAGTCTTGGGGAATTTGACGAATCGCGTCAAGTCCCTCTTCGGGGGCAGAGCACCTCCGATTCCAAACTGCTTCGGCCGCTTCTCGAACAAAGGATTCGTCACCTTCTCCTAGCACACACATCGACGACCAACCAAATTCAGCAAAGAGCCGCATCCCTCTCGAAAGGGCGCCGACACTAATCGCGGAGCAAACAAACTAACCTGCTTCTTCTTGGCCGCAACAGGAGCTTTTCCACCTTTCTTAGGACCCTTTGATTCGTAAACACAAAAAAGTTAAGACTTGAATTCATCATAAGAAACATACCCCAAGTAGACATAGAAGCAGTGCAGCTACTCATACCTAAACTCAAGGAAAAAGCAAAAGCTCGATGAACTAGGATGCGATGCAACATTATTATCATACCAACACCGAAGCTACTCGTTACGCTACAGATCACGTCGCTAGAATCAGTGAAGACTGGAGATCACCATTTCACGCAGATGGCACGAGATCCCGACCCAAGAACATTCGAACAACCACCGTTCCGTGACAATGCCTCATCGTTCTTAGCTTAGCATATACCGATTCGTAAGCGAGAAAAAGAATGGAAGAGAGAAAGAGGATCGGATGACTCACCATGGTTGGCGAAGCTTGCTTGCGAGCCGGCTCTTCTGGTTCCGAACTGGCAAAATGGAAGGTGAAAACGAGAAACCCTAGGGTTCAGTCGAAGTTATATGTCCCAGGAATGAGGCGCCCAAGCGATGGGTTGGGCCGGTCCTTCTGATGGGCCAGGAAGGAAAATCTCCCGTTATTATCCTATAAATCAAGTTTGGCACCGCTGATAAAGAATTTTTTAAAAAATAATGATTACTCTTAATAGAATTTTTTATAATATTCAGCATTTATATCGAGAGAAGGCTCATAAACTAGGACGAGATTCCGGTAATTCTTTTTTGTTTTTTTGGGGGTCAGTTAGAGCGCTTTTCTCCTCCGGTATCGTTTAATCATAAGCATCTACAGATGTCTAGCTAATTAAAAAAAAAATTAAGAGGAATATGATTTTTCTTTTTTAGGCTCCTTTCGTTTGGCGGAAAATATTCTCCCGAAAATATTTTCCGGGTTTCCGGTGTTCGGGGACGGAAAACGTTTTCCATAGGAAAATATTTTCCTTCCCTCACAAAATTTGTGTCATTATCCCTATCCTATAAATCAAGTTTGGCACCGCTGATAAAGAATTTTTAAAAATAATGATTACTCTTAATAGAATTTTTTATAATATTCAGCATTTATATCGAGAGAAGGCTCATAAACTAGGACGAGATTCCGGTAATTCTTTTTGTTTTTTGGGGTCAGTTAGAGCGCTTTTCTCCTCCGGTATCGTTTAATCATAAGCATCTACAGATGTCTAGCTAATTAAAAAAATTAAGAGGAATATGATTTTTCGACAACGTTTTTTAGTTACGGTAGTCTAACCCCACTTTGCTTGTAGTACCGTTGAAAGAAAATAGATGTTGAGCGTTGCAAGTGGTTTTAACGAAGAACGAGACTAACCCCGGTTAGCCCATCGAAAGCAGTTTATATTCCGTGCATACGAATTAGTTGTTCCAAATGATGCAACTTTGCAATCAGTCGTTTGAAATCAACAAATCCGTTTTCGCAAGACTTTCGAAGGCGCTCTCAATCGACTCCCACACGCACAAGTCTTGACAAATCTGACACGACACAATTAACGTCGTGCGGTTTTGCTTCCTTTCTCTGGAAGATTGGGAACGACCTCTCTCGATTTTATAGACTCATTGTAATTATAAGAATAGGGTCCTAAGGAAGCTCACTCACTTGACGTGGTCCCATCTCACATCTATCCCCAAATCTCATGACAACAACAATAGTCCTGGATCTACAAATAATATGCTCCTCTTATGCTCCAACGATGAATGTAATGAGCATGCAAGCGTCCGTCGATTTGTATCATCCCACGCCTCACATTCTCCCATTTGTACTCCTTCGTTTCCGACAGACACTTTCGTCCGGGGGACCACTATACAACAGAAGCTCCCAACTTTTTCCCCAGATACGATGTCGTGGGTCGGCCCAGGAAGAGCGTTGTCACGCCAACGAACTTGTCTTTACCTCGTGATCAGCAGACCTCCCGAGGCGCAGAAGAAACAAGATGAAATCGGTCATCGAGAACGACAAGATCGCTCCTCTCGGATATGGCGGAGGTCGAAGATGACACATGATCCAATCACATAAACTCTCTCCCTTTCTCTCTCTCTCTCTCTCTCTCTCTCTCTCTTCCCTTTTCCTAGACAATTCAAAGAAAGCGACAATGGTTTCCGATTAGAGAAGAGATAGACGCACAAAGAATTTGGCATATCTCCCGCTTATACCCACCTATCGTTTGGACTCGAGCCCCAGGGGAGTCCTTTATCATGCCAGACCAGGAGTGGCCATGAACTAGGAATGAGCTGAATGAGTCGGATCATCCAGGAACATTCTCTCCAAGCTCGACCTTAGCGAGCAAACCCACAAAAGAACCGTTTACTTGAAGCCTCTCTCTCTCTCTCTCTCTCTCCCATTTGTGCAAGAAGAGTGACGATTAATTCACTTTGTGGCAGCATGGGATCTCTCAAGGCCCAGAGCTCACGCACGCAGATTCAGCCAAGTCTCCCGAACGACTCGGCCTCACAATCATATAGCTCTCTCCAATGTCCTGATAGTATGGACAAGAGCAAGGCCGCCTTGACCCCGCCGAGCCTAGAATACACATCGCCGAGGTTCGACGTGGTTGAGAATCCCTTGATCGACTCGCCCACCGCCGCGCTACTGGCGTCCCTCCTATCGTCGGACCAGATGGATGGGCCAGACTTCATGATGTGCTCGCCGGCGAGGAATCTACCCTCTCTGCAGAGTGCCTCGACTTACAATTACAACCATGCGCAGGCAATGCAGGGGCAATCGGTTTCGGCTTGCTCTCCTCCTCGGTTTGCTTCTCAACTGGGGTGTTCTTTTAGCGGTGGTCGCAAAGAAAGGGGACTTAGTCCTCTCCAGAGAGTCCTAAATTCTGTACGCAACAGCGATCAGGTGATCATGCAGCCTGACTGCATTTCTCTGGACTTCTTGGCGGACTATAATGTTAAAGATGAATTCGGAGGGTATTCATTGTCCAGGCCAGTGCCGGGATTTGGAACCACGGAGTGTTTCGATGTCCAGACAACTGCCGCGGCTTCGTTGGGAATGCCGAATGCTCCAAGGTTCCATGCAGGACCTGCCAAGGAAGTTATTGGAGAGGACTACAAAAACGAGACTTGCCAGGAGATCAGTGACTTTCGCGATGCGAAGTCCTTCGCATCAGCGACAACTCTATCGGAGCAACTGCAGCGAGAACACTGCCAAGGAGAGCAACAGCCAAGCAGCTTCGTTGTGCCTGTTCCTACAAGTTGTGAGCAGGTGATTTGCATTCACGCACGCGTGCACATACATTAACAGATTTAGAAGAGAGTATAGTGGGGTCTACTAGCTCATTCTAAAGCCTGGATCTTCCGATCTTTGGACTTTAAAGCCTCTAAATCACCCATCACAACTTATGTTCGTGTCCCAACAGGAGCAAGACAGGGGCCTCCAACTGGTGCACCTCCTCCTCGTCTGCGCCGAAGCCGTCTCCAAGGAAGACTACTTGCTGGCCAGGAAGTACCTCAACCACCTCTTCTCCGTAGTCACCCCGATTGGCGACTCCATGCAACGCGTCGCGTCTTTCTTCGCCGAAGCCCTCAATGAGAGGCTTGCCGCTGGATTCCCCCCTACCAAATCCTCGAATTTATCAAAACTTTTCTCTCCTGTCCCGCCAAACTGCTTGGAGATCCACAAGATCCACCAGATCCTCTACCAAGCCTGCCCCTACATAAAGTTCGCCCACTTCACCGCGAACCAAGCCATCTTCGAGGCCTTCGCAGACGAGGAACGCGTGCACGTGATCGATCTCGACATCTTACAAGGTTATCAATGGCCGTCTTTCATGCAGGCTCTCGCTGCGAGACCAGGTGGCGCTCCATTTCTGAGGATAACAGGAATCGGGCCATGCATCGAGTTGGTGAGCGAAACGGGCCGGTGCTTGGCGCAACTGGCGCACTCCCTACATCTCCCGTTTGAGTTTCATCCGGTCAGCGAGCAACTCGAAGCGCTCAAACCTCATATGCTGTATAGGAGGGTCGGCGAAGCGCTTGCAGTTAACTCGGTTAATCGCCTCCACCGTGTTCCAGGTACAATATTGCTAGTTGTTTTGGTCACTCTCTGGTCTATCTTTACAACCTATATCAAATCATTCGCAGAAGCCATATCTTCAAATTTATGAGTAAAATGAGTATTTCTTTCCGTAGTAAACTATGTGGTAAAATCAACTCTCATAACTTTACACACTTGATCCTCGTCGCTTCACATAAAACCGATTCATCACAAACAGGTATTTGTCTGGGGAGCTTACTGACAATGATACGGGACCAAGCACCAAACATAGTGACAATAGTCGAGCAAGAAGCCAGCCACAATGGGCCCTACTTCCTCAGCCGCTTCCTCGAGGCGCTGCACTATTACTCTGCAATCTTCGACTCGCTCGATGCGACGTTCCCGTCGAACTCGGTGCAGAGGGCAAAGGTGGAGCAGCTCGTGTTTGCGCCGGAGATAAGGAACATAGTGGCATGCGAAGGGCCGGAGAGGACGGAGAGGCATGAGAGGCTGGAGAAGTGGAGGAAGGTGATGGAAGCAAAAGGGTTCACCGGAGTTCCGCTCAGCGAGAACGCCATGACTCAGTCGAAGATGTTGATCGACCTGTATTCATGTGGCGGGTATAGCCTGAGGGAGGACACGGGTTGCTTGCTCTTGGGTTGGCAAGATAGAGCCATTGTCGCCGCATCGTCATGGCGGTGCTTATAAATTCTTCTGACCGTGTTGGAACTCGCTCGGTGTGAGCGTTACAATATTTGGCTAATGAATTGATTTATGAAGAAGCATAGAAAAGGCTAAGAGAGGAGAAGAGAGAACCGTCACGTTTCTTTTGTAGAAGAGCTGAGCTTAGGTTTATATTCCTAAACCCCAAAACCAAAATGTTTGCACAGGAACACTACCCTGCACCTTAGCCTCAGGTCAACGAATTTTGCAAATATCCAGTGTAGCTATTATTATATTCATCAAATCACTCTTGAGAGTAATTTACACGAAAAGAAATCAAATGCTTTCAATAGCATTTAAGTATTTCATCACATTCTTTCTAGTAGGAGAATGGTGCGACATAGACCACAAGCCTCGTATGACAAACTGGGGAGAGGGAGCAACAAGAGAAAAACTGAGAGCGAAGAAAGAGAAGCGACGGAAGCTATAGAAGGGCACCCACGTAGAAATGCGACTAAATTATCAACATGCCACGGTACACGAGAATGCCCACCGACAAACATTCGAGGGACGGCATTATCAACGAATCATAAAATACATCTTTCCAGCGTCTCCGCTCATCACCAAGGAAATGCGAGAAATCGCCGTCAAGCACACAATCCCATGATCTGAATCACCAGCAACTTCCTTACATAATGGTGCACGAACAAATGTGTTTCCTCGGTACCTCGTCGACCTTCTTTTCTGTCAATGACACACCCAAACCAATACACCGTCAGAAGATCCATAGGTTACAAAACTGAGAAGTACTAGTTGCATGGATCATTGTCTAAGAAAATCATCTCGACAGGAGTCTCATTCCATTATAAATTTACACTTTCTGGAGACCATAAGATAAAGCAGAAGTATAGATCAACCATCAGCATCCCTGAACAGATCATTTACTTCACAGCGCTTCACTGAAAAAACAGCAGAGCTTTTTGGCAGTGACCATGAGGAAGGCAACAAGAAAAAAAGCACAGCCCGCCCAAATAAGAAGCCAGCATAAAAATGCCGCAAACCATAGGCGTCCGCTCCCTTGGGAAGTCAAAGCAAATCCTTCTAAGAAATGATTTAGGCACTACACTAGCCATGACTCTGTATTCTAAATAAGATTTCCTTCCTATTCAGGAAAATACTAGGAAAAAGATTATCTCATCTCATTAAAGATCAACATAAAAGTCGCTGGCTTCATATTATGCATTACACAATCCAGAACACAAGCAAAAGTAGCTTTATTTCTCCACAAGCTTCAAGCCATAGTGAACAGGGTATTTAAGCCAGAATATCGGATCCCATCCCATTGTCTTAGTGATTGCTTTCAACTTCGTCAGGATACAAATCTCATCCCCTTATGACTAAGTCAAAAAATAAATACTTCTAAACAGTCTACAATGCATGAATTTATGCCTTAATTGAGCTTGTCTCCATGTATCCATTCAAGAGTGAGGCATTTTGGTTAGGTTACGTCGGATTCAACAATGGTGACCTGGTGCTCTAGGCATAATTAAAGATTGAGTTATGTCTCCAGATAAGCTGGATGAACATCTTTCTTGCAAATAGAGAGGTCTATACAACGCACTGGGCCGTTATCACTGCTATTTGGCTATATGGGGAAAAAGATTATCAATTCATCACCAGCCCCAATGGACTGGAGCATAGCGTGTCCTATATACTAAGAAAAGAAAATGACACAAATGATCCCTGAACTATGGTCCAATGTGCAATGTGATCCCTGAACTTTTAATTTGTTCAATGCAGTCTCTGAACTTTAACCCAATTTGCAATGTCATCATTGCACTTTTAATTTGTTCAATGTAGTCCCTAAACTTTTCGTACATGTTCAATTTAATCCATGGACTATATTAAAATATTCAATGTTATCCTTGATCTTGAATTAATGAAAGGACGACAATACACATTTTCATATAATTGAGAGACTATATTGAACATGTACCAAAACTCCAGGGACTATATTGAACAAGTTAAAAGTTCAGGTACCGCATGGCACATTGGACTAAAGGGCATAGACCACATTGAACAAATTAAAAGTTCAGGAATCATATTGCCCATTGGGCCAAAGTTCAGGGACTATTTGTGTAATTATCCCTACTAAGAACAACAATTAGCTCTACATAACTCATCAAGAATTCGCAAAAAAAAAAATAACTAAATAGTTACGGGATTCTCTCAGGAATATATTAGACGCGAAACTATGAAGCAAGCTCATTGTTTATTTCCCAACAGTCCATACTTGTGATCATTATAATACGAAACTGAGAACTTTAAAAGCAAATTAAGCAACGAATTCATAAAGATTGTGATTCACACTTTCATGAACTACGTCAAGCAATGTAAATTTACCCGTCTTTGCTTTTGCGAGGGATGGCTGCACTACAACATGCATGGTAATCACGGCTTTTGGAAGCTCCCCAAAAGGTACTCTACACTGTCCAACTGTCTTGTTGTTTTCCAATATTTTGCCAGCATTTATCAGCTTTATGTCATTTGCAGTCTTGGGCGCAATTTTCTTATCTGCGACAAATTATGAAAATAGGATGTAGAGCGAAGGGAAAGAGGAAATATCTCACGCATAAGTCGAATAAAATGAACAAAAAACATGAGATGACAGGTTTGTATGGGCCTTTGTTACTTACTTGGCAAGCATGAGATCAAATTAACATGCTATATGGATAAATGAAATCGAAAAAATTAGTTTAACTTATTTTTCAACTAGTTTAGATTAACACGTACTACATCTTCTCTTACAAAGACAATGGGGAAAATGAAATTAACCACAGAATGGCGAGGAACACAATTATGCAAAGTGCATGAGAGGGATGATGTCCTTAATTTCTTGATTATGTTGGCGTTCAATTAATGCAAATGTATACTCCCAGAAGATGAAGGCTACTTTCAATGACAATTCAAGGCCGCACAATAAAGATTCCTGATGGTGCATTTCAGTTAGTCAAATAAGAAGCATATTAGAGGTTCAGCCAAAAAAAAAATGAAAAAATGAAAATCATATTGGAGAAGCAAGATCAGGTGGAGAGAAGCCACTAAGAACAGCCAAGACCAACAAGAGAATCTCGCGATTTATTTATGATCTTTCTAGATGAAGCAGCAACTCTGTGAGTCAACTCATGAATGTCTGCAACCAAAAACATGGCACGTGCTAGGCCACTGTAACGGTGAAATCAGGTCTCACTTGGCTTCCACGAGGCATAATCAGCCCATACTGGCAATTAATAAAATTGTGTAGATCAGAACAGACTAGACCAATCTATTGCGATGATTCAATATCTATCCGAAGATGAACCATCTACGCTATAACTTCACCACCTAAGGTGTGGCACTCTAGGCATACACCAATATGACCCAAATAGTAAAAGAACACTTGATAGGACAAGAAGAAAACCAGAAAGAAAAGACAGCAGGAGTACTAAAGACTCCAAAAGTTTGCTGGCTGCAAAGGATCCTCCACTAAATCCCCCTAAATCAACACAATTATTGCTTTCCACTTCTTCAATAATATGACAGAACTGACAGGGTTCCATCACTGCAATGCCAGGAAAGAAACGGAAGTGTTTGCCAATGATTTCATGGATCAACCTGCTTTCATCATAGTAATGGAAGGTCAATGAAACTAAGGCAATATCCTGGAACAGAGATCCTCGCTGTGGAAATGCAGTTTGAAAATCAGAATCGTTCACTTCAACAAATGACTAACAAAGAAAACAGTATCACAAACAAGCCAAGTGTCACTCAGACCACCTCAAGAACAGACTCTAATCCCAGTTTTGAAGAGAATGAAGGTTATACTCCCTTTTGTAAGCACATCTGGACCCAGTGGAGAGGCAATGAGACAACTCAACTGTTTCACCCATTTCCACTTTGTCATCTAAACCATCTAGCCCAAAAACTAGACTCTGCCCTTTGAGCAAAGCTTCATTTTTCAGATTAGGATAATGAAGACATTTCAAGAATACTCCATAGAGAAAAAATTGAAGATAGTTTCCAGTACTGCATCAGCTTTGTTAATTTGTATTCACTTAAGAAGCCAATTATTAGAGCTATTTGGGAATCAAGACCTAACTCATCACAATAAGGCACTCCCCAGCACATGATTATTCGAAATTTACGTTGATTGATGGAGCATAATTGCTGGACTACCCTTGCTTCTAGGTGCTTTTGGAGGATGAATAATTTCGATCAGCAGATATTTGATAAGTCAATGAACAGTTCGGTAGTCGATCTAGTTATGCAGTAGCACTATGATCGCTAGCCGATTTTGAAGAGTAAAAACAAATGTGATTTGTCATCAGACATAATCCAAAGCACATAGAATAAGTCGCTAAGAAAACCTGCACATGCCATCTTAGAAAATTGTCTGGCTCATACAAATCTGTGTGTGTGTGTGTCTGTGTGCAGCATGAAACCAGGACCAGTTCCTTCTGCCAAATGTGCACACTATCGCATCCCAAACGCCAAAATTGACAACCCAATCTAAAAGAATTATTATGAGAATCCAGAACTTGATACAAAAAGTTATAGGCACATTCAGAGAAAAATTTAATTACCAGTCCAAGCAGCCTTGCAGGATGCATATGTGTGCAACCCATGGCAACTTTAGTCTGAAACAAAAATTACTTCACAACTCTCTCATTCAGAGATATGTCATATGGCCCATTATCCAAGTAAGTTTCAAAGCATACAACCATCAGGAACAGAAAATCATTTAAGGCTAACAGCTGCATGCCAATAGTCCTATCACCCCACATAAGCCGTGATAACCCTTCAGTGGGTGTCAGTGTCAAGCTATGACATTTCCGGTAAATCTGTATGATTTTCCTAGATCGGTAAATAATTTGAGACAAGGGAACCTATGCACAGAGTTGATCACCGTAGTGTATCCCCGCGAGTACACATTCAAATCACATGCTTCAATAGGAGAATTCTCATAGCATAAACAACCTTCAAAAGTGCCTAATTAACATATTTTTATCGAAAAACCAGTACATGGAAAACTGATTCCCAACCTTTCGGCCATTCGGTAACAATCCTCTCTTTAAGCATGGTAACCGTCGATGTGGGCGAGTATTGGAATGGGCCGATGTCTGAACCATCATACAATCGAAACTTCAGCTCCACGAGGTCCTCTTCCGGCATTTTCAAAGTCCCTCGGCCAAGCTCGAACCCCCGAGACCCGCACCCAGCTAAGCAAAGCCAATCGAAACTCTCGCCCCACGGAAAAATTGATCCTCCTCTCGAGCCCAGATTCCAACAGAACACCAATCAAAACCTCGAGCAGTTCACCTATCATCACGACGAGCAAACACCTCACAAAACAAAGACAAAAGCGAATTGGGGCAGTACCCCAAAAAAACACCGACGCCACACGATCGAACACGTTCCGACCACTCCATCCACCTTAAACAGATAAAAAAAAAAAACCCAGACGATTTCGCTGTACAGCACAGACGGACGGCAGAATCGATTCCGAAGCAATAAGATTCAAGCCGCGAGAAACCGGAAACCAATCACGGAGCGAATTAGAAATCGCGAAATACCTCCGGCGAGGAGCTGCGAGAAATCGAAGAGCCGAAGTCGCCGGGCGACTGATTTGCAGGGCAAGGTCGAGGATGAAGCAGAAGAAACCCTAAAGGAAACGAGCTCGCTCGATCTTCTTGAAACTGCCTCGGGGTTGTACTGTTTGTGCAATCCCACTACGTCCTTATTATCGAGCTTTTTCGATTTCTTAATTTTTCTTTTTAATTTTTTCCCCCCCTTCTTTCTTTCCTCTTTTTCGCGCATTATTATTATTATTATTTTCCTTTTCCCCCGATATTAAATTTAAAATGGAAAGCCCTGATCGTGCTACTTCGAATCTTCGCAGTAATAGTACGGTGCCCCGTTTGTCAGTGACTACGGGCGAGAGTTATCCCCTGCGGCGACGTCCATCGTAACTGGTTTGGATTCGGCCGAATGGGAGGGCGGGGGCGGATGAAGCGGGCCCCGTGGGGGATCGTGATTGGTCGGGCGCAGCTGGTTACGGTGGGGACGAGGCGCGTGGCGTGGAGGTCGGCCTCGATTCCAGCGTTTGACCGGGAGCGCGGGTGGTGATTTTAACGCGGCGGGTAACAAATGAGGGCCACTGGTTCGGTGCCGTGACGACATCGCAGGCTCGGCGGCACCTGGCTGCGGAGAGTACCAGCGCGCGTACGCTACTACGCGTCGTGATGTCGGCCTTAATTATCTCTCTCTGCTCTTTTTATTAAAATGATTTTGCCGGATGCCGAATAGAAGGGGGATCGTTGGACGGGCTCGGACCGAACGGAGCCACCGGCACTAGGGTCGGGCCTAGTGTTTTGTCGAAACCCGTCCCTAGCAAGAAACATGCGTGGGATTTTTTCGGGTCGGGCCCGAGCCGATCATCAGAGGACTGAATTTTCTTGCAACAGGACCTTTCGCCAATGTCCCCGCGCCCCCCACCTCCCCCCTCTTTTTATCTGAAGAGACTTGTTTCTGTCGTTCGATTACTTCTCATATTAAGAGCACCCGCTCACCAATGCATAAAGAAAACAAAAGCAGTGATAGAGCTTTTCAATACTTGCTAGGGCACAAATTTTATTAATATAAGTTAGCTGTTCTACTCAATTTGATTATCAAGAATAAAGCCAGAAAAATAGGAATGAGATTCTCAATCCCTTTCACACCAATCTATAAATCTATTAATTTGCTTAGTTTCATAACCAGGTTGGACTTTGAAGTTCAAACCATATAACCACTTCTGTCGAAAGTGTCAACAATTCAGTTACGTAGGCTGGTTTTAATTCCCGGAAGATGTTCATGGATCGAGAAATACTGGACGAACCTTTGATAACGCAATTCCATTTTTCTATTTACTGGAACAACTTTTTGTTCCGAACCGATCCCAACCGAGAAATCGAACAAAAAAAAAATAGGTTTTCTATTTCTAGACCAAAAATGAGAATCATTTCAATGCATCGAGTATTCTTGTGTTTTGTAAAACAATATTATTTCAATGTAACTATACTTAATAAGTGTTTCGGGAACTCACTTTATAGGATCCTTGCTAAAAGACATAAAAGAGTTTGAGGCTAATGGTGGCACAGATTTTATTAATATAAGTTAGCTGTTCTACTCAATTTGATTATCAAGAATAAGGCCAGAAAAATAGGAATGAGATTCTCAATCCCTTTCACATCAATCTATAAATCTATTGCTTAGTTTCATAACCAGGATGGACTTTAAAGTTCAAACCATATAACCGCTTCTAAAGTGTCAACAAGCTTAGTAATCTTATAAATCACTATTTATTCCAATTCTTTTTTGAATCTTTTTGGGCACCTTAAAATTTAAATTTCACTCCAAAGTGGGTGGCCACATGTATTCTAAACGATTATGTGAAGTTTTGAAATTTTTAATTTTTAATTTTTTTTGGGCACCTAAAAAAATTTAAATTTCACTAAAAGTGGGTGGCACATATTTTAAGCCATTCTATGAAGTTTTGAAATTTTGATTTTTTGATTTTTAAAAAATTCAACAAATTTCCTTTTTCCCGAAATCTAAATTTTTTATTTTTTGGAAATTGTGATGAATTTTTCTAGAATTTTTCAATTTTTTTGGATTTTTTGAATTTTTTTGAGATTTTTAGGAATTTTTGGATTTTCTAATTATTTTATTCCATTTCTAAAAAATGGATTTTGTTCTGAAATAAAATTTTTGTTGTTTATCAAACGGGTTTTGTTTCGGGAAATAAAATTTTGTCTTTGTTATCAAGCGGGTTTGTTCGGAGAAATGAAATTTTTGGTCATTATCAAGCGGTTTCTTTTCTTAACTAAACTCATCCTGGAACAAATGTCAGAACAATATATAGCATTGAATTACACAACGACCAAAACGTGCTAATTAGCTTAGGTTTTGAAACCATTCACAGTTACATCCGACTGGTTTTGTTCCCGAGAATCGAGTTTTGGACGAGAAACGAAGTAACGCCAATTTCATTTTTCTATTCACGGGACAAGTTTGCTTCCAAAGCGATCTGAAACAGAAATGAGAACCAAAAAGTTGGTTTTTCATTTCTACGGAACAAAAGTGAGAACCATTTACGAGGAATTCATTTTCTTCAACACACATATTCATACGGAAGTCACGATCTTTGAGGTGAGAAAAAAAGTAAAAAATCAAAAATTTCAAAACTTATGAGAATGGTTTAGCATCGTCATGCTACCCACTTTCGATGAAATTTAAATTTTTAGGTATCGAAAAAATAAAAAATAAATAAAAATAAAAAATTTCAAAATTTCACAAAATGACTTTAGAAAACCTATAGGCCACCACTTTGAGCAAAATTTAATTTTTTAGTTGCCAAAAAAAATAAAAATTCTAAAATTTAAAAACTTCACGAGAATATCTTAGAATACATGTAGCCACCCAATTTGAAACGAATTTTTATTTTTAGGTGCCGAAAAAAATTTAAAAAATTAAAAATTTCAAAACTTCACAAAATGGCTTAGAATACTTGTGGCCATTCACTTTGAGTGAAATTTAAATTTTTAGGTGCCAAAAAAATACAAAAAATTAAAAAATTTCAAAACTTCACAATAATATCGCAAATATTAAATTATCTCATTTATAAAAAAAACAAATAAAACTAAGCAAAAAAGTAAAAATTTCAAAACTTCACAAAGAATGGCTTAAAAAATACACACTTGTGGCCACCGGCTTTGAGCGGGAAATTTTATTTTTTAGGTGCTTGAAAAAATAAAAAGAAAAAGAAAAAAAGAAAAATTTCAAGAAGCTTCACTTAAAATCGGCTTAGAATACTTTAATGAGCCAGTAAGAACTTTAAGCGAAATTTAAATTTTAGGTGCTGAAAAAAAATAAAAAATAAAATAAAAATTCACATAATTGCTTAGAATACTTGTGGCCAAGCGCTTTGAGTGAAATTTAATTTTTAGGTGTCGAAAAAAAAAAAAAAAATAAAAAATAAGCAAAAAAGAAAAATTTTCAAAGCTTCATGAGTAGAAACTTAGAATACGTGTGGCTATCCAGCTTTGAGTGAAATTTAATTTTCTTTGGGAACCAAAAAAAAATAAAAAAAAATAAAAAATACCATTTGGGCATCTAAAAAAAAAATTAAATTTTACTCCAAAGTGGGTGGCTAAGAATTATTGTACGAGTCGTGCACGTGAGAATTTTGAAATTTTTGATTTTTATGTTTTTTTCCACCTAAAAAATTTAAAATTCACAGTTTCAAAGTGGATGGCCCACATTTTGTATCTTGATACAGGAGTCGTTGCAGCTGAAGTTTTGAGAACCTTGATTTTTGCTTTTTTCACCTCCAAAAATTAAAATTTCGCTCGAAGTGGGTGGCGCAGGTATTACAAAAGCTGGGTACGCCAAAGTTTTGGGGAATTTTTGGAGTTTTTGAATTTTTTTGGGCGCGCTTAAAGAAATTTAAATTTAGGCATTTGAAAGTGGAATTGTGGCCCACATATATTCTAAAGCTATTAGGCGAAGTTTTGAAATTTTTGATTTTGATTTTTTTGGGCGCCTAAGTGAATTCAAATTTCACTAAAGTGGGTGGCCAGCGGGTTATTCTAACGAATTACTGTGAAGTTTTGAAATTTTTGATTTTAGCTGATTTTTTAAAAAAATTCAGCAAATTTCACTATTTTCTCAAATCTAAATTTTATTTTCGACATTTTGATATGATTTTTCTGGAATTTTCAATTTTTTGGGATTTTCTGAATTTTTTAAAAGATTTTTATGAATTTTTCGGATTTTTTATATATTTTATTCCATTTCTAAAAAATGGACTGATAAATCCTAGAAGGTGGCCTACATTGTTTACATCAAAGCAGGGTTTTATATTCGGGAAATATAAATTTTAATGGTGTTATCATTGAACAGTTTGATACAGAAATGAGAAATTTTTTTTGTTCGTCTATCAAACGGGTTTTTTTTCCTGAAGCGTCTACGGGAACGAGCAGGAAATAGAAAAATCTATTACAGTTGGAAGAACTGATTCAGGAATAGAATGGTTATCGTTATTCGCTGTACTTGTCCAAATTTGAAATAGATCCCAGTAGTTTGAGATCAAGTTTTTGGCCAGGACAATGAGAAATTGGAAGCGTGGTTAGATAAAGCTGGAGTTATTGGAAGCGCCAAGATTCAAAGTTTGAAAACAGTAAAGTAGCAGAGCTGAGGAAGTTATAGGATGAGGAGGATACGAAATACTCGGAAAAGAAGAGGAAGGGAGGAAGATCGACAAGCAATGCAAAAACATCTAAGCTTATCATGTGAAACTGCTAGTT